CACAATGACAGCCGGACCGGGTGTGACCTTACAAACTCTTGATTCTGTACTATTCTAGTTCTCTCTCCATTCTTACCTCTATTTTAATCAAATACCAGTCAGCTAACCTGATAAAATGGTATGTGAGCATCAATCCTCATCGTCTTTGCCACTTATGATTGCAATAGTCCACCACTTGCAGGAGACGGCTTATCCGTGACTTCAAACGTCTCTCTAGTGACCCACCAAGCGGCATTTCCGGGAGCCCATGTCCGGATAACATTATGATCTGGAACGCTGTAATATTTGGACCTTGTCAGTTTTCCACCTCTGCATAACTATTCTTTTCTGACAGTACTTGCAGCTGATACGCCCTTTGAGGACGGCACATTCAAACTTCTGCTCACGTTTGACGAATCTTACCCCAACAAGCCACCTACAGTAAAATTCCTTTCCAGAATGTTTCATCCAAATGTATACAACAACGGCGAGCTATGTCTCGACATCTTACAAAACCGCTGGTCTCCCACATATGATGTCGCCGCCATCCTTACTTCCATCCAAAGTCTCCTGCACGATCCTAATCCGAACAGCCCAGCCGAATGCAGAGGCTGCGCAGTTGTACCGGGACAACATGAAGGAGTACGTGAGAAGGGTGAAAGCCACGGTGGAGGATAGCTGGTTAGATCCAGAAGAGAAGCAGAAGATGATGGTCAATGGCGACGGGGGAGGTAGTGTAGAGTCTGCTGCCTGACATGTTCTTTCGTTTGGTTCGTACTGTTTCTGAAAGCTACTATCATCCCACGTAATATGTCCACAGTTGCCAATATGCAAAATGTTCATAACAATTCAACGACGGATCCCCGCTGGCTTCCATGCAGTGATCGAGGCCGACGGCGTTGAATACCAGACAAGCAATATATCTGTAAACGTAGACCAGGCTGTCGTCCAATGGCAGGAGCGCATTCCTGTGTACGTCATCTTTAACCCGTCTGCTATACAGGTATTGAAAAAGACTCTAGGCCGCACGAGCCATGTTCCAAAGTCCGGGTCAGCATGTATGCCTCATTTGAATTGGGTCCCATGCTCTGTCACGGAGAACTCCTCCGCACGTTCGAGATCTCGGTTGGAGAATTACTGGATCGCAGCGAGAAATCGTATCGTCAGTATTGTCCGTTGCACACAATGCTTGACAGATGCTAACGAGCATTTCAGCCAAAGCAGCAGGAAGTCATATCTCAATGTCTGCCACGCCAACAGCCACATTCACAGAGCGGCTGCGATTGCAATAGAAACATGTGCTCTATATTCTGCTGGAGGCATTAAAGCAAATGATCTTGGGCAGGAGCGGCCCGCCCCATACATGCTTCCATTATCGCCGAATCAACTCGCTCATCAAGCACAGCGGTGTTTGGAGAGAGATGAACCTAGTGCCTTAGATGAAGTGATAATCCTTCATTATGATGCGCTCGGATACTACAACGCCGGACATGCTCGCCGAGGGCAATTGCTAGATAATCTAGTTGTAATGCTACAGACGAGCATCGAGCATCGAGGCGATGACAAAGATTTGGATCAAGCTATCGCACTTCAGACGGAGGTGCTAGCTTTGCGCCCGGTCGGTCAGATCGGTCCATGTCATTAAACAACCTCGCGATTCAACTCTCCTCCCGCTTTCACCACCGAGGCAACGGCGAAGACTTGGACGGGTCACGAGAGAACCTACTTTGTGCATTGACGCTCTTAACGCAGCATGATAACGAGCGCTGATAGAAGCTTTGAAAAGGTTGTGGGACAAGGTCGTCGGCCCAGTGGTCGAGAATTTGGGCGGATTGGAACGACTAGGTTCCCAAATATGGTGGTGCCCGACGTCTCTAATTGCCCAGCCGGTATCTCTTTCACTTTGGATGCTGGGTTCCATCTCGCATGTCATGGGACACAGAGATTTGACGAACCCTTCATGTCGGCCTTTCTTATGCGCGACCAGCCTCTTTCGCTCCTTGATATTGTACAAATGGATCTGTCTCGGCATCATTTTGCCTTTCTTTCTGCCTGTGAAACCGCCGTCGGTGTCCCTACAACACCCGACGAAGTGATACACCTAGCGGCTGGCCTGCAATTTGCTGGGGTTAGCAGTGTCGTCGGGACGTTGTGGAAGGTCGACGATCATACTGTGCGCCGCTTAGTCAAGGCATTCTACGAAAAGTTTTGCGAGGGTGGCACAATGAATCCTAAACTCGCTGCCCAAGCGCTGCACCATGCAGTCCCGTCGTTGGCTAGAGACAGAGACATACCTTTTTTTTGCATCAGATTTAGTCCTTTGGGGTCATAGACCCTATGTTGGACATGAGACATACCCTTGGCCCAGCGAATAGTGTTCGTGCATATTGGCATATGATCAATTTCGTGCGTCCTCCCACACTGTTGATTGAAGCATTCTTGAGACAATCTGACGACTTGGCATCTAGTCATGGCTATGCACAACCTATTGCTGAGGGACTTCGATATTCCGGACTTTGAGACTGTATACCTACACGATATGTACACCCAATTTTGACTTGAATCTCGTACTTTCTAGTTTGTTGCCTCGGCGCCGGGGGTGATCGCCTCTAAGGTGCAAATCCTGATGGTTTGTGCGTAAGAGTGAAGTTGCACAACACCGATCTGGCATAACGTCTCATGTGGCAAGATACACTTTGCGATGAACATGATAATCGAGTGTCCGAATTGCCTGAGGGCGTTGAATGCATTCCCACTCATCTGCTTCACCCTGGCAGGATATGGACACCAAATGAAGACAGGTAGTCGTTCGTTATGTTTTCGGAATTGATACCAAAAGCGTTGAAGCTCGCGAGGGAGTCGACATTTCCGTTCATGACCTGATTTTGAAAACTTCCATTGATTTCTGACAGACTGGCAAATTTGTCACTCTCGGGCCTCGGCCCTTGTCATGTCAGCAACAAGTTGCCGTCTACAAAAGGAAGTTACCCTGTAGCGCTTCAATTACGAGTACGTCTATAGTACTGATTTGATATTGACCGTCGGTACGCTGTATAGGTATGCAGCAAAGCCAGCCCACAAAATGAGCGTGCCATCCTGTAATGGTAATATGAAGACTTGATATTGTCCTTCTTGTCGCTGCAGTATCAGCAACGGCAAGAAGTTGGAGTGATGATGGTGCGCCGTGCCTCTGCGTAGTGTGAGCATTGCCAGCTGACTTCTTTCTAGCGTGACTATTGCTGACTATAAAGAACCACGAAAGAGAAAAAAAACGCACAGGCTTGCCCGCTGTGCAAGGGAGCTCATCCTCTCGTAACTGGATGTCCGATCAATCTCGTCTGCGTAGTATACCAAATACCAAGTTTCGAGTCCAGCTGGGAGTTCGGGATCAGAATTTGGCATTGGGCTCAGTTGCCCGATGTAAGTTGGAGCGGCGCCAAAACGAGGAAAGGGAACTGAGGGCGAATTGATGTGGTATTGGAGTGGGGTGGTTATGTGACCCACTGGATTGGGATAGATGGGTGCGCAACTGACAACGTATTTGTCAAACCACTGAACAATGGACGTAGATCACATACATTAGCCTCTCGCAGTGCATCATCGAAGAACCCTGGAGGTATTCGAGGAGCACAGTTCATCTTGGGAGTTCGTTTCGGTGTAACACCAGCCTGAGTGAGCAAATCTGTTGTTAGTTTCATCAAAAATCGAGTGTATTTGAGCGTACAACATTTGAAAGAAGGCCAGCTTCTTTGACAATAGCGGAAACATCCCATATTTATATGTAGCCGTCATGGCAGTTACTGACAAGAAACTTTCCACCTGTAGAAAAAGTTGCAAATTTCGCGCTGCGTCAATGGTCGAGTAGTGTTCTGATGCGTTGAATTGTTTCGAGGTTCCATAGTTGCGCTGTCACGGTGTTGTTCAAAGAAATTGATGCGCCTCCCAGGATCCGCTCATCACTCGCCCTCCATCTAGACTCCAGCATACAGACGCCACTTTCTTTGTATGTCTCGTCAATATTTTGATGACCTTGCCCATGTCAACGTTCCACAATTTCATTGCGCCATCACAATTCTCGGCTGCTACTGTATTGCCGCCCGGCGACAATGCCATGGCAGACACTCCTTCAGCTTTGTCCACTCGGTCCTCAACCTGCGTGCCACTCTCCAAGTCCCAGACTCGAAATGTCCCATCCAGTGAAGACTCATATGTGATGATCCACCGTCCACCAGGCAGGTACAAGATGCGGCTAGCGGTGTCGTTTACTTTGATCTATCGGTAAAGCATTGTCGCTGAATTAAAAGTCGTACGCTTTGCAGAGGCTGAATACCTTAGTATCTTGGTTTCGGGATTCACTTAATTGGTGCGTCGTAATGTCAGCTCTTACCATCAAATCCCATACGAATTCCATCACTTACAGATGTACTCAACTCGTACAGAAAGACGAATGCGGGATGATGCTGGTCAATGAAGTAAGTTAAAGCACGAGGTGGTAGTTTAAATCTTCTACACACGTGTCGTGTTTTCGTCCTCGTGTTTGCCTCACAGCTCCAACACCGGCTACTGGTTGTGCAGTTCATGCGCTCATTCATGACAACATGATCATTGGCCTCTCTGCGCCACGGTCCTACTATCCTGTAAACCTGCATCCTGTATTTCTCCACTTGGCCCCCGATGCAATTCCGCGATGGTCGGATCTATATTTTCTCTACCCGTTTTCACCGGCAAGACTCATTTAAAACACAACCATAACCTGAGCGGATCTTGAATCAGGACATATATACAGTATAACCACAGGGCGCAGACAGACATGAAATCATAAGTCTATAGAAAATGACAATTCAATATACGCACAGCAATCCAGAGTCCAGTCCGGCCTGTATTATGGTGATATTACGTCGCTCTAGTAGCCGATGGGGGAGTTGCGACCATGGTTGACCATTTATGTTCTATTAAGAAAACGGGTGCACCGGCCCATCCAGCACCGATGGCACGAGGACACGAGATTGTCTCTGGTGTCCTGAGATTCAGATATGAGCATGTTTACAAGTTAAAGAACAACGCCAGTTCAAGATGATCATAGGACAGAGAGGTAAGAGAGAATCAGTAATCGGAAGAAGCCGGCGGAGGTGCGAACTAGCGCGACGGTCAACAGCACTACCACTACGATGTACTTAATTTATGCGACACAGTTCTCTACCTACATCATACACCATCTTTCGAGCCCTCGATGTCTTCTCAGCCCCGCTTCGTCCCCAGTATGTATGCATCATGCCTACACGATGTACTCGGGGGTGAGATTCTGGAAGCGTTGGCAGATGGATGGAATTGAGTGCTTGGCGGAGACGCGCTGTTTATCGCATGAGGATATGTCGGGTTCGAAGATGGCAACATGATCATGCGACTGGCGTCCACACTCAACGGCATCCAATGTATATGCCACCCAGCGAGAGGCTGGAACCCGACACTCGAGGGCATCCGAGCATTATGCTGAACCCTGGGATGCTGTAGCCCGATATTAACGGGAGTCAGAGCATAATGATGCCCTGCAGGAGGCTGGAACCCGACACTAGAGGGCATCCGAGCATCATGCTGGACCTTGGGATGCTGTAGTCCGACATTAGAGGGAGTCCAAGAATAATGCCGCCCCGCAGGAGGTTGCAATCCGACACGAGGCAACACTGTGCGGTCTCGTGGCAAACTTGCAGGTGTCGACCTTTCGTTGATGGTGCGGTTTGTCTCATCCGAGACCTCAAGAAGGGAAGACTCTTTGCTGATGGTGTGATCTGCCTCCTCGTCGCCAAAAAGGGAAGACTGCTCGCTGACGGAGTGGTCCTTCTCGTCCCAAAATGGGGAAGATTCCTCGCTGATGGAGTGATCTGTCTCATCTCCAAACAGGGAAGATTCTTTGCTGATGGAATGAACACGCGCATCAACCCCACGTGACTGAGCTCGATCGGTCTGGTTGCCTTGTAGGTGTTGAGGACAGACTGGACGTGACAACAGAAGCGGTTGGAGTTTGTGGGGGAGCGAGTCTGAGATATTATCAGCCCTAAAAGGGTTCAACCTGTAATTGTTATCCTCCGAGTTTCCCCACTCCACGTCCATCAGAGACGATTGGTCATCTGAGTCTGAATCCGTGCTGTAAGTGCTTGCGGTGTCCCAGTTCCAGTTCGGGATTGCGTGCAAACGGCCGACAATCAGTGGTGAATCAGCAAGTTGTTTGCGTGCAGGTGCAGGTGCAGGTGCACATGAGGGTAGAGGTGCAGGTGATGGTAGAGGTGCGGGTGATGGTAGAGGTGCAGGTGAAAGTGCAGGTGAAGGTAGAGGTGCAGGTGGAAGTGCAGGTGAAGATGAAGGTGAAGGTGAAGGTGAAGGTGCAGGTGAAGATGGAGGTGCAGGTGAAGATGGAGGTGCAGGTGAAGGTGCATGTAAAGATGGAGGTGCAGGCGAAGGTGCAAATGCAAATGCAGGTTCAGGTTCAAGTGCAAGTGAAGATGGAGGTGCGGGCGCGGGCGAAGGTGCAGGTGCAGGTGTAGGCGGCGGCGGCGGCAGAGATGGAGATGGAAATGGAGGAGGTTCTAAGAGTTCAGCTTGGTGTGCCGGTGGGTGGGCATATGATGGCTGTGGTAGGCCACCATGACCATGACTTGAGCCTGGCTGGGCAACCTTAGGGACATATTGCAGAAACCCGCTGTCTAAAATTTTGTAGGTTTGTCTTGATTTCTTCAGTTCGCGAGTCGCAGCGCCCCCAGAAGCCACACTCTTCGGAACTGGGTTGAAGAACCTGAAACTAAGATCTGAGAACTTCGGTTTCTTGTCTAACATAGCAATGTTAAGTTAGCATCAATGAAGAAAAAAATACAACATACCTGCGGGCATGTTGCACTACTTGAATGACTGAAGTGGGACTATGGTGAATCGGTGCCGCAGCGTGCAGACAAGGTGGTGGTTCGCCAACTGAAATCGTTCCAACATTCTCGGCATAGAGCAATAAATAATATTGTACAGACCTCACGGAACAGAGCATTATCTTTGACATAATCAATCCAAAAAAGTAATTCCTACTTATGTCTTGGTTTTTGAATAAATACCCAATATATATATTGGTCCTAATTATGCGCGTCTGTTCTTCTCACGGTTCTTTACCTTTTGTACTTGCCGCTCCCAACTGACCATGCCATACACGATACATCCCTGGTACATGGACCGATCCTTATGCCGTAGTAGGAAGCTCATCATAATATTGACCAGTTGCCTACCCGGCATGTTGTACTCAATCGATCAATCGCGATGTGCAGGCGAGTCATGGCCATGCGTCCGGAGTCTCACCCAAACTGATGACAATACGTTTCACACCTCCAGAGCCGTCGCCGTGCTGAGGCAGGTGTCAAGCCCCATCACATCGCTCGTTACCTTGGGAGAGGATTTTCAGGAAATGACCCATACAATGACTCACCATTTCATTCAGAATAGGTGGTGATCCGCTTTCCACCGGGCAGGCATAAGTTGTGTTTGATGTGGTTTATCTTGACCTTTCGTTGAGGTGTCGGATTCTTGTGCTTTGCAGGGGCTGATTCCCCATGATTTTGGTTATGGGATTCACTTATGAGTGGTTTCAGTTTTTACCATCAATTGCCGCACGAGTTCATCACTTATTCAGAATCCAGATGTACTTGACTTCTACAGAAAGACTTAGAATGCAGAAGGAAAGCTGCAACAGAATGGGTGTTTCGTTCCATGGATATTCAAGCCAGGAGGGAGGTTGTTGTTTAACTCTTATACACGTTTGTCTTACTTGCACGATCCTCATGTTCATGTTCAGTCCCCGTCAACTTCGCAACTTCAGCACTAGCTGTGCAGATTAAGCGCTCAACGCCCCTTTTGGACGATATGGATATGCCCACTTCCATCATCTGCATTGACCCTTCGGCATCAAGGTCCTACGATTCCGCAAGCCTGGGTTTCCTTGAATCTAACTCGACGCATCATGTTCTACGGCCATTGTTCTCAACATCCAACATAATTTTTTCAGCTTCATCGCTGTACTGGCTAACTCACTCTAGCCTCGCGAGGCGCACGTGCACTGGAATAGTCAAAAATCGGCTCCTCGATACATTCAGTCTAGCTGTTATTGATGACTAGTAAGCAACAAATACAGTACAACGACGAAGTACAGACGGCAATGGGAATGTCATTAAAAAACATCAATTCAACGCGTATTCCAAAGCAAGAACCAAATTCAGCACCCTGTCTGTATTACGGTGATGTTATGTCGTGACATTATCGCAGGTAGCCGGAAGGGAAATTGCATCTGCGTCTCTAATGCCGACCGTCTGTTATCTGAATAGCGCCAACCAGAATTTCTCATGATGATATAAGGACGCGAGGTTGCTTCCGTTGCTCCAGCAGTACCAGCGAATGCGAACAGTGTCGAAGCAGGGCTGCGGCAGGTGGTAGCTGTGATGATGATGGTGTGCTATGTGCTGCCGCACCACGTTGCCGCATTGTATGAGTATTGGAAAGTTGAGATGAGCTGGAAACTGACTTCTTCTTTCTTGCGTGGTACTTTCTCTGCGCAAAGGGGTGTCAGCAATACAGAAGAACTGTGAAAGGAAAAAAAAAACGCACAGGTTCGCCCGTTGTGCAAGGGACCTTGACCTCTCGCAACTGGATGTCTGATGTATCTTGCCTGGGTAGCATACCAGATACTAGGTTTTGAGTCCAGTTGAGAGGGTGGGATCGGGTTTGCTCAGTTGCCGTATGTGACTTGGAGCGTTGGTGTGGCGCCGGTGTGGAGTTTTATATGCCCATGGATTGGCATAGATAAATGCGCAACTATGATGTATTTGTTAAAGCATTGAATAGTAAATAAAAATCACATACATTAGCTCCAGTTGTAGTGAATCGTTAAAAAAACCATGGGTTTGTTCGATAAGCCCCTTCGATCCTTAGGGCTGGTTTTAGTGTAGCATCAGCCTGGGGGTCCAATCCATTGTCAATATTATTAAAAATGAAATCTATCTGAGCTTACAATATCTGACGGAAGACCAGTAACGGAAACATCCTATTGGTATAGGTGGCCATCGTTGCAGCCAGTAACGAGGAAATTGTCACATCTGCAGGAAAAAATAGCAGAGTTCACAAAGTCTTCATGGTATTCCAATGGGTTGGTTCCATAGTTGCGCTTTGTTGTCCAAGAAATTTGATGCGCTTGCGACTCGGGATGCGTTCATTGCTCTGCATTAATTGGTCTGCATCAAGAACAGTTCAAGTGGCTGTGTTGAGTTTCCCGCGCCTACGTCAAGCATCCCTGGGCCCTACTAGATCCCTTTGAGTAGTTCACCTGTGTCGGCATCCCATATTTTCAGCTCGTCCCCGCCTATGGCAATCGTCTTGGCATCAGGTGAGTAGCACGCTGCCCACGATATACCCTACCTTGATTGGTCCGAGGATAGTTTCTCCGCTGTCGACATCACAGGATCCGCTCACCACTCGCTTCAGCTGTCTGAACTGAGAACTCCAGCACACCGTGACAGACTGCACCCTCTTTGCATGCCCCATCAATGTTCTAATAACCTCGCCCGTGTCAACATTGCACAACTTAGTTGTGCCATCAAAATCTCTGGTTGTCACTGTCTTGCCACTCGTTGAGAATGCTATGGCAGACATCTCTCTTTCTCTGTCCTCCCATTCCTCGATCTGCATGCCTCTCTCCAAGCCCCAGACTCGAAATGATTTATTTTATGAATAGGTGATAGCCCGCTGTCCACCGGGTAGGTAGGATTTATCCGATGATGCCCTTCACTCTGATCTTTCGGTAAGGCATTGCTGCTGAATTCTTGCACTTCGCAGGGACTGGATGCCCTATAATTTCGGTTGGTTTCGGGATTCACTTAGTGCATGCGTTATAATTTCAGCTCCTTCCATCAATTGCCGCATGAATTCATCACTTACTCAGAATTCGGATGGGTCTACACACGCCTCTTCTTTGCGTGATCTTCAGCACTGGCTGTGCAGACTAAGCGTCCAACGCTCTTTTTCCGCAACATGTCCGCTTCCTCCATCTGCATTGATCCCTCGCTATCGCGGTCCTATGATCCCACAAGCCTGCATTCTTGTGCTTCCCTAGGCGGATACGATTCTTCACGCTTTGAGGCTATTCCCTCGTACTGCGTTTCCCTTGAGAGTCCAACTGGACACATCATGCTCTCCGCCCCTTGTTCTTTACGTCTGACCTGGGTTTTACGTCGCCAAACTAGCTGATTTGCATTCTGGCCATCCTCGTCATATTTGCCTATTCTTTGTCCAATCAATTATTCCCTTCTCAGTGCCGCAGGTCTCTTATTTTAACGACCGGGTTGACTACCTGTTCCACTGAGCTCGTCGGTGGTGGGAGAGGTGCTCAAAGGCTTGCTTACGCGCAGGAAATCTTATACATCTTATAAAAGACATGCTACAATCTCGACTCAGATTGCTAGACTGTATATACAGACTTGTATGTACCCATTTAATAATGAATGGTGTACATGATCTATGCGACATATAACGCTGAAATCTCTATCTACACCATTTCTCGAGTCCTCAATCTCTTCTCAGGTCTTCTTCATTCCCGGTCTATGTGCACCATGTCTAAATGACGTCGTCCTCGGGAGTGAGGCTGTGGAAGCATTGGCAGATGGATAAAATCGAGCGTGTGGCGGAAACGCGGTGTTTGTGGCATAGTAGGGATATATCGGGTTCGGAGGTGGCAACACCATGCTACTGGCCCCCACGCTCGGCGGCATCCAATAATGATGCGGCACAGGGAGAGGCTGGAATCCGATATTGGAGGGCATCCAAGTATTATGCTGGATGCTGGGATGTTGTAGCCCGATATTGGAGGAGGCCCAAGTATCATACTGCCCCGCAGGCTGGAACCCGACACTAGAGGGCATCCGAGCATTATGCTGGACCATAGGATGCTGTAGCTCGACATTAGAGTAAGCCCAAGGATAATGCGGCCCTGCAGAAGGCTGGAACCCGACACTGGAGGGCATCCGAGCATCATGCTGGACCCCGGGATGCTGTAGCCTGACATTAGAGGGAGCCCAATGATATTGCCACCACGCTGGAGGCTGCGATCCGACATTAGGTAACACTGCGCGGTCCTGCGGCAAACTTGTAGGTGTCGATGTTCCCGAGTCGTTGACAGTGTAGTTCATCTCATCCGAGTCCCCAAAAAGGCAAGGCTCTTCGCCGATGATGTGGTGTGTCTTATCGTCGCCAGAAACGGGAGACTGCTCGCCGATGGAGTGGTCTGTCTCATCCCCAAACGAGTCCTCGCTGATGGAGTGATCTGTCTCATCTTCAGACAGGGAGGATTCTTCGCTGATGGGGTGAACTCTCTCATCATCCTCGGGTAACAGAGCCCAATCGGTCTGGTTGTCTTGCAGGTGGTGAGGGCGCACTGGACCTGATAGCAGAAACGGTTGGAGTTCGGGGGGAAGTGAGTCTGAGATATTTTCAGGCCACAAAGGGTTCAGCCTGTAATGGCTGTCCTCCAAGTTGTGCCACTCCACGTCCATCAGGGACGATCGGTCATCTGAGTCTGACTCCGCGCTAGAAGTGCTTGCGGTGTCCCTGTTTTGGATTGCGTGCAAACGGTCGGTGATCATTTGTGAATCAGCAAGGTCTTCAAGTTCTAACTAGAAATTAAGCAAGGAAGGCTGGGGATGGAAAATGACTTGTAAGTCTTAGAAATTGAAGATGCGGAGACTGGCAATGAGCCTTTTGTAGGATCCCGGGAAAAGTCCACTATCCACAATTTGATAGAGTGGCTCATTGTTTGGAGAATTGAGCGCCGGCAAACCTTGAGATTGCTCAAAGTCTTCTTGTCGTGAAGTTCCTTTTGATAGTATAGCAGGTTGTAGCATAGACGGACATCGGGTAAATATGATTGTCCCGACCATCCAAGTCGTACGTGGGACTGTGTCCGAGTCATATGGTCGTGACAGTAACAGAAAATTTTGACATGCGCTGCTCCCACACAGGGATCGGCTGATTCTCGTGGAGGGTGAACTGGTAGTAAGGCTAGTGGCTCGCTTGCGTCATGTTGCCATGCAGTACCCACGGGCGAAGTGATGTAGCCTATTACATAATGCCTTTGCAGTGGGCGCCCTTGTTTAGCCCGAGCCCGAGTCCGAGCGGCATCATAATGATAACCGTGACGGGTTAGCACACCTCCATCTCATCCACGCGGTGAGTAGAAGACAATGAGACTAAGGGAATGCCCAAACTTGAAAGGCGATTGCGATACGGGCCCGGGTAAGCGAAATATCAATAGAGATAGGCTTACTGCTCGACGGGTTGCAGAAACCTCGTGAACTCGTTCAACGTACAACACTTTCGCGTTCTTGGATCTGATGCCGTATGGTTGACCGGTCATTGAATGATTTTTTTGGAGCTCTCGTAACTTCCCCAGCTACTAATCGGTTCAGCATTAACGAAAGTTTGGCTCATAGCATGGCTTACCAGTGTCTCTCTTAGTACGTTCTCTGCATTGAACAGTTACGAGGTATGTGATAAATGCCATTCCAGAAACTCGTTATCGGAGCAATCTTACACCCTGGCACAGTGGCTACACAGGCCCCGCAACGTTGCAAACATTGATTCTCTCGTCGCCAGCCTCGAAGGACCTTAGGGCTTAGGACTCATTGTGATTCCAGACTTCAACTCGTCACGATAGTGCTCTTCATCATGAAAATTACCTCTGCTCTCATCCTGGTGTTAGTTGCTTGTGTGCAGGCTCAGCCTTCAGTCAATATCTCGTCACTACCCAGCAGTATTATACTCCCGACGTAAGTACCTTCCGCCTCTACTACAGCTGTCATAAGCTACATTGACTATGATTCCTATAGCATCACCCTCCCTCCGCCCCCTTCAGTGACTGGATCTACGTTGACTCTGAGCGGTCAAACTTTAACACCGCCAAGCCTGTCATTCGGGGCCACTGCGACGACGTCCGCGTCCACGTCAACGAGTACGACCGCCAAGTCCACAGGTGCAGCAATGGCACGCTCTTATGCTGACACTGAATTGGTCATGGGAGCTGTGGCAGCATTCTTCGGCGCCTTCGCCTTTCTGGAGTGAAAAAGCCCAGTAGTTTACCCATGGACCATGGTGAGAGCTGCCATGCGCGCCTTTTCACGATAGAGCGTTGGACTGACTAAATCTAGATAGAGTAGACTAGTTCTAGTTTATGCATTGCACTATGCTACCATTTGGCCGTTATAAGGTATACTAGTAAAAATAATCATCTGTGTGTATGAATGTGGGATAGATAGCAGGTTTGGCCATCATGCATCAATCTCAAGCTCGTGCCAAGGCGCACAGGCCGCTTTACGGGAAAATAGAACATAAAAAGACGACATGTCTGCGCTTGTGGATTAGGTTTTCATCCCAAACAACTACGAAAATGAGCAATCAGCAATCGCAACAAGGGATAATGTAATATCATACAGTCTTGATCTCCTTAACGCTCATCTTCTGTAGCTTCGTTCCCGTGCCCTCGCCGAGCGCGGCGTCCGCAAGGTCACTTTTAACCTCTTGAAGGCGGAGCATTCTGCAAGGTCGTTGTGAGGAGGTAGACAGTCGGTAAGTAAATACAAATGGGGAACCTGAGTTAGTGTTTGGATGATGGAAACGATTAACTTACCGCTCCTCTATCGTATTTTTGACAACAAGTCGCTTGACAAAAACATCTTTCTCCTGTCCCAGACGATGCACACGGTCGTACGCTTGTGACTCGGATGCATAATTCCAGGATAGGTCCAAGCTACTCATCGTCATAAGGTTCAGCAATCATGATATACCAGTAAATGATTTAAACTCTAAGACTTACTTGATGATCCGATTTGCCATGACCAGATTCAAGCCTACACTACCACACTTCGTGCTAATGAGGATGACCTTGGGTACATCGTATCGTTTGAATGTCGCAAGGGCTTGATCCCGCGATCTCCGGTCCATGGAACCATCGTACCGCAGGCTGCGGATCCCATATCGCGAGAATAACGTTTCTATGAGGTCAAGCATCGAGGTCCCTATGTGATATTAATATTACTGTGTCAGCAATAACTTGCAAGTCCTCGCCGAAAGTACGGACACTGCGAATAGCAGATTGTCTTGTCCCCGCTCGCGTCCCATGATTTGAGGAAATCGATAAGGGCGAGCATCTTCGTACTCGGTTCCAGGTCGCAATCACCTTTTCGCCACATGGCAATAAGTGCGTCGGATAGGGCACCGGTGTTTTGCGATGCAGGTTTCTCTTCGTCGTCCCTCATAGGTGCTTTCCCCTTTCCATTATCATCGTGCTTCTGCGAGGGCCGCACGGCATACCCCCTCCCGAGCTCAACGTCGGAGCCATCGAGGTGATCCGACACATCACTCATAGTCAAATCGAGCACTTCGTCCTGTAGTACACACCAATCATCAAACCCAGCGCCGACGAAGACAAAACTTATACCCACATTGTCAGGCCGCTGGCGCGACCGTTTATTCACCGCAGCCTTCTTCTCCTTCTTCATTTTTCCTCCGTTCGCAAATAGCCGAGAGAAATCTGGCATATCGTCGTCGGAGCTGTCGAGTTCTGGCGTCGCACCCCTGAAACGTAAAGGCGCAGATACCTCGACTTCCGAATCTGAGTCAGAGGACTCTGAAACTGGACCCTGGCGCATGGGTTTCTCAGGAACAAGCCGACGAGCACGCTTACGAGCGCGATTTGCCTCCTCGACTTCATCCTCCTCTGGCTCGAATGCAATAGACTTGAACACCTTCGTTGAGTTCAGCTCGTTCATCTTCTTACACGTAGGGCCTGCGCGAGTCAGTGAGAGTACAGTGTGACGAAAAAAAGGGATACGTACAAGGTCGGTAACCTTTTGCAGCTGCTGCTTCATACTCGCGTTCGGCACGAAGATTTTCTTTCTCGTTTCCATGACCACTGGGTAACTGTAAGGTGTAACGGCAAGAATAGGAATTAGGAGCTTACAATTCCCCGTTGTGGGCAATCGGCGAACTCGAAAGTATGAGCATACAATCTAGGGATACAGGAGCACAATCAAACACAACAACAATGGCATAATGAGCGTTTACAGACCAAAGCAGATCTCATGGCCACAGGCAAGGACACGGCCAGCGTTGTTGGCGTACACTTTCACATACATGTGAGTGTCAAGCATTCGTGAAACACGAGTACATACTATCTTTGCAGACAGGGCATGTTGAATCTGCGCCCTCCTCATCAGAGAAGGCGAGTAGGTTACTTTCCAGCGCGCGTGTCATGAACCTGAGTGTGCAATTTGTTAGCTCTTTTACTTGTAACGAGCAAAACCAAACCTCTTCTTGATCTGGAGGCAGATAATTTAATACTGGCCATGGGTAGACCAACAACACTCACGTCGCCGACCCAGTCCGAACCCATGACTCGGATTGCTCGCGCAAACTCCCTTTCCTTGTTGTCGGACATGAGTATGGAAGGGTCCTCATGCTCTTCTGTGTGAGACTGTGACGTGTGTTAATTTACCTATGTGATCGAAGAACAAAAGACGCGCTAAGATTAAGTTCGGGTGACAACACAGCTGCCGAAGCCGGAGGATCATCGCCTGTAGAATGTATTAAACACGACCACAGGAGCGCAAATACGAATAAGTACCAAGATAGCAGTTGCACTGAGATAGGAATTGTATTTAGCAAATATAACACAAAAATAATCAAGTGCATACTTCTTCAACAACGTCCCTTTTCTGATGAAGCGATTGATTTGAATGTGGCTTTTCTTTTCGAAATCGTCATATAGCTGTGAGATGTGAGTATGTGAAATGTCAGAGTACCCGATCGACGTACCTGCCGCTCGTCTGCCGAGAACTCGAGAGTCACGAGCTCAATGTTTTTCGGGGGCAGCTGAAGAATGAGCTTTCCTTCCTGTACAACTCATGAGCGAGAATACAGGAATAAAATATCCTATTAATAATTTACCAATCTAGCTTGTTTTGTACGGCGTAGTAACAGGGGCTTCAAAATCTCCTGCGCTCGCATTGCTGTATGATTGAGCCCAAGAACCACATCAGAATGGGCGATTTACTCACCCGCAAGCGGCGCATCCTGTTGCTGTACCTTCGCCTAAACGAAGATGAGAAATAGAACGTCCGAAACGCCAAGGAACGCACAATATATTGTTTAAATGACTCCCAGTCATTCCAAGGGCGGAAACGTCCAAAGCGAATAAGCCCATATATGTCAGCACTGAGAGTAGTTGGGTAAGCAAGAAATGCTGTAAGAAATTGGGCATACAGTGTATTCGTGACGGGTGTGCCTGTAAGCATCCACCTATAAGTCGACCGGAGAAGAACAACACTGCGGCTAGCGTGCGTTCCTCTGTTTGGAATGTCAAAGAATTCAATAAATGGTATCATGGCGAACATACCTGTTTCGAATAAATTGGGCCTCATCTAAAATTACACGATACCATCTCATGCGACCAAGTACCCCTCTGCAAGGTAGTTAGAGGGTCGACACAGTGCAACTAATGTGTTGCCTACCCGTGATCCTCGAGATATGCCAGTTCCCCGCCTTCTTCGATGTCTTTTGGAATAGCAAGCTCCGTGCTCAGGGTTTGATATGTAGTGATGATGACCTAATGATATCTCAGTGACTTCGCGAAGCTATGATGATTCGCATGACGTACATCTTTAGATCTGACGTCCATAAGGGTAGAAAGCTTATCCCGTCCGTGATGTATATGAACGGTAAATAAGTCATTTGACTTCGTTTCGATTTCTTCCTTCCACTGGCAATGGCGTCAACATGGTCAAAGCCAATCAAGGAAGACAAACTAGCCTGTTGAAGGAGCGCAGCGGGAACGACGACAAGGGTTGTCTTCACAGCATCAGTGTCCTTGGGCAAATTGGCTGCCATTGTGGCAATCATCTGAACAGTCTTGCCTGAGACAGAATATCTCGTCACATATGCGTTTTGACGAAATTAAGACCAACTGACCGAGACCCATTTCATCTCTGAGTCCAGTCAATATATAAGGTGCAACGGTTGAATATCAAAATTACTGACGCTAAGATACCACCCTTGTGAGGGGACTTTCTTTCTTGGTCCACCATCCTGTGCGCTGAAATTAATATGTGCACAGAAACTTGTATAATACTCGTACCAGTTGACGCCAATGAGCTGGTGAGGTAAAAGCCGTACTTCAAGACCGGGAAGGAGATCCTTGTCACTATACAATCTTAGTACACCTATTGCGAATCCCATATTGAATGCACTGTGTACCTCTGAAGACCGAGGTTCCGGATAGCATCCTTAACGGACCGCCTATCCCCGAGGTTTTCAATAGAGTTATAAACAAACTCTGCCAATCTTGCACATGGGTCAGCGAGGGGTGCCGGTGATGTTCCATTGCTCAGACAAACGGTACCTCTGTTCTTGATCGGGGCCTCCTTGATCAATGTGACTGACTGGAGTTTCGTCGTCGTATCTCAAAGAAAAGCCAGATGTAATGAGCTTGCTTTGAATCTCATTTTTGGGTCTTGAATTAGATCTGCCAGCTCTAGATGAAGCACCATGTGATGAAGCGCCAGCTGCGGTCGGCTCGTGAGATGATAATAACAGATATCTGCAATTCTCTTACTCGCATGCACAGGCTTGTTAAATGGGGAGTGTGGTCCATGTATCACTGAACCGATGTCTGGAAGAGTTTGTACTCTTCTCACTGGCGACACAGGAAAGGTATCTGACTCGGAATTACGCTTGCCGAGAATTTGGGTGGTATGAGAACTTGAGGAAGAAGAAAGCATAGAGGAATCCAGCGCAGCCAGGACGCGCGATGTCTTCTTTTGTGTGCTCTTGGGTATATCACCCATCTTCGCGTATGGCTGAAATAGACGAGCGAGACCTAAAATGTGTTAGGTACAGCTTGGTACAGCAATTAATTAAGTTGAAGGCGTTGCCAATTGATGACAAACAAACTCTAAAACATACGCGGGAGCAATTCGGAATATTCATGGTACTTGGACTCGGTTGGCATCTTCACCTATTCGCGTCCCTTCCAGTGGAATGTATGGATTTGACACTGGCGACTTTCATTGCGACTGTGAAGTGTTGAACGAGTACGGGCCCTTTGGGAACAATAGTCAACTTCAGTCAAATTTGCACGCTAGGCCATCAATCAAGCAGGACGACCTTACGTGGCGAAGAAAATGTCTTTTATGATGTGCTCTTGTACCTCGCCGAGGCACATGAGATTGACGCGCCAATGCGTGTAGAACTGATTGTATTCTTCCGGGGGATACACCGTGTTTGACCTCCTCCTTTCACTCGCCTTCTGCAGACCCTACCATTCCTGCTTACCCTAGCAATCTATACCCATCTTGTCGTTGCCCCTTCCTGAACCTCAAGGCGGTCCCTCCTACACACACGGCGTGTCCCACTGGCATTGTGCAGTAGGCTTACGCGCTTGGGCTCAAGAAATTGAAGTAGAGCTTCGGGCCCGATGCGTGTGAACTTGGTATTCGGCAGGTTAGGCCCGTCGAGTTGTGAATTTAAAGCCAAAGACTTCTATAGGCTTTTGGCCCCAAGTAATTCCCATCACCTTCAAGACCATTCCGGGTTTCTACTGAGCTGTACCTGCTACGCCTTTTACAGTCCGAATTTCGAGGTATAGATTTGATCTGACTGATGTGCCGGGCCTGGCCTGAGGCCCTCACTGCGGAGCAGAGAAGCAATATTATGTTCACCCTATTCGAAGGAAGGTCCCATTGACGGTACAAATCCTGAGAGGCGGTCCGCAATCCTGACCTCTGAACCACTGCTTGGCATTGCACTGGCTGTGTCACACGACCACAGGCTTCGACCAAAACAACCCCAGCCTGAGAGGTAGGCATCGGATCCGTTCAAGTCTATTTCAAATGTCCTATAATCCATACATAGTTATATGAGTAAATTTACTAAATGCCTGCAGCACGTGAGACCTCTCGACTTTTACCCGAGGACGTGACTACCAAAAATGAACTAATTGTTTACAACAACACAAGCAAACCTGCAGCAGCTCCCGCAGCCAGTCCCAGCCCCAGCCCCAGCCCCACCTCTGTTCGTCCTGCAGCGCTAGACGTTGACGTAGCCGCTGCGCCCGTCGCACTTGATGTAGACCCGCCAGACAGAGGCGTTACGGTGGGAAGTGTGCCGAGAGAAGTAGGAAGGGTACTAGGAAGGAAAGTAGGAGTGGTTGAAAGTGCGCTTTGTATAATTGATGAATCGGAAGACGCGAGCGAGGAAAGCAACGAGGTAAAAGCTGAGGTGTCCAAAGAAAGTGTACTCAAAGGCAGGCCGCTTGATCTATAAGTCGGTTATACGGTGAGCAGATTTGAAGGGGAATGCGCACGAAGAGTTTGTAAGTCACATACCCTGGGACTCCACTGGGTAAGACTGGGGTAGAAAGGGTTGTTGCTGCTCGCGCACTCGCGATGAATGAAAGCACAAGAGCGGACGCGAGTTTCATGGCGAAGAAGATGGAAGAATAGCAAAACTATTATTCGTCAGAGAGGGATTATCTGAGACTAGGAGTTACTCACGTCGTGTAGTGTACTTGAGGCTGTTGTATACAGTGACTTGGGAGGTTTATATAGGGAAAAAAAATTAGGTCGACCAGTGCACACCAGTGCTGCGGAGCAGAGCAGTCCCTTACTGTATAAATAACTTAAAATATTGTCACTTACGACTCGCAAGCAAGCGCCGCCGTGATGGGACGTGACCACGACCACCTGCTACCGCGGCAGGACCATAATGTTAACAGTTATTTGAGATCCAAATGTAATTAAGCACGCCATAATCTGTCCGCGATACTAGGAAACACACGGTACTATCACTGCCTTTTGGCGTAACGATTCAGAACGTACGACAGTTTTGACTAATACTTACACCGGACTCGCTTGATTCCCGCCGCTCATGTATCCTTCATATATGCCGGCCTGCGAATGAAGGGCGCTAAATTTGTTTTTAGACAAGCACTCGCCATGCACGAATCTAGCTCCCGGCGCACACCTTTGCAAGGCACCAGTCAGTTGTACTTATTTTTACACAATCTTCATTTAACCGTTCCACCGCCAAAGTCTCTTCAAAATCCTTCTCGGCCCACCCTTCTTCGAGTTCTCTCTCTCTGCCTTGACCGTACCTTGGGCTTGAGCCTCAACTTCCGTCCCACCCTGCGCGTGACGCCGTTTATACTGTGCGGGGGTTTCCCCCACTGTACCGTGTTTCCACATGCCTCTGCGCGCAGCTCTGAAGAGGATAATGGGTATAAGGTTGTGCCACAAAAGTGAAACAACTTACCGCGACTCAGCTTCAACTCTCAAGAACTCGTCCTTTCCATACTTCCCGTACTCTGCACCTGCTTGTACATAGGTCAGGCCCGTGCCAGCCCGGATCATCTCAAGTGCGAGACTTCGGCCTGTGATAAGCCAGCCTGGAAGGAGCGATGGCGCAAGAGTGACTACAGATACCTATTTGTGAATGATGGTCAGTTGGTAGAATGAGGATGAGGATCTAGTGTCGGTACACACAATACGAAAATATTGGTCACGCCGAACGAGCTGGCAGTAGACTATCTTGCCCTCGATCATATTCTTCAACCACGCGAGAGCTTCTGAAGCGTATGGTTGAGCTTGGCGACCAAAGTGTGATCCCTGCACGCAATCGACCGACAATTCATTCAGGTTGGCCTTGTCTTGAACTCTCTTGAGCCCTACGTGTACAACCAACGCACCTCGGGTGCATCAACGCCTGCAATACGAACGTGTATCGTTTGCTCTCTAAGATCTTATCGATCCATGTAAGCGAGCACATAACTCGTGAAAAATAAGGGATACAAACGAACCTTTATTCAAAGTTGGTACTCTCCTGAATTTCAGTGGCCACCTCCACCCAAAACCAGGGGTATGATACAGCCTGAAATTGTCTGCATCCCCTACACTTTGCGTACCCATTATAAATTAGCCAAGCCCAAAGCCTGCATAACGTTGAAACTCAACACACCTCGTCACAACGCCCCTCACCCATCTCTTCCGCTGAAGTATATCAGGTGTAATCCATTCAGCTGTCCTCAAACGTCTAAAATACCGCCTGTACACGAATGTCGTGCCAAGCGTCGAAACAGAGCCCAGGAAGATACCGGATAAAATAAGATATGCAGCGGGACGTGACCCGAGATCGTACGCTCTGGCTCTGAGGCGGTTTTGGATGTTGGCGTTATACTCTTGAAGAGTGGTGTTCGCGTTCGCTTGTGTAGTAGCCACATACCTCTTGAAAACATCTTTCGTAGCAGACCAGCGCGCTGCGGGCCCGTGCTGTTCAGAAGGTAGGGACGATGTGTCCTCTTCTGATGCCTGCTTCTTCTGGCGCCATGGAAGATGCATTGGTTGAGGTGGTCACACTAGCACTGGTCCACTGTAAGAAAAAAAGGGAAAGTGAGAACGTAACGAACAACGGTTATCTTAGATGGTAAGCGTACTGCACAGCGGACAACTTGGATCTTGACCACATACAAGTTTTAGATGTTCTGACTTTGCCTGTGATCTCTATTTAGAGTCAGATCACAGACCGTTGGACCAACTCGCAGCATCAACTGAATTTAATTTTACGGTACTTTGACGTTGACATCTAATACTAGCAGCTGAATGACTAAGCTACGGGAAAGTCCGACAAATTGAGTCCCATTGTAACTCCACTACGAAATTAACTTGGACAACCAGAGCATGCTGCATCGAAATTCGAAGACCCTGTGGGGCAGAAATATGTCGATTCGTTGGTCTCAATTATTCCAGTTTTCTGCGTCCAGTTCAACAGGGTTACGTTCAGAAGTAAGCCTTGCACCTACATTGTAGTAACAGTCGCAGAAGTCTCCTGAGGGGTCATTGCCTCTATAACTATAGCACGCCATCATGTAAGTCTCTTTTACTATGAATTGAACCCGCTTTATGACAACACTTACAAGCAATGGTATCCGCTGTGTACCGTGCACTGCTCCTGGAGGTTGTAAGTCACGTCGTTGAACATGACGGATGTTGCGCATTCCATGCACTGTGCGGTAGCGTACGCGACGAGCGTACAGAGCACTGTGATGGATGTAGGGACGCGCATGATGGATTTGCTTGGCTGGAATACCCAAACCAAGACTCATATACCTCCCTCGTCATACAATTCTTCCGTTCATCTCGGCTTTAATAGCTCACCAACGTTATCATCGGCGCGGGTCAACGTTCTTGCAACTCTTTTCCCAGCTATGTCATCTATCGTTTCCAACGGGCCGGACACCCAGCGTGCATTGGGCGTTATGAAGTTACTATTTACTTCAAATTTTAGGATTGCCGCTGTGTCATAAGAATGACGAGTCTTGAATTTGGGCTGCAAGCTGGTATAACAACAACCAGCTGTCGGTGAAGAAATGTATATACAGCGGTGATACAGTGGCATCACCCTGGGAGAACGGTAAGTTCTACGGTAGCTTCGCTGCATGATATTTCTTCCGACTACGCATCGCGCCCAGATAGCAATATTCGCTAGTTCCCAAGCGAACCTCACCATCATCATCGACACAAGTCACGATGTCTGACCCCCCGATAAGTGCTTTAGGCCGGTACTCCTGACTGTGTAACTTCGCCACACTATCGTCTGCAAACTGGTTGTCGCACATAAGGTGTCGAGTCTTGCCGGAGATAAGGCCTCGAGCTATCCTGCCACATGAAGGTGAGCTTAACACTGCCTGTAATCTGCTTCGCGCCTAGATTCGTCTCTAGATTGAGGCTCTATGAGCTACTCCACAACAACAAGGATACGGGCAGGAACGATAGACCGATGCTCCGCTGTCCTTCTGCCAAAGGTTGATCCGTACCAGATCCGCCAGTGGAATAGATCGGCTCTCCAGTTAGATCCACAACGAGCATTGCGTCTACAATCACAGCGTGATATCAAAGGTGCGATTGTATCCACATTCGATCACGGAACTATCTTTGATCGAGTTTGGGAATTCCAGTCTTGACAAGCGCGGCAATTCTAGGTTTACCTCGTTCACCGTGAAGTTGGCATCGAGAAATATAAAAAGATAGTGTCTCAGTGGCGCTTCAGAAGTACTCAAGTGGCAATTGCAGATGGAATTGGTAGTTGCAGAAGAAGTGCTTGCAGAAGCACCACTGGTCAAGGTATTGAGTATGACTCTGAGTTAGCCAGGAGCCGGTTTGATGTGAATGAAGAACATCTACCTCAGACTGGCTCCCAGCCAGCTTCAGAGTTAGACTCAAGACTGAAATTGACTATCAGAGGCAAGACACGTATGTTCACCCATAAATTTTACACATAATGCACGAACAGGCACGAACTACCATATCGATACATGGGACCTGCCCCCCGTCCCGTGCCCTCCTGTCCAATTTCCACAACCAAAGCTAGATGTACGCGGAACCACTGTTACAGCTTGTTCAGAGTGTCCCGTGATCGTTCAAGCATGTGGAAAGATATATTATCTATGGTACGCCTCGTGCAAGCTCTTGGCAGATTCTGCCTCTTGGGCTAACACAAGTACTAGTAGTTGCCTTTGAAGCTTACCATGCGAGTCACGCGCGACAACGGCTACCGACGATCTGTAGAAGAATGCATGCGCACCCCGAGGATCGCATCTGTTTGATATCTGCGTGCACTCGGTCACCAAAGATATATGAGCTATGCTCCACAAGTGCGCCAGGTCGGACGTTCCAGTGACCATGTGATATCTAGATTTCAGTCATTCCCGAACATTCATGTGAATCTATGTGGAGACTTGTCATCGAGTACAATGAATTGTCATTGCGTCGTGCGAAATACTGCCATTTGTCGATGTCATCACCTCCCGAGTTTCCTCCACTCCACACCTCGAGGAATTTTTAATCAAACCACCGGTGTCAGCTCCATGGATAGTTCCCACGGTCGATGATTAGCGATTGCCCGGGGAAACGAAGCCCAGGTCAGAAGCGTCCAGCTGAGCGCCATTGAGGCAGACCACCGCCGTTGCACCCGCTTCAGGCGTCCTTCTCCTAAGATAGGGACCTGTTGGTAGGGCAAGAGGACGGCTAGCAGAGCGGGTGGGCGAGCGGTTTCGAACCTGCGAAAGTTCTCGTCAGGGGGCTACCGCTACCCCGACCGCTCGTACTTCTCATTACTGTTAGGGATACTACTGCTAAGCCTATATATACAGGGGGAGTGGATGTCCGTGCCACTACTGCAACCGCGCTCCATTTTAGGGCCGGCCAGCTGGCTAGGTACCGGGGACCCTCCGTAAGGGCAGTTTACGGTTGGGGAGGAGAGGGCTGGGGCTAGCTCGGAATCTTCGAGAACTAAGATCGGATCGATGGGCCTTTATCCCGGATACGGTATCACTTGGCCACACCATCGGTCATCTGCCTGTTCCCTTTCGGGGACAGGGGAGATTCCTTCGTTCCCATGAGATATGCGACGAGGCTGGATGTGCGGAGAGCCTCTCCCATGAAGGGGTATACATAGCTCAAGGTTGTCTATTGAAGTGAAGGATAAAATTTTGAAGTGAGTCGTGACCTCAGCGGATCTCTAACAAATTTATGGCTATTTCCCTAGAATCTGGGGTAAAGCTTATGCGATTCTGATGTGAAATGGTGAATACTTATTCTTAGGTTCATTGCAAAGAGCTAATTTATATATCCATCAGACCACTGCCAGTTATAATCAGCAACAGCAATGCAAGTCGCCAGCGCATTCGTCTGTATATCCCTTCCCCGTTCGCATTTTCCAGGATGGTTCTAAGCCATTTCGTGCTGCTACTTGTGTCGTATGTGGTTGCGTCGAATTCCTCGGTCACGATCCCGACGACTTCTGCATCCAATAGCAGCACCCCTGTCACGAGTAGCCCTTTGACTTTGCCCATCTCACACTACCCTTTCAATCCGTTTCCAACTCCAACGCTTGCGCCAGGGCCACCGATTTTCCCTGCAACTGATCCCTTATATCCCCCTCCTATCAACGCAGACCCCATGGTTGTGCCTGACTTTGCTCCAGCTTGGGCAGCCGCTTACACGAAGGCAATGTCTATGGTATGAGGAGTAAATGCACTTGATGATATGATTATCTGATTTTGCGTACAGATATCCAACTTCACTATCCAGCAAAAAGTCAACATCACTACAGGCGTTGGCTGGGGTAATGGTCTCTGTGCCGGAAACACTCCTCCTGTTGGAAACTTCCCTGGGTTGTGTCTTCAAGTCAGTGAATCATATGTTTATCTTTGACGAGTGTTCAATCTTCTGGCACATCTCCTGCTCTAGGATTCGCCGCTCGGAGTCCGAGATACTGACTTCGTCACTTCGTTCCCCGCTGGTATCACCACCGCTTCTACGTAAGTCTTAAATGTGAAATTATTTCACCTGGAATGATATATAGTAATGTAGATGGAATCGTGTTCTTATGCGCGCCCGGGGTTTCGCAATGGGTCAAGAGCACCGAATGAAAGGTGTCAACGTCGCTCTGGGACCCATGATGAACATGGGCCGCATCGCTCAAGGTGGACGCAACTGGGAGGGATTCGGTGCTGACCCGTTTCTATCTGGAGAAGCCGCCTATGAAACGATCCTGGGCCTGCAATCTGGTGGTGTCCAGGCCACGGCTAAGCACTATATCAACAAGTGCGATTCAGACATGTCATTTTACCAGGCTAACCTTGTCATCTAGCGAACAAGAATGGAAGCGCACGCTGGAGTCTTCCAATGTCGATGATCGTACCCAGCACGAAATTTACGCCCATCCTTTTATGCGTTCTGTAATGGCGGGTGTCTCATCGGTTATGTGCAGTTATAGTGAGTGTCTCTGAAATTGAATTGTCAGTGCCTCATGCGACCAAACTTTCAGACTTGATCAATGACACTTATGCTTGTAATAACAACAAGACCCTCAACGACATAATGAAACGCGAGTTTGGCTTTCAAGGCTGTGAGTCAAACTCGATATTTTGGATCAATAGCCCCTGAGCTGTATGAGCTTGTCCAGTCATCCAATCTGATTGGTTTGCGACGATGGAAACCCTTTCCCCTGTTGCCGGTCTCGATGTAAGTGTAGTGTCGATTATGTCTCAGAACACTAATCTGATGAGTCATTAGATGTCGATGCCTGGAGCCATAACCCTCGGTTCAGGGACTCAGAATCTCACTGACTTCGTTATGAACGACATTATCTCCATACAGCGGCTTGACGATATGGCGACCCGGATCATTGCTGCATGGTACTTCTTGCACCAGGACGAAGGCTACCCAAATGTCACTGTTTCTTCGTTCGATCTCTACAACCCTCTTAATCGGGAGGTCAATGCGCAAAGTGATCATTATCTAATTGTACGCGAGATTGGTGCTGCTGGTACAGTTCTTCTAAAGAATGAAGGCGCCCTCCCTCTGTGCAAGCCGAAGAGCATCGTTTTAGTTGGCAGTGATGCTGCTCCACCAGTTTCGGGTCCAAACGAGTACACCGACAAGGGTGGCGATCCAAGTGGCATCCTTGCGATGGGCTGGGGTTCTGGGTAAGTGGCAGTCTTCGTAAATTACAATATTTCTCAAGCACTCCTGTATGTAAGATCCGACAACTTCACGTATCTTGTCTCCGTGAGTATCTCAACTTTCGCCTAATCGCTCTGTTTAACGACTACCCCGGCCTTTCAGCCCTACGAAGCCATTCAGTCACGCGCTCGAGTGGATCAGACCAGTGTTTTCTGGGACTTTGATGACTGGGACCTCGCCAAGGCAGGTAACTCCGTTATTGGCATGGAAGCCGCCATTGTCTTCGTTAACTCCGACTCGGGTGAAGTGGGTCGTCCAACCTTTATTTCGGTTCTTACGACTTGAACATAACGCTTCTCAGGGTTACATCACTGTCGATGGAAATGTGGGTGATAGGAAGAATTTGACTGCATGGCATCAGGGTGACCAGCTCATTCTTGCTGTCGCTGCTCAAAATAACAACACTATCGTGGTCACCAACTCTGTTGGTCCTTTGATCATCGAACCTTGGGTCGATCATCCAAACGTCACTGCCGTGGGTGCTGGATCAAATCGCTTGTACACATCTGCTGACATCTGATGTACAGATTGTTTGGGCTAATCTTGGCGGCAACGAGGCTGGCAACGCCATCGCTGACATTCTTTACGGTGCCTGGAATCCATCTGGGAAACTACCATATACCATTGCGAAGAGCCCCACGGACTATCCTGCTCAGCTTGTAACGGGTGGTACTATAGCAGATATCCTGTCCATAAACTACACCGAAGGTCTCTTCATTGACTACCGCTGGTTCGATGCAGTAAGTACTTCTGTACCTTCCGCAGTTTTAGCCAATATTGACCGTCCATAGCAAAACATCACACCTCGTTATGAGTTTGGCTTCGGATTGAGTTACACAACTTTCGAGTACTCCGACCTTGCCATCACGAAAGTTAACCCCGCCAACTACGCACAAATGGACCTGGTTCAGAATTGGGAAGACGGGGGTGCAACACCCATTGCCGAAGGGTCTACAACTGCTCTCTGGTCTGTCCATGAATATGATAATTCCATTATATCGAACTAATCATCTACAAACAGGCTGCATATGCCAGCATACGAAGTTACCTTTAATGTACAAAACACTGGTGCTTTATACGGTTGCGAGGTACGTGGCTCCTTCCGTTACCCTTTTGCCCAAATTATTGACAGTTATCCATCTAGGTTCCCCAAATATACATCCATCACCCACCCTCAGCCGGTGAACCGCCTTCGGTCCTTAAGGGCTTTACGAATGTCGTTGTATCACCAGGACAAACTACCTCTGTATCGATTACTCTGTCCCGCTACGATCTTTCTGTTTGGGATGTTGTTCGCCAGGGGTGGGCAAAACCAGAAGGAACTATCACTTTCTCCGTTGGGGCAAGTAGCAGGGACTTTAGGCTGAGTGGGATCATTCCTGCATAGATTCTTGGGAGTCTGCAATGTAAGAAATATAGAAACTTTGGACATCATGATGGCCGATAGTGTAGTGCAACGTTGCAACGCTTTACCGAGTTGTGGGGAAATCGGCCGGCCCGACTTGCCATCGGATCTTTCGGCTACTAGGTGCTTTTGTCGAGTTCAACCTATAGCTATCTAGTGACTTCTAGTCTCCTGTGGTCAAACCTTGAGAGAAGGAATCAAATGTTCCTTTTTTTCACAGCCATCTGACAATCTGCCTTCATGTTCATCAAACGTCCAACATATGTCTACCCACGGTGATCATGGAACAGGACCAACATTCATCTGCGTCTCGCGAACTTTTGATTCTCTACGCTACGGAAACAGGTACAGCTCAAGAGACTGCTGATCGCATTGCGAGGGAATGTCGAAAAGTCCGTTTTCACTGTCGTGTGCAGAGCATGGATGTGTATCCACCAGTGAGGCGGCTTCTCAATCGTTTTACTAAGATGGTCTTCACGTCCTGTGCAGGAAACATTGATTTCGGAACACTTGGTCATATTCGTTGTTTCGACTACTGGCTGGGGAGCTGAACCCAGAGCCATGACTTCGTTATGGAACATGCTGCTGAGGTCTGATCTCCCAAGCGACCTATTCGAGGACATGGATTTCTGTGTATTCGGCCTTGGAGACACGGCCTACGAGAAATTTTGTTGGCCGGCGAAGAAGCTATCGAGAAGGATGCAAAGTTTGGGAGGTTATGAGATTTGCCCACGAGGAGAAGGAGACGAACAACATCGCATGGGGTGGGTATCTCATGTTTTCCGCGTTTCAACATAGCTAATCAAAGTGCAGGGTAGATGGTGCTTTGGATCCTTGGATCGAAGGTTTCCTAGATGTTCTCACACGGCTCTACCCACTACCGCACGAGCAAGATAATATTCCTGCTGGTCCACCACCGCCTCGCGTATCCTTGAGCAATGTAACATCCGATACCTTCTTGAATCCAGATCCTCTAGATGAGGACATGAAATTTCATACAGCTTCGGTGAAATGCAACAGACGGATCACTGCGGAAGATTGGTTTCAGGACGTACGCCATTTTGAGTTCTCCTTTGAAGACGATATACAGTATGGGCTTTGTCTTTTGAATTCGCGGTTACTAACGGGAAATTTCAGGTATAATCCTGGAGATGTTGCTGTGATTCATCCATCTGCGGCTGCATCAGAAGTCGACTCTTTCCTTGTCACCATGGGCTGGGCAAATGTTGCCGATGACTTTTTCACAGTAGAACATACAATGTTAGGTGCGACAGAACAGGTCCCTAGTAAACTCCATCTAACATCTTTCAGATCAAACGTTACCCGACCATCTACCGACAATCGTTTCCCTCCGAATCCTATTCACCCGCTATCTCGATTTCAATGCTGTGCCCCGCCGCTCTTTTTTCCAACTGCTGCGATATTTTGCTACTGATGAGCTTGAACGCGAAAAACTCGATGAATTCGTATCGATAGAAGGAGCGGTACGTTGGGTTTCCTCCATTTTGTTTGGTTTATTGAGGACGTGCAGGACGAAATGTATGATTATTGTCAACGCGTCAAACGCACGATCTGGGAAGTATTGTCCGAGTTCCGGTCCGCAAGGATACCGAGAGGGTATGTCTTTGACTTGTTCCCTCCATTGAGACCAAGAGAGTTTTCAATTGCTAGTTCGATCGAGGTGAGCTTGACTTAGATCGCCTTCACTGCAAACCAAAATTCACTTCTGTGTTTCGTCAGCTCCATCCCCATGAAATACATCTCTGTGTCGCTATAGTGCGCTATCGCACGAAGTTGAAAGTTCCTCGGAAAGGCGTCTGTACTAGTTATCTTTCAGGGCTTAATTCAGGTCCGCACGGCGTTCTAGCATAGTCCCTGAACTCATATCATGTCCAGGAGATACCCTTCGTATCGGTCTCAGAAAGGGCTTCATTTCCCTTCCTACGGATCTAAACATTCCAGTGGTATGCGTGGGTCCAGGAACAGGCGTTGCACCTATGCGTGCCGTTATCGAACAACGCATACACGAGGGATACACCAGTATGTTTGGCTATCTTTGTATATCAGCTGATCCTTGATGTGACCCCAGATACTACCTTATACTTTGGTTGTCGTTCTGCACACAAGGATCAGCATTATCGCATGGAATGGGAATCTCATGCGGAAGCACAGAAACTCCGCTATCGCGTTGCGTGTTCTCGTGATGGACCAGAGGGCGTCAAACGGACGTATGTGCAAGATCTGATGAACGAGGACGCTCAGTATATTTGGACAATGTTGGGGCAGCAACGAGGCATCCTTATCATCTCAGGGTGAGTCTAGATTATGTGTAACACGTAATGAATCCTAAGCTTCTATGATAGTTCTTCGAACAAAATGCCTACTGCTGTCCGTGAAGCTGTGCGAGGTGTAGTAGAGAGGTTCGGAGGAAGGTCGAATGCCGAGGCTGTGGAATTTGTTGCTGCGATGGAGAGAGAGAGAAGGTTGATTGAGGAGTGTTGGAGCTGAGAATATTCAAAACTGGTGGGCGCCGAATCGTGAAGAAGACCATTGTTTAGCCGATTTCGCAACACTTTCCGTTGGTCGCATCAAACCTTAGGTTTACGCCTGTCAGGCTCAACTGAACCTGCGATTGTGGATTGAGTTATCCTTCAGGCGAATGCCCATGTGCAACCTTGACGATCATATCATGGCAGCCCTCAAATCTCATGTGAAAGTTTTGCGACTATAAGTTGCAGCAAGTGATATCGTAATTGAGACTGCTAGTAACCATTGAGCGCCCAATATACTGCGTGGCCTCGAGAGCATCGGATATATGCTGTGGGACGGCATAAAATTATCATGAAGGCGGTCTCCACTTTGGCTAGTCATGCGCGTTACCTACTATCGAAAGAAGTGCTCTTGGACTAACCGGAACGACATACACACTCAGTGTCACTCACATCACCCCAGCCTAACATTCCTACACCCTGGTAGGCGTTACAGGTTCCACTTGAATCAGCAACATCACAATGTATCTGAGCAGTTGCCCCATCTGCAAGACCAAACATGTGAAGAATTATCCCGAAATACTTTGCCTTTGGGAAGGTGCTGGTTCTGACATGAGTCGTGCATGGAGGTGGGGGAGATCATGATGGAGTACAACACGAGTATAGGATTGGAAACAAAATCTGCATTCAGTGCGAAGAACTCGGATACCTATCACGGCACCGGTGGGAGGTATGGATGAGGAACAAGCAAGGGAGATACTTCACGAGGTAGATAGAGAGCGTCAACAATCCAACCTGCAAATCGGGATTCATGATTTGAGTAGAGTAAGCACCTCGCACCAAATTTGATGCAGAAGAACAAGAGATTTTTGGGGCAACAACTTGAACTTGAGTGAGGCATCCTAGGACATCTTAGAGTGGACGGCCTAGAACCATGTGTACCAGCCTACTTGAAGCTTGAAGTTCCGAGGATAGTTCTTCGCTTACTGCGATTTGTGAAGCCGAGGTTCGAATGAGGTGACTGGCTACTGGTGTCCGAATCGGACTTTGGTCGGAGGTAAATGACTCGTACAGAATTTGTAAGCAGACTCCAGTGCTCCAGCTTCTTACTAGTCCGACCCGGTAATAAAGGCAGACGATTGATTTTGAAGAAGCATCAAACCTTCAGGTATGCACGATCACGCCCACAATTCTATAACCTCAGCAGCGCTCATATCGGTGGCACTCCTCAGATCCGACGTGAAACTTATGTGATCCATTGAAGGTTCTCCCTTTGTGCGGATCTAACCCTGCACAGCCCACCTCGAGGCGTGAGGATGAGCGCCTAGGGGTCCCTTATTAGACCTGTGGCCGTCAGTCAGTGGCCAATTCCTTTCTTTCAGCCCACTGGTAACATGGCTCAATATTCAACAGCAAACCCTCTTTCCAAGTCAATAGAACGTCTTAGTCTGGAATATATCATCAATCATGTATTTCTTCCTCTCAAGTTGCCGCAAGGGAGTGACCAATCACTTGAGAACGATCTGGCCTTATCTCAAGCAGTATTCGATGCTGCTATCACCTTCAGTAACCAGCTATCGTCCAATAAGTTGCCGCTTTGGACAAGCAACTTGAAAATGCTTCGCAATCTCAACGACTCAATCAGATTCAGCGTGATGTCTGAAAAAGAAGTCGAATTTCAAATCAACGCTATGGACATTGGAGGTCTGTTGTTTTCGTCTCGTTTTCATTATTTTTCTATATTCAGTATCAATTTTTAGATGTCCTTGTATATATGATTCGCGCGCAAAACGCTGCGGTGGTCATGAGAAAGCTCGAATCCGAGACCGTATTCGAGTCATTTGAGGTCTCTCCTGACCCCACCGCAGTTATGGGCGCAAAGGGAAAGCTGATATGTTTTTATCCTGGACCTGCCATCGCAGTTCCAGATATGAACATTGATAATACCACCTTTCCCGCTGAGCTGGCAAATTTCCTAGTTCACATGGATCAAGATGTCCTTGATGCAGCAGCGACGAGGACAAAAGCTAAATCTACTGTTCTCGAAGAGAGGGACACCACGCATCCGCGATATATCACGGAACTCTTGACCGGTATACTGCGTGGCCTCGGGAGCATCGCCGATGTTCCTCGTATCCGCAAGCGCATTGCAGATGATGTGCTTTGGGACAGCGCGAAGTTGCCGTGGAGGCGGTCTTCACTTTGGCTTGTTATTCGCGTTGCCATGCAGACAACCGTGGAGCGCAGTGCTCTCGGACGAACGACATATAAATCATTCATGTTGTTCTTCATGACTCGACTCACATCGCTTGCACTCGACTACGACTTGTCAAATGACATCTTACACTTCATGTCGGCAAAGATCGCGCGCCGTCTTTTCAAGCATGGATCCTCTGCTTCTCCAGCGTTATCGCAGATGGTCACCGTTGTCACAAGAGATGTAAGGGGCGTCCTGGAGAAAAGATGGGGATCTGTTCAGAACACGCAACGGGCCTCGCCTCTTTGGGCTCCTGAGACCCTCCACGTTCTGCGAGATACCCATCTTTCCTTGAACACAAGCCGACAGTACATAAGCAAAGCTTTGCAGAACCAGCATTCCTCCCCTGAAACAATCTCATTCAATCCCAGCCACCACACCCGCGGGACAATCGATCATTTCCTTGACGCCGAAGGTAGCTTCTTAGTAGCTGCTTATGCCGCAGAACCATATCTTGCCCTGGCAGACTTTGAGACCGCCATTGGATCAGGGATCGACAACTGGGTGGCGCGCGTGCCACTCCAGAGTGCTGAGTCTGCATGTGTCTCGATTGAGGCATGCGCCTCTACGTACTCCTCAAGAGCGCTGAAGGATTATAAAGGAAACCCGGAGAATCTGTCTATCATGCTTCTCACCCTTTTCGAGCTCTGGGTAGCGATGGATAAGATCGTTGTTAGAGAAATCCCACTCCTGGCAGAATACTCCCCCGAAATCCCATTGACGCTTTGGGAATGTCTTTTAATCCGCAAAGCTTCTGCCCTTGACCGTTTGAAGAAGTTGCATGCTTACTTGAAAGCTCGTCACCACCAGGCTTCCGGATGTCTTTCAGCATTCTCGTTTACCTCATTCGCAGCGCGATATTTTTACCACTCATCCGAGCTGCAGTGTTTGAAGGTTCGCATTGAGGCGGATGGTCAGAAACAGCGGGAGAAGAAGTTGAACGAGCTTCAGACCCTTAACAAGAAGTACGGTGACTTGAAGGAACGCGCAGAAAGTTTAGAGCACGAGTTCGTCTTCACTTCACGCGGCAGGGAAAAACACAAGCAAAAACGCTGCAAAAAGTGTCTCTTGGAAAAGGAGATGCGGTCAATGACTATTACGGTTCACGAGTGGCCACTACCAGCCCGTGAAAAGGATGCGATCGCAGTGGTGTTTGAGCTAGCGTGCCCCATTGCGTTCGACATGTGGAGATCCATGACATTTCATGTCTTCGTAGATATCTGCACTCCAGAAGAGATTTTGTCTGTTCATCCCTTCATGGCACTGCCAGAATATGACGCCCTGAAGCGATATCGCACGTGCCACGCAAGACAAAGGCTCACTTTGGCGTCGGATGCCAAACCTTTCTCCAAGTGTCATTACAACAACACTCACATTCCTGCGCTGGACAGTCAAGTCTGTGTAAACAACGGACTTCAATTTCAGCCTTTCGACACAAGGACAGATGCATGGGTGGCAGACGTACTGTTACGATGCGACGCCACCAAGTTTTGCACTTTCCTTCTTCCAAAGGGACCGTATGATGGTTTGCAGCAATACCTTGCAGGGACAACTCATACGTCAAACGAGGTGATAGCCAATCAGGCAGATTGTCGCAAGGACATGAATATACATGAATTCATCGCATTCGGAGCCTTGCGGAGTGGACCGCGTTTGCAATGGATGAATGTGCTACGTGAACTCCGCGCGAGGACCCTCAATTTCCGACGTGATGAAGTTCATCTACTGCTGGCGCAAACTGTTTCACAGGTCGGCCCATTCTCGTCCAATGACAGCCTTGTTTGGCACGAGGAGTTGAATAGCGTGCCCTTTGCTATCGCACTACTTGGCGAGCTAGAGGATTTGATGGCGAGCGTCGAAGGTAATTGGTTAGAAGCTATCACGTTCAACACTATCATCATGCTTGCGTGTCGTGTCTTGTCCTCGACTCAGGAAGAGAGTGTCAAAAATCGTGGACATTCGTTCCTTCGAAGGATACGAACTGCAACTTTTGCGTTGCTGACGCAACTATCAGGGAAAATGCAAGCTAGCAACGACGAGACGGTCAGCCAGGATTTACAAGGACGCGTTCGGGATCTGGCAATCACCTGTAGGAGTACTTTCGATGTCGACGCAGACGCTTCACTGCTCCTGACGTCGAACGATGACATCAAGATATTTGTATGTTGTGCGGTCATGATTTATGATAACACTCCGAACCAATTGGACAATCTTCCGCAATTTTCCAAACTACTGCTAGAGCGAGACAAGAGATGTTGCCACGCATTAGAGTCCGCTATTCGTCAATATGCAGTTTTTCACAGGGAGGGTCTTGATTGGGCGATGGCTATGATTTGGGGCAGCTACAGACCAGGAACTCCTTGGAGAACACTCACGGCTCCGAACTCTCGTTGGCTCGTGACACAGACTGCACCTTTGCGTTCCCAATCACCACAGGACGTGCACTTCAATTTGATTAGCGGATGCTTGCTTGTTGACGGGAAGCAGCTAGGCAGGCTTCCTTCAACGGTAGTGCAGCATCCCACTTACCAATCGATTTTCGGTGATGTAAGTCTTTGAAAGTTGTAGGTTTGTTGGTACACGCTCAGCTATCGACTACAGCAAGTTCTGGATATCATTCCAGCTGATATTCGTGGAATGGAATATGCGACACGCGGAAACTTCTGTGACCATCAGGTTAGTAGTTACTTTTATTGTAATCACTCAGCAACTAATGACGCACTTGCTTATTCCTGAAGGTGTCTTTTGCTCTCCATGACTTGAACGATCTCATCATCCGTGCGAAGCATATCAAATACGACTCACCTGTCCTCCAGCTCATTCCGAGACACAAGTTCTTGAGCGATCTGCCAACCGTCTTGGTCGTGGGTCATACCCATTGGCTTAACCTGCACACAGGCGAAATTGAGATTCGGCCAGCAGAAAATACGTGGAAATCTTCGTCTGACAATTGGATCTTGCGATTTTCTGTTTCAGGTTCTTCGACACTGCAGAATTCCAGCGGTGCCACCCTTGTCGACATACACAGCCAAACGTGGGATATGATCTCCAAGAGGCTGCGTCCTCTGGAGGATGTATACTTCATCATGGTCACGTATAACAAAGCATTTGGCAGCACTCCCTTGTTGAAGGCTGATTTGCCCCGATATGGCCTTGAATTCTTCATTGATGAAGATGGAGAATTGCAGTCTCGTAACATGCGCAACATGGTCGTTGATGCCGTTCAGTCTAGTGGCACCATGTTAGGACTGGTCAATCAACTTATCCTGCGCCCAAAGTTGCAAATTGCGGACGAGCATTCGCGCACCGTAATCATCCCAGATGGTCATATCTCATACTCCGCTAATGGTCACCATGTCCGCGTCACCATCGCTCCTGAAGGTACTCGAGTAACATACCAGCTGTATAGGGTTGATACAGATCTACGCTGCCTCACTGGGAACGTGGGTCTGACAAGTAAGCTCTATCAGGCACTCCTTCACGCTGTTACCAGTGGCTGTCTTCCTGATCCCCTGACGGGTCGAACGGGGACAGAGGAGGCGTTGCATCTCTTGCATTCTGCAGCTTGTCGATCGTTTATGAAGCTTCGCTCTCGCGACACAGATCTTCTGCGCGAGATCAGTTCGCTGTCAACCAAGCGCGTCTGGTATCCTACTCATCTTCAGAAGATGCAGACAATTTCATGGTCGTGCCTTACGCCCCTTGCACAGCACCACGGGTTTCATCCAGCCGCGAAATCTATCATGGATTACGGAATGAAGCTTTCGACTTTCTCAGAAAGATCTGCAAACCTTCAGGTTGCCTACGAGCTTCCACAGTCCATCAACCACCTTCTTGAGCGCGCCTCAGTCCGTGCCTCGACGATCTATCCTAATCAGTTCTCTCTTCCACTTCCACTCGGTGATACAGATGTCATCTATACTTCACGTCATATTCCTGACGAAGTCGCGGAAGAGAGGGCATTTCAAACCGCCTTCATGGTGCGTCAGTGGCCAAGCAGACTTGCTGTACAATGGAATATTCTCAGTTTCTTGACTCAGTGGCAAGATATGAAGGGCGCTGGCGAGCCGCTCAGTTTGCAGTACTCCAAAGACTGGCTTCGACCGACTTTTTCGCATTTCTTCCTTTCTGCGTACGACTGCTGTCGTAGAGCTACAAAGAAAGACACATCTCGGCTGCTGTTCACCCTGGCTTCGATGTCATACAGCTTGTTGGACGATCATGCGCTCGTGCCAACACTCCTAGCCTTCGCCACAGTTCCCGAAATTCACAGCCTGGGAGGCCCTCCGAAGTTCATTTCATATCATCTCTTGGATGGTTTCATGCCATCCGATACGAAGTTGGGAAAGATCATCAATTCGTGTATTAGAAATTATGAAGTCAGCAAGGAGAAAGAGCTAGCTGCAAATCCTGGGGAAGATGAAAGGACTCTGGAGAAGCGTCGTCGTGCAGCTTTCAAAGACAAGTGTTGCTCAGAAAAGCAAGTCATTCTCGGAAAAATTTCGGATGCTTGGCCACGCGAAAATTCTCCAGTATTTAATACGTTGCAAGTGAAGTGCTACGACCTCGATGAACTGTCAAAGAAACTTTCCGTATTATTTCGCAGCTGTTGGCAAAACCATTGCCTGAAGCTACACATAGATAGCCTGCAGGGGACGCTCGAGCAGTTCTACACGCCCAACCCTCCTTCAAAACCCTCTCGATATCGTCTTGATTTTCGCCTCGAGGACTGGCATATTACATCACCAGCCTCATCCGTTGATGCCCAACATCTATTCGATAGAGATCCGCCTGTGACAGGTGTGTGCGGGTCTTCCCAAGTTCTGCCAAATGCCAGTCGGAGAGATTTGGTATCTCCAGACTCCAGAGTTGCAGCGAGGTTGCAACAGTTGATCGACGACTTTCGCGCCCGAGGAAGTGACAAGTTCCGGCGCAAATACGCCAACGATCTGGACCAGAGCAGGTCAATTTACTGTGACGAAAAGATTGTTGCCTTACCAGATTCTACGCCATACACGATGGAACTACTGCTTGAGTACCATTCTATCCATAACCGGCAATTCCAAGATTCACTCGCATCTATTTCACATGCCCTCTCCCCTGCCTCTCCTGCTGAGAACACATTATACAATGCCGCATTATGGCCTCGAGTTACACCAAATTTTCTTTTCGCTCGCATGGCTTCTGCAGCAGGAAGTCCTTTGAGAAAGGCTTGGCGTGCTACTCTTGTTCGGCTGTCGCAGATACTTTTGCAACTGCAACGCTCGCGAAGGCTGTTAGTCTTTGCTGCTAACAAAAACTGGGTCGAGTTCTTCAAGGAGTTGGAGAGTGAAGAATGCGAGGGATTTGATCCGGAGCAGTACCCTGACTGGCTTTTAATACAGGTACGCTATGAAGAAAGCAATCGTTGATGGTTATTGATAACCGACATTCGTAGATTGAAAGTCAGTTCTTGGCACGGTCAGTCCAGGTCAAGGTTGCGCTGGAGATGATGTCACCATCCCAAGGAGGAAATACCTCTCTCCAATTGAACATGGGCGAAGGCAAATCCTATGTTATCGTTCCCCTCGCAGCAGCAGCGCTTTCTGATGGTCACAGACTGGTCCGAGTAATCGTGCTGAAGTCGTTGTCTTCCCAGATGTTTCAGCTTCTGGTCGAACGACTAAGCGGCCTTGCGCAAAGACGCATTTTCTATGTCCCATTCTCCCGCGCACTCTCTATCGACTCATCGAAGGTGCAAATGTATCGTGACCTGATGCAAGAATGCATGGATGCCAAGGGAATCTTGGTCGTGCAACCAGACCATATTCTATCGTTCCAGCTGATGGTCGTCGACCGTCAGCTCTCCCCTCAGATTGAAGTTGCTCAAGGTATGCTGCGGACTCAGCTATGGCTCGACAATCACACACGCGACATCCTGGATGAAAGCGATGAAATTTTGCACGTCCGCTACCAACTGGTATACACCGTGGGTCTTCAGAATTCGCTTCAAGGTCATCCCGAAAGGTGGACGACGACACAACAAGTTTTGAGTCTTGTCGCGAAGCACGCCACTCGGCTTATGAGCGAATTTCCCTCTCGTTCAGATGTGTCCACTCGTGAGCAAGAAGGGTTCCCTTTTGTTCGTGTTCTGCACCCAACAGCAGGTGAAGCACTGGTCCAATGGATCGCAGAGGATGTCATCAATGGCGCGCTTGAAAACATCAGCTTTGATCAAGCATCTCTCCATTTCAAAGAAGCTGTTTACTGCTTCATCGCATTTGAGAATATAACCAATGCTTGTGTCAGCATAGTGGAAGATCACTATAGACACACTACGGCCTGGCCAGGCCTCCTAGTCTTGCGTGGACTGCTGGCATGTGGTATATTGGTGTACGCCCTCAAAGAACGTCGCTGGCGCGTGGACTATGGCCTCACCCCAAAACGCACTATGCTAGCTGTTCCATTTCGGGCAAAAGACATGCCCTCATTGCGGGCAGAGTTTGGCCACCCGGACGTTGCTGTCACCCTAACGTGCCTGTCATACTATTATGGGGGTCTCACGCTCCAGCAGTTGATGTTATGTTTCGAGCTCCTCCTGAAGCAGGATAACCCTACCCACGAGTATGAATCCTGGGTGCTTGCACTTCAATCCGTCCCAGAAAGTCTGTGTCAACTTAGCGGAATCAATACAGAATCAGCAGAGCAGCTCCTTGTCCTTCAACAACTGTTCGAATTCAACAAGGCAGTCATAGACTTCTACCTCTCCCGAGTAGTTTTTCCAAAGGAAGCGAAGGCATTCCCCAGCAAACTCACCTGCTCCGGGTGGGATCTCGCTCAAGAGAAGAGACATATCACGACCGGCTTTTCTGGTACTAACGACAACCGCTATCTTTTACCAAGCTCAATGGTGCAGCATGACCTCGATTACCAACGCAGCACGAATGCGCGGGTCCTGGCGTTCCTTTTGCGTCCAGAAAACAATTGCTACCGACCCATACCATCTGGCCAGAAGGTGCAGCAGTTCATCGATACCTTAATCGCACAAACCCCCGAGGTCCGCGTGCTCCTGGATGTGGGTGCGCAGATGCTGGAATTGAAGAATCAGGAATTGGCCGAGGCATGGCTTCGAGCCAAGCGCAATGCCCAAGCTGCAGTCTTTGTGAATGACGATGATGAAATTGTTGTCATCAACCGAGATGGGACAGTGGAGCCCCTTGTGTCGTCTCCCTTTGCCCAACAGCTCGACCAGTGCGTGGTATATCTGGACGACGCCCATACCAGAGGAACGGATGTCAAGCTTCCTTCCGGCTTCCGAGCTGCTGTCACACTCGGTCCGAAAGTCACTAAAGACCGCCTGACGCAAGGTTTGTAATTCCAAAGTTCATGAGTGTCGATTTCGACAATAACCAACATAGGATGCATGCGGATGCGGAAGTTGGGTAATGGTCACTCAGTGATGTTTTTCGCTCCGATGGAAGTTGACCGAAGCATCCGCTCAGCCACTCAGAAAGCTCATATAGATGATATCGACGTTGCAGATATCCTGCAATGGACGATGCTCGAAACTTGTCTTGACATTCAGATGCGTGCATTCCACTGGGCTCAACAGGGATCGGATTTCAACACACGGCATTCCGCATGGACTAAATTCTCGCGCGCCCCTACCACTTCGATTTCCCCCCTTAAAACAGCCTGGTTGCAGCCAGAGGAGTGTTCATTAGAATATATGTACGCACCACGCAGTCCCTCGCAAGTATCCCACGTTTGCGATGCAGACATTCAAAGGAAATGCGAGGAGCTTGGAGTTCTAATGGGACCCGAAAGGAGCATGGATGAGGAACAGGAAAGAGAGGTAGTCCACGAGGTAGAAAGAGAACGTCAAGTCCAAAGACCGCCCAAAGTGCAACCTGCAGCTCGGGACTCAGTGCATGTGGATATTCGTCGATTTGTGAGGACCGGCCAAATTCCTGCATGGTCCCCAGCGTTCATTCCAGCGCTATCCAGCCTTGTCAACACCACTGCTGAATTTCATGAGAGCGAGCAGTGGGCGCAAAATGTTTTAGTCACCCGTGACTTCTCTCGTACGGTGGGGACTTTCCTCGCCAAGCAGAAAGCGGATGAATACCTGCGGCCCGTCAATTGGGTCGTATACAGTAACGCTGGAGTACTGGTAGTTATGAGCCCGAACGAAGTGAACACACTGCTACCTCATATCCGCAGGAGCAAAGTAGTTCACTTATGCATCTACACTCCTCGGACCACAAACACGATGAAGGCATGCGATGATCTTCAACTCTACCGTGTTCCTTCGGCACCACATCTGACACTGCCAGAACCGCTGATTTGCCAGCTAAACCTTTTTGCGGGCCAGCTATATTTCTCCAGTTACGAGAAGTATCTCCACACTTGCAACCTCTTAGGGCTTAACGCACCGGATTTGGGGGACGAGGACTTGATAGTCGACAGTGATGGATTCATCGGAGAGGAGAATCGCCCTTCTGCGAGAGCATCGTGTCCGTTCAAGCGATCCCAGCTTCCTCCGCTGAAAGAGTTGTTTGGAATGAGAAGGAAAGGCATGGGGTACCTGCCAACTCATATCGGAAAGATGTTCCATGGCCGCATTCTGACCAAGGGGGATTTTCTTAACTGAGCGCCAGGTCTATTTAACGTAAGTTTTAGTACCTTTCTGCTAGATACTTGACTGACTGCAATTCTGATCAACACTAGTCTCATGATGTAATTTTGCGACGTCCTTCGTGAATGTATTTGTAGTCGAATTTGTAGTCGGATCTGAAACGTTATACATCTTGTTACGTCGGTTCTTCGGTCATTACTCGTACAACACAGCCAGTGCCAGCAACTTCTATCTTTATGGCCAGGAAGTTAACATCGACGAAGCAGGCTTTGATTGAGGAATGGTGGCGATGCGAAGAATATTCAGAACCAAGCGAGTAGTGAGCGCCTCAAGAGCACCGTGACGAAATCGTGGAAACCGTGGGTGGCTTGCCGTGTAGGAAAAGAACCACTTCGGCTGCAAATATCTGAGTCTCACCAGTTTACTGATGGGCTCAGACGCTGCTAGGTGCATGTATTGATCGATTCCATAGAGCTAGTCTATTGATATAGGTATTATCTAACTCGATCAGCAAATCTGACGACTAATAACGCCCATTTCGACAGCCTCTTGAACTCAAACTGAGCTCAATCATTTTCAAAGGTTTCGAACTGGGTATTGTACTGATCAACCATGATATCAGAGCGAAAGTGGGAACATTGACGTACTGTCGCGACATGCCTCTGATGCTGGCAAGAACCGATGTTTCCACCCTGAGGTGCGTGCAGGTTAGTATATATGTGTTTGCACAGCGACCTGCTCATACTCACTATCGGAGGCTGGAGGGCACAAACCAAGCCAGCACAACACACGGAATTAGGCTGGCCTACTGTGCAAAAATCATTCTTTCTGATACATGCACCATTGACAAACATAGATGTTGTCAAAGCAGCAACAATGGAGAAACGCATTTTTTCTGTGCGAGGTAATAATATGAAATTCTCTGAAGGGAGATGTCTCTGAGGATGGGAGGGAACGCTGTGAAGATGACCGGCTTTTTTTATGGCCTGCATATACATATAGGTATGACTCTGATCAATCTGGCAGAATTGTTATTGCTATAAGTCTTCCCCCTTCGTTTGTGCGGGAATGAGTAGAATTCAGTGGTGACAGCAGCATGCGTAATGCACGCAAGCCGTTATCACAATCTTCAGTTGTGACGCAGGGCCATGCATATGAGATCTGCATAGGGACGTGCGTGCAGCGTGCAGCGCAAAGAGAACGATGTGACTCTCATTTATGATGGAATGCAGCCCTGCTTTCAAATGCTGACCTGGCGGCCGAAGAAGAAAGGGCTCAGCTTTTTCCCCTATACAGACCGCCCTTATAGGAAGTTAACATTTTGTAGTCCGGCATTAACCAGCACTAAATTCAGGCCTACTTCTACATGTTCAAGATATTCCGGACACGCGCTTCAATATATTGCCGTGGGTCATTATTCGCGAGGAATGCTGTCAGCTGAGGAAGCAAAAGCTATGGATATATATTCTGTAGCGGTCCGCTCGACATCGTTCCCCGTCGAGTATCCATAGCAGAAAGGAGGCTATGCTCACCAGGACGGGCGTTGAGAAGTCGAGGGCTGAGGGATGAAGGGTTATATCAGTTGAGTGTTAGACTCAAGCTAAGTGGTGTACATGTGCCATGGCAAGACCGAAATGAGAAGGTAAGTAGAGTTAGACACTGAGCTGTTGATCATGGGGTCATCGCGTCTAATGAGGCAGCCTACCGTTTTGACTGGCGTTGTATGAGGGCAGTCGTCCTCTGTAATCGGAGCTTGGGAAAGGGCATATTTCATCACGAACTAGCTCCGTAATAGTAATGATGGTCTATCTGAAACTGGATGTCCGATGCATCTCGTCTGCGTAGTATGATACTTACCAGATACTAGGTGTCGAGTCCAGCTAAGAGGGTGGGACCGACTCGGGTCGAGTATACTACATGCATTTCAAACCAATCACGGTGGGACCGCGTCGATGGCTCACAAAACTCGTTTTCCAATAGGACATCCCCGTCATATGCGTTAATGTCGATTTTCCTGAAAGGTAATCGCTCGGACCAGAAAGATGCGAGTGTCGCAAGTCTCATGCGTCTAACTATAATGAAAGTGGAAACCGATCACCTGATTCCTTCCAGACTTGAACGTGGATTCTTCACATCAAATGATTATACACTTGTAGTTAACGTTGATGAAGATATGTCCGAGAGCTTGTATCGAAGAATCCACACAACAAAAAAATAAAAGTCAAACTTAATCTAGAGGGCTCCGAGCTCGCCTATCCGACGAATCCCCCTTGGCACAGTAGACGTGGTGTAGTAAGCCACAGTCAATGATTTAGTGAAACGACAGCTAACTTGCTTGTCGATCTACCAAATGCAGATTATTCAAGAACACCGCGTACAGTCGGGGCGACCGCATCGCAAGCTTTAAGCGGAAGACACATCCAAGAGGCTATCAAAAGGTGAGATGTTTGGTCCCTGCACACTGGTGGCAGAAGGCGATGGTGTCAGATATGCCGATGTCAGAGGACGGGGACTGTTAGACTGTGACTGGGGCTTGATAGAGTTGCGGCTAGGTAGCGGGGGAGCAGCCGTGTTAGTCGGTCGACGTGATGGAAGAGGCGGGGGAGCACGCCTGATCGCAAAGTTGGTATCAGAGGAAGGTCGAATGCTTGAGATAGAAGGTGGAAGTAGTTGTGGAGATGTGCGACGTGGGTTATAGTACACATCTTCTTCAACAATTTTTGCCGTCACCAAACTTGACTCTTCCTCATCTTCAGGAACAGTACTAGTGACGCTCTCTGTATCAAAACCATATCCGAGCCTCGTAGATAGATGGCTCGTGTCCATGACACGACTTCCAAGAAGGTAACCGATATCGTCTTCGCTGTCCTCACTTGCAGCAGTATGGTGCAAGTTGTCTTCAGATGACTGCTCCGAGCCTTGATATGATGGTGACAATGAAATGGTTTCCGTATACGTAGAGGGGAACAACCCCTTCCGACCATTTGATAGAATTCCAAGCCACCAGTCATCCAGGACTTCATGGACAACAATGATTTCGTCGCCGGCTCTAAAGGTGAGCTCATCTGATGAACCTGTAAAGTCATGTAACGCCCGAACAAGCTTTCGTGAATATTGAGAAGGCGGCTTCATGATTCGAGACGGCATTTGCGGGGACCCATTCAGTAGTTCTTTCACCTTGGAGCTGGGTGATTTCCGAGAAAAGGACCGAGAGCTTGGAGGACGGGAAAAGTCGGTGACGTCTGTCTCAGGGTCATCTCCATTTGTGAGGGTTGCAAAGTTATCTCTGTCTTTCTTCCCTCTTCCCGTCACCGAGTTCATGGCACTCGATGCCCAACCAGTGATGTTAATCTTCTTACCCGGATTGTCTGCCTTCGGAGTATCGGGGGCACCAGATGTGACATCACTGTCAGAACGTTTCCGTGTAACGCTGCTATCGGAGCGTTTACGGGATGCCCGTGACGATGGTCGTGAGATAGTCCTGCTCCCTGCATCCGACTTCCGGCGGGTGGGGATAGGAGATGAGTGATGCTCATCGGAACCGTTAGAGGAAGCTACTGCGCCAGACACGTGGGACATCATGGACCCCTTGGATATAGAATGAAATTTCCCATCATCTGTGGCGCGTGAGAAGACGGGAGGGTGGAAGCTCTTCCGTTGAGTCTCGAACTTTGCTAGAGTGGACCTGAACATATTAAGGATCAGAAGCTATATTCAGACTGACTGGGATGAACATACTCGTCGCACCAGTTTGCTTTTACATCCTGTAACACTTCGTAGTACTGCTTGGCGAAATTAAGCTCGAGGTCCAAAAACGACGTCAACTCTCGAAGTTGTTGTATTTCGTTTTCCTGAATAGCCTGCATTCGGGAACGTACATCTTCAGCAGTTTCTTCGCTATGTCCTTGTCAGCAAGTTATATGACTGATGCTGGCGTGTTACTCACTAGCGTAGACGGCTGCGCTGTAGCTCATCCTCAGCTTCTCGCCTCTCCTTTTCTTTCTCTTTCTTGCTGCTTTTGACCTTATCCAACTTAGTGATAGCGGCGTCATAGCTCAGCCTGTCGAACTCAGAGTGAGCACCTTCACAACGGCGGAAGCACTGGTTTATCTTACCTCCTACTCTCCAGCTTCTTCTGCTGGTGTTCATAGTCCTTTATGTCTTGAACGAAATTCTGGCAGGATGTGATGAAGGTATCCTGAAAAGTAAGGGCGAACGCCTCCTGCAGGGTGGCAACCTTGCAATGGGCTCTACCCAACTTCACCAATGACGTCCCTAGATATACCGACTAAGAGAAAGTAAATTAAAAAGAAAGAGTGTTGGCGTACCAAAAGCAGAATCGTCTCCAAATTCATCACCATGGGAGATCATTACGATTCCCAATGCATCCAGTGGCATGAGTTTCTCTGTCTCTTGTACAGCGTTTGATTCCTTCTTTTTGGAAAGTACATGCTGATAATCTTCCGCAGCTGCCTGCAGCCTTGTCGGGTACGACTCATGTCAATTGTTTCTATACAGTTCTGCGAATGGGGAACGCACTTCACGATTCCTTCTTTTCGAAGCTCGATGTCCTGCTCGATGTCCTTGAACTCTTCCGCAACGATAGTCTTATCTCGCGAGGATATTTTCTCACCAGCCCACTGTTCATTCCAATTGCACTTGAGTAGGGAGGCTCCGTATTAGTACAGTCGGCGACTAACCTGCCTCAACTTCCCGAGCTGTGACACGAACCACCTTCATGACTAGCTCAAAAGTAATTAATAGAGGACTTGCCTGTTTACTGGCCATGACAGTAAGAATGAAAGAAGTTTGCTGTCGTCAGGCCTAACGAGAGGCGCTCGGAACTATTGTGGTCTTCATTTCAGGGTGGTCCGACTTCGGAGTCAAAAAATTAAGGTCCACGCGTATTAGCATAAATTTGGAAATGATGGTTGTCGAAAGCTCTTGGAGGAATACACGCGTAAGTACAACAATGCAAAGATTAGAATAAGATAAGACTGCAAAAACAAGGCCGACACAACAAGAAGCCGTAGTTCTATAACTTTCATTGCATGCCTCGAGACGCCAGGCGTAGTCCTTCGTGAACAGCAACAGCTTCCTCAACCCACGGTAGCCTGAAGAAATCACTCCTACGCAACTCCTCCGCACGGATAGTAGCACCCTCACTCGGTCCACTCCCAAGCACACTTTCCAAGTCGCGAGACTGCGATGCTAGCCACGTTTGTATGAAATTGGCCGGGTCTCTGGCGAAACTTTGAAGGAATTGCCGCTTCGTGTGCGAGTTATGTAGTGACTGTGATAACAGCGCAATCTACATTTTTAGGCGTTAGAGAAAGAGTTGGATTAGAGGAGTGAACATCTTACTTCATCATCCAACTTGGCGAGGTCAGACATGCTGTCTTTACTTGATTGTACTGTCACCATGATGCGATTCTTCAAACTCGTGTCCTCCATCTTGACTTCGATATCCCATGCAGAAGGGCGCTCTGGGGGTACGTGTGCTGGGTTGATGGAATAATAGATGACTACAGGGTCCGGAGGCATCAAATATCGATTGACTAGCTCTGGCAGTTGATGAAACATAATGCCTTCTCCACCAAAGATCTGCAATCATAAACTTCATATGATGGTGAAGAATCAATATAATCAGCGTACCGGTCTCAAATAATCGTCAGCGCGTATTCTTCGGCGATCTGTTTTGTCTTGCAGGCCGTGTATTTTAATGTAATTCCACATAGCCTGGATGATGCCAACCCGACTCTCCTCTTTAATGCCCAAGACATTGCCTGAGGAATGACATCAAGCTGAGAACTCAAGTCAAGATGCACGAGACGTACCCAGGTCTGGAGCCACTTTATACTGCTCTGGTGTCTGCTCGAGATATATTATGAGGCGCACTTTCGTCGGCTGGTCTCCAGTTCGCCTTACGGTGAACCCGTCGAGAGGCTGCTGAATAGTCGGACCCCGAGGCCACTGAAACAACAAATCAGAATAAGACAACCACCTCATCTCAACCGAGCTCACATACTTCGACGACATTTCCATCTGGATACAAAGTTGGGTCACGGTCAAGCTCGACGATCATTCGTTTTATGAGAGTTGAGAATTTTCGAGGAAGAACCCTGTCCCGCGCACGTTGATTGGGAAGCTTCATGGGCGTTAGAGTAATGCATCGATCCTCGCTGAATCAGACGTACCTCTAATAATCGCCCTTCAACCTTCAGGCACCAGGCTGGAATTCCCTGCCCCGTCTCGAAGTTTACCCCCTCAGCACCAGCTTCACCAGTTTGCCACAGCTGCCCAGATACTGTGTGGCTCAAGAATAACCGTAGTGTGCGCGCAGTCTGATCATCTGTTTAATAAACCAATCGTATGTTGTAGGCATGCGAAACGTACAGTCGGATTGCGTGCCAATGCGTCTTGCACTTCCACTTTTTTCCGGTTCATTGTCCAGTCAAGCTTCTTTTCCATCTCTAGCAAGCTTTGGTACATTTGTGAGTCCTCGGCGAACTCTGGCAGTTGCGCAAGAGCATTTGGGACGGATTTGTCTGTAATTTTGCGTCTCCTAAGTATTAATCAGTATATTGAGCATAAAAGTCCATGAACAACGTGCTTAACAGCTTTCACTCCGTCCATATTGATAGGCGTACGAGATGATCTAGCACTCTACAGTTAGCACAGGTAACTAATAGTTTGGCAAAGATGATTTTGCTTATGTAATGTTTCTCACTGTCATTACAGTCTCTTTGCGCATTTTTGGGAACACACAAACATAAAAATTTAATACACAGTTCGATACCCTGACATCGAAAGTACAGTATATGCAAGGTTTTTTTCTTCGAAAATTGACATGTTGAGTCCGGCAGAGGGTAGTCTAGGGTAGTTCGCACACTCCATGTCACACGTGTCACGTGTGCCGCGTTCCCACAATCGCTGTGTACTTGCGGAGTTGCGATTTAGTCCATAAGCACCAACAAGTTGGCCATGGGATGACATTTACTTCGATTTTCTTCAAACAGAAAACATGGCACTGTGTGATATGTTGGAGGAAAACCTAAATGTAACATACACAAGGATCTCATGCAGAATTGTGTGTGCTAGAGTTAATGCATGGACTTTTGGGACATACAGAATATGGTCACAATTTAATTTTTCTTTGATAAATTTTAATAAATTTCATGAGACTATCTACTAGGTATCCACCCCACAGACGCAGCGGTGTAGCATAGTGTGACACAGTGGGGAAACTGACATTTTACTACCTTTTGCCGCCATTCGAAAGGTACTTAGAGTGCTCTGGAACACTCTAGCTGGGTTCAGATCTGCTTTTGTTCTCAGTGTGTGAGAAATTTTGCAACTCTGTACTGGAACACTGTTCCGCACCAGCTTCTCTTTGGCAATGTAAGCTCGACAGATTTATTTATTTATATTCTTTACATCGCCCTAGAGTACTAAATTCCATATGCCCCTGTTGTTAATTTATTTTAATGTTGCATAGTTGTTGGGTTATCAAAAACAGAATATGTGACATGGTGTACTAGTGTTGCAGCTTGCCGCAAAACTGATGTGGAGTTTTTCTGACTGGTCCTGGTTATGCCAGCGAAACCACCGTGGTATATCTGAGACTCATGTGGGGATGCACATGTATTTTAGATCCAGTAACCTGTCAATAGAGCATGAAAACCAATGTCCCTATGGCAAGATATTCCAATCAATTCTGAAATTCACTCACTGAAGGTCTTTACCGCCACAATCCTCTCAATTATAGGATATGCAGATGAAGTAGGGTGCACATTATCTGATCTCGGCACAACACATCCATGTGACAGTGTAATCTCTCAGTCTACACATCTGAAACACTCAGCTAGATTTGTTCGAACCTTCCTGTAAAAGCTGTGGAGGCTAGGAAGTCCACTCACTGTCAACATGCTTGCATGCTAGGCCTGACATGGGTCGACACATGTACAGCTTATGACTGGGTGCTACCCACGGGTAAGTTGAAAAATAGTGACATTACTGTCAGCATTAGTGAACCTTTTGAATGGTAAACAAATGAGAAAGTTATTTAAAGCTGGGTCAAGTGGCATGGCACGGGTACGGGTACACTGGGTACATGATATATTTATCCATTAACGGAAAAGCACTACAAACATACCAGAATTTGTCATTGTCAAGCTGGTCGGCATCCTGATAAAATTTACATCTTCTCTTATTTTCATGTTCTCGCTAAGTATTCAAAATTGAGTGGCAATCCCATCGTTCAAAAACAGGTCTTGTACTGGTGACCCATATAGTTATGAGTCTGAAGATGTGAGTTTTGTCAAAGTTAGGCACATCATTTGATGTCAGCTACAACGCACTTGATGTCAATGTGACTGGTGGACACAAATTTCAACCAAATACTAGTGATCCACGGGTGCCCGTGGGTTTCCACCCTCTATCCAACTTGCACACTCATGATGAGGTTGGCATTGCTACCAAGACTGCACAGGATCTTAAAGCATCCTTAACGTAGACAGCCCAGTTCTCAACCAAGCCTCGTGATACTGGTCCAGAGAGTATTTTCAGGCCATCCTGTCCTTTTAATGGATTAATTAATGATAGTTACAAGATTGATGTATTGCATTAACTACTGTAACTATCAGTGCACCAGCCTTTAATTTAACATTTAACTTTTCAAGACAGAATATAATCATAACCTGACCACTAACTAACCTCTAACTAAAATTAATAGTTATCATTATGTAAATGTGTCATAAGCCATTACAATGATTAATGCAATACATGTGTCTTGTAATTACAATGGTAATGCATTATTTCCACAGGATGAGGTGGTATTTTGCCTGATGAGTCGACAGCATTGCTGCTGAATTTGCAGCTCTTGAAGAGTTGAAGAGGACTGAAGAAGTTTAGAACATTAAAAAGGGGTAGTGCTCAGAGAAAATGCTTTGATCTTGATGAGTTGGATTGTGTTGAATGAGGAATAATACCACAGGATATTCTAGATGAGTGGAGGCAATATTGAGGAACATAGTCTACATCTGGAGACTGGCGGCCTTTGCCGGTCACAATGTTATAACCGAACTGACCCCAAATAGTAGTTCTGCCTCAGCACTAGTACAAATCAAGGCAAGTCAATGTCGATGTCTGACTGATTTGATGCTGACAGTATCAATCTCAAGTTCCTCAGTCTGCTCTCCATTGCTACAATACAGTTACATGCTAGCTCACCCAAGATTATGCTAAACAGGACAATGCTTGACTCACAACTCAACTCCGAGTCCATGTTGTGCAACAAGTACCTATTATTAGTACTTACACTGGATTGACCACACCGATGTGGTAAAGAATAACCTGACTTGTTCATAGGGTCTGCTTTACTTTTATCTTTACTAACATTTCCCACAGGGGTGCACCTGAATGGCAAAAACACCTCTTGGTGAAAAAACTTAATCTACATGGGTACGACAAGGCACAGCCAACACTTTTCCATGAGGTACGTTATGCTGAAACTGATAAATAGCAGAGCAAGCAAAGATCTTGAAGCAGGTTGCCACTTCGATGGCAGACACAACACCCTCTACCGAGTCTGAGTCTAAAAAAGGCTACAACAATCAACCTGCATTTGTATTCTATTTGAATTTCTACCCCGCACAGTATATAGCTGACCTAGCAATGAACAGATCTACGTTATCAGGTCATGTCGAAGAGAAACAGACGACCTCCAAATTCCTACCAGACCCATTGGATGCAATTGCAAGCATTGATGTCCATCTACTGAGTGTCAATGAAGTGTATACCCAGTATTCCAGTTATCTCACAATCAGTTTGGAGCTTGCCATTGTTCACTGCAGGGAGTGTGATGGCAAGAACACCATCAGTCCTCCTCCTACTGTCTACTGGAAGAAATTGCTCAATTATATTTTGGTGGCTTCAACTTTCTCATGTGGATCGCATTGTAATGATGGTCGTGGTGCTGGGCTTGGAACCAGCTATTTTGATACTGATGTCAAACAGTATTTGTCCGATGCACTTCTGACTACCCTGACCTGAGTCCGACAGTTCGATCCTGACCCGATGCACTTTCCGACAGTCCAACACATGTCCAATCCCAACCCAATGCCCGACCTGACATTCCCATGCATTGGACCAGTCCTCCCTATGTCCTGTCCAGTCGCATCTATCCCCACTAGGTGCGCATTTACTCCTTTTGACTTGCTAAGCATTGTATACAGTATTATTACATGTTTTCTCATGGTCCACAGTACCACATGTCCTATTACATAGAATTTCGGACCCGAAATATCGCTACTACTCTCAGCCTATAGCACTCTGAATTTCTACATAGTCACTATTTAATATCTAGTACTTCCTACCTATTGCATTACTTACTTTTCCCTACTCAGTAGTAGGATGGAAGTCATTGGATATTAGTAGTACTTCATTGTATTGTGAAATATCTATCCGCTCTTTTTCTCTGAAACATTCCGACACATCCGACACTCATTTGACCAACAATCTGACATACTTCCAACACATTCCTTCACCGTCCAACACATTCCTGACAGTCCAATGCATAGTCCGACACCCGACCCGACTCCAATATTTTCGGACCTGACAGTTTCCCTTCGGACAAGTAGTTCCTAGCTTCGGATTATCTTCCTATTATTGATAACTAACTATCTAAACTAATACCAAACAGCTACCCCTATAGGATCGAACACACTTGCTCTGCAAGTATAGCAGACTAGGTCGTGCTAAGATCTACCTAAATATTTGTTGTCTAGGTAGTATGATTTCTGCTGAGCCCAGCGGGAATCAGCTTTCTACAGTGTTCATCTTGACTATCATGAATTCTGTCTTTCACCTTCAATTGTGACTTTCTAATATACATTTTAGATCTCTTATCAACCCCTTGGGCCCCCTACAGCTTTCATTCTTGGTGTTGCCATACTGTTGGTTCGTGACCATCAACTCTGATGCTCAGTTTCCCCCTTCTCATCCTCATCTGCTACAGCTCCTCATCATCATTGTTTTTGCTACATTCTATGCTTTGGTCGATTTGAATGCGAGCAGAATCATGAAATCAATAAAATCTCTAATTGCACATGAGGCTGTGGTCGTTAGGGATGGAAACCAGCAGATAATCCCAGCTGCTGACATAGTAGTTGGTGATATCGCTGTGCTTAATGCTGGCGACCATGTCCCAGCCGACATGTGCATCGTGCAGGCATTGTCAGATCTTCACTTTGATCGCTCTCTCCTGACAGGGGAAAGATCTGTTTCTTGTCTTACATCTTCATGCTTCAATTCAGCTGAAGTCTACTTGCAGCGAAATGGTACCAGGAGCTCTTGATGCCACATCCAACAACACTCTGGAGACTCGTAACCTCATCCTGACTTCCACTTTTGTTGTACAAGGGACTTGCCATGGTGTTGTGTTCGCCACTGGTGATAGGACCATCATGGGATGCCTCATCAAGATGTTGGGAGAAATGAAGTTCAAGCTCACCACTATCCAAAAGAAGGTGTGGTTCTTTACAAAGATCATTTCATGTCTCGCACTCTTTTTCTTCCTCTTGTTGCTTCTTCTATATGGTGTCTGGTTACGGATGTCGTATCCTGGGTATGACACCATGTCTTCTGCCATCGTGAATTCGATTGGTTGCTTGACCACTTTCGTTCTGCAAGTAGGTGGCCGGCAGTGAATTTCTGCATTCCCTTCTTATTTGACATCTTGCAGGGCCTCCCAATTTGTGTGGCACTTTTGTTGACTGTTGTCACATGTCACATGGCTAAATGTCAGGTGCTGGTCAAGAATCTGGTGACAATCAAGACATTAGGATGCATGTCTGTGCTATGTTCTGACAAGACAGGCACGCTGACTGCGGGAAAGATGGTAAGATGAACGATGCATCTGCTCTTATTACCAACTTGCTGATGGACCCACAGATGGTAGAGAATATCGCCTTCCTGGATGACATATTCAGCATCGAGGAAAAAACGATCAGGTTGTGAAGGCCTCAAACCCTGCCGTTTTTTCTGCATTCAAGGTGCTCCATCAGATCGCAAGGCTTTGCAATGGCGCGAAATTCAACGTAACAACCAACCACCTTCTGGTGCAGGAACATATGATCAAGGGCGATCCAACCAACACCACTCTTTTGCGTTTCTCCGAGGCCCTTTCAATACCAGAGCTTGATGTAGATTCCAGTACTCTTCAGAAAGAGTATGAGAAGAAGTTCAAGATCCCTTTCAATTCCTGCAATAAATGGATGCTTTCCGTGGTCTCAAAGGTCTACAATTCTGAAAAGAATGGGGATTCAACATGGATGTTCGTCAAGGGGGCTCCTGATGTTCTGTTCCCTTCCTGCGGAAGTGTGCTACAGAGTGATGGGACAGTCGTCAGTTTAACAGGTTTGGTGAAGCAGAAAATCACCACACTTCAAGAGAACTGGTCAAGTCAACATCAGGAAAAGCCTCCTGAGACAAATCATGTTAAATCACACTAACCATTGATAATTTCTGATCATTATCAGAAATTATCAGCCTTAGGAAGATTATGGCACATAGAAGTACTTTTTTACCCCCTTGAAAATAATGTATAATTGTCAATAATTAGTTGATATCACAAGCAATCATTGTGAATTTCAGAAAGGATATGTGTAATAACGATGCGCAAATCATGCATTTCAGATGGTGTTATAAGAAAAAAAAATAGCATTTGATTAAAAGACATATACAAAGTAACTAGAAACACGCGGACCAAGCTGCCAGAGACCAGGGTATATGAAAAGGAATGATCAACAAATCTGCACTATTTAAAGATCAGTGCCATACTAGAAGCTAATCCTCACCCATACCATCAAGGTCCAGTAGCGCCAATGCCTTTCGATACTCATCAGCCTGATTATTGCCACCCTTTTGTTTCAGGGCCCTGCCAGTATTGTCAATACTCAAGTCAAAGTAGCACCATGCACACCAGTGAAACTTACTGTACAGATTCATAGATGTCCGCCATCATGCAGTGAAACTTCTTAGGTGCAACCTTCTTCAAGTCCTCGAGAAACAGGATCGACACACTCACAGCCTGCAAATGGCAGGCAATGACTTGGATCAGCATGGCTAGGGGTCAAACAAGGATCGACACACTCACATGCTGCAGACAGCAGGTGACAACTTGGATCAGCATGGCTCAAGGTCGAACAAGGATCGACACACTCACATGCTGTGAACAGCGGGCGATGACTTGGATCAGCATGGCTCAAGCTCGATTGAGGATCAACACACTCACTTCCTGTGAATGGTGGGTAACACCTTTGATCAGCATGGCTCAAGCTCAAAGGAGGATTGACACACTCACATGATGTGGTGGTGGTGGAAGAATGCGAGTGAAAAAAAATTGGAACCGTGTGATAAACAAGCGTGAGAGTAAATAAGCACAAATATTCCACAAGTGCTCTTTGCTTATTTGTTTACACATGTTGTCCTTGTTGACATCAGATATCACCAAGTCCATCAAACTGTCCTACACATGGATGGCCATTTTGAGTGAATTGTGAGCTTGCGAGCATTGACATGTTGATGCTCGAAATAGGGCCTTTGTAAGCGGTCATATGAAGATTCACCTGCACCGGTGTGCCTCTATCCTACTGAAGCACATGTCCGAGTTCACCCCAGTCAAAAGGACCTGACCTGAGAATCGGCGCCTGCACTCTCTTTTTCTCTGTGCCCATCTTCTTTGCCTGTCACTCTCTCATTTTTTCGCACTCACCCACCTCCCTTTCTACTACTTCTAGCATGTTTTTGGTCTGTATCAGTGTTTCCTTTCGGACCCTCCAGTCTACACACTTTTCGGACTTGACACACTCTGAGGGTTTGTCTCTGTTGATCCCAAGTACTATCTGAGCACAAGCTGCTTTATTTTGGCCCGTGTGCATCAACATATAGGTGCGCAATCTTTGAAAAGATCCTAAGATTCTTCTTGCCTTGTGCCTTTTGCAGTTTTCTTTTCCCTCTTCCCACAACTCGAGACTAACCTTTTCACACTCAGAAGGTTTGGTTTTTTCTCTGTGCTTGGCTTGTCCTCAACCTCTTGTTGGCTCCGAACACTGCGCTCAAAAATAGATACACTTTTTGTATATTCAAGTAATTCTCAATATTTTGTGATATTCACATTGTACATTATTGTCTTCTAGCGATTTTATTCCTAATTCTTGTAATTAGGTAGAATTATCTGAATCACAACTTTTTGTGAAAATTATAACATTTTTTCCTCAGAAGGGTTTTCCTGATGAAGGCCAATGTGTACTTGCATTGTGAGTATGAGTACTTTTGACTCAACACCCTCACAATTGATATCATTGTGGGGGAATAGATGTAGGAAACCCATAGAACCAATCAAGACTGGACTCGCACCAAATGATGTGGAAGAACTCATGTACACGGAGATGTGCAATTTAACCTTGATTGGTCTAATTGGAATCCACAATCCTCCCCACCCAGATGTTGTGCTGTTGATTTCCATCATCTGACAAGCTGGAGTTCAAGTCTTCATGGTCACTGGTGATTTCAAGCTCACTGCTCTAGCTATTGCACACCAGGATATTTTTTCTTTATTTTCCACCACCATAAATCACTATTAACCCCCTTCTCAGGTCAGTATTATTACCCAGTACGCTGTTGACACTATCCAGGATGTCCGAGCCACTGCATCCAAGAAGGACTCTCCAAAAGATTATTACCTCATCAAGCCCTCCGATGATGATCCTATCCTGCTCTTTGGTACTTACAGGGGAAGATGTCACATCTCTCACCTCATTTGATTGGAATGTCATCGTCGGGACTTATGCAGAGATCATATTTGCATGCACTACCCCTGACCAGAAAATGCGAATCATGGAGGAAATCAAAGCTCATGGAGACAATACAGTCACAGTCACCGGAGATGGTGTCAATGATGCACCAGCACTAAAAGCCGCAGACATTGGCATTGCAATGGGTAGTGGCAGTGATGTGGCTAAGGAAGCTGGTATGGACTTTCCTCACAGTCTTTTCGATGACATCAATACCATCTCTCTCAAGCCACCTTGATTTTGTTGAAGAACAACTTTGCTTCAATCCCTGTCGCGATCGAGATGGGTCGGCTAGTCTTTAATAACCTGAAGAAAGTCACATTGTACCTCATGCCTGTGAGTCGCATTTGCCCAAGCAGTGTTATTTCAGCTGGTTCGATACTCATGATGTTACAGGCTGGAAGTTATTCGGAGTTCATGGCAGTCCTTGCAAATGTGTTAATGGGCATGCAGGAACCCATGAACTCGTATCAACAAGTCTGCTATTGCATCACCAACAATGTTATCATGTTGATCTCATTGATGTATGAGCAGCCAGAGTGGGGTGAGTGCTCACCCATTGATGAGCTTTCCAGTGCTCACTTCTTGTTGTAGACTTGATGCAACACAAACCACGCAATGCAAGGACTGATAGGCTCACAGATTGGCACCTTTTCTTCCATGTCTACTTGGTACGTTTCACGACTTGGGTGACCTAAACATGCTCATGTATACTTGCCCAGTTCTATGGACTGATGCTGTGGCCCTGCACGATGGCAATGTGGTTCTTGTACATGCAACAGCAAGGCCTCAGTTTCTATGAGGTTATCTTGACTTTCAGCCAATGGGGGGCTGGCTGGCAAGGTTTCACCAGCAAACAACTAACCCAGTTCATCTCCATTGGTTCATGCATTTAGTGTGTCATCATTCTTTCCTTTCACAATGCGGATTCTAAGAGTCGCTAGTTATGTGACAGTGGCTATCAGACAGTATGGGACTCTTCTGTCGGTTCACAACCACCAAATATTGATACTGCAGTTGAATCCTCTATGGGGCCTGCGTCACAACCTGCTAGTACTTGTTGGCATGATGGGCATGGTATTGATTTGCATCGTGAACCTTTATGGAGCTGGCTTCCAGCAGGTATTTGGTATGACACCTACTGTATAGTTTCGACACTACCTTCAAGCCCATCTGCGCATGACCATGTCACGCTTAACTTCATAGCTTCACACCTCAGTGTGACCTGTGACCATCTCTAATTAGGTTCATTACATTGTGACTGCCACTGGCAACTCGCCGTCGCTGTCTGTAACTCTGGCGACCAGCATGGACTTCTGTGCTCCTACAAGTTGCTTCAACTTAGTCGACATCATTTTGTTGAGCTGCGCATCCTGCAGGGATGGGTGGAGATAGTCTTAAAAGGCTGCATGTCAAATCTGTAAGCTCCATTTCCCTCTAGTCATGCAATCTGAAACTAATGTGTTCATTGCCTCTGAGTGGCTTTCATGTGGCCGCGTCTTTGAGCGGATGACTCTTCCTCCCTCTGTAAAGTATGAAATCAAATGCTTGTTGGCCATTCCAGCTCCCATTCAATCAACCATCCCTTCACAAACTCTGTCCATCACACAACTCCTTGACATTAATCTTCCTGCTTCACTTGATTTCAAACTCGCGCTCTCATCATGCCTGGTACTTGCCCGTGTTCCCGACTTGGATGATGTTTTGTCATGGACAGTCCCTCCTTTACATATTGTCACCAAGCTCCTTGATCAATTCGGTCAAGCTTGGTTTGATGGACAATCTTCAGTCATCCATCCATCTGCTCCCTCAACTCACCTTCCGTTCTGGATCCTCTCCTACTGGAAAGAGGTTTCCCATGCCCTCGAGGCTCGCCTCACGTGGCTAAGCGCCCACGATTGGGTCCTTGACAGGCTTGATCGTGACGAACATGTCACCAACCATAGTGCCAAGGAGGCTGGTAGAGCAATAGATGAGGTTCTAGATGTCCTTGGACGTCTCCCCTGGGATGTAGAGTTGTGGGGATTAGGGGCATCTGTTGGGCTACACATATCTGAGCTCCGCCCTCTTCTTTCTAATACAATGATTGACGGGTGTGTGCTCGATGCATTGATTGTTGCCATCAATGAGTCCTTGGATGATTCCAATAGCTGCCACAACTATACAGTTGAGACCCTCGATTTCACAAATATATTACAGCTCGGGGATGCACGGTGGTCAAGGTATCATTTTGATAGAGCATTCAGTCACCTGCACTCCCTCGGCAACTCACTTCATGATGGCTCAATCCAGTGCATCATCTTTCCCATCAATATTTCCCAGGTTCATTGGGCTGTCTTTAGCATTGATGCTGAGATGCAAACCATTGCATATGGAGACTCTCTTGGGTGGTCTTGGCCTGCATCATATGTTGACACCATCCAGCTCTGGTTGAAGAATCATAGGTTCGCACCATTTAGCAAAGTGCCTATGGCACACGGCAACCAAATTGACTCCTTTTCATGCGCAATTGCAGCAATTAATACCATTAAGCATGCTGTCTTCAAGCATCCCCTGTTTACTGACGATAAAAAGTACTGCCTCCAAATGGAAGAATTTTTAGTGCTTGCAAGGAGCCACTTTGAGGTCCATCTCCATGACTAACTTTCGGCTTGAAATAACTAATTCTCCTATGGCTACAGCACGTCGAGAGACTTCATGAGACTTCAGACAACTCAGATTCATTCTCAGATGGCACCATTGATTCTAGTATCGAAGCTACTTCACCATGTCCATCACACCACTATACAACCTTGCCACCAGTGTTTTCGTCAAGCTCGATGTCCAACGCAATGTCAACCCCATCAGTACCTGCTACTGCTAGCTCAAAGTGTCTTACATTGAATCTTCGAGCTGGTGAAGAGGCGAAATCTGTTGGTCTCTTCAAGCATTTCCCAACTATAACACGAGAGGAGCATCTGAAGACTGCATGGGTTCCTTTCTCCTGGGAGCTAGAGGCTCGCGAGCAAGATGCTCATAGGTCCCATGTTGATGCACTAGAACGAGATCACCACCGGTGTGAAGGCAACAGGAGATGTAAACAAAAGCAGCGTGCACAAGAAAAGGCGAAGAAGGCAATGGCGGTATGAGCTGTGACTTGCATCAATGAATCTGATATACTCACACAGCTTTGTAACTAGGTTCATACTGTCAATGACGCACTTCACGATCTCAATGTGCCTGTCATCACAAAGACAGATATTGCCAAGGCATCTCGACCTTACCGGGAGATTCAACAGAGAGATGCAAGAGCACATCAGCCTGCAGTTCAAGTTGGATGCAAGTGCAAGCACAACGACACCCTTGCTGCTCGTGTAAACTGGCAGCACCCGTTAATGTGGACTACTATTGTCTCAGCTGCCGCTTGCATGGGGATTAGCATGTCCCCTTCAGATATTGTGCAGGAGGTTCAGCGGATGGATTTATCATGATTCCATACTTTGACCCCACAAGTTGTTGGCACTTGGATTGACCGTTCTGGTGACAAACCTGTATGGACTGCAGCTACTCTTGCTCGTGCTCAGAGACACAGCCTGCCAATGTACCAAAATACATGCAAAAGTATCCTATCGCCCTATCCTGACATCGTTAAGACCATCATTAATGACCTTCAGTCACTCCGACAAGTTGGGGTTGCCTTGGACACTCTTCGCTGCCGTGGCATTATTCTTGCACGTCTACAACACTCGATTCCCAAAATATTTGAAGCTGTCGTGAAGGATGGCTCTTGTTTTCATTGCAGTGAGACCTGGGTCAAGGAAATTCTCAATGAGCATCTCAACTGGACATTCCGCAGAGCAACACGTGCTGCACAAAAACTTCCACCGAATGTTGACCAGGTTCTCCTCGACCAATTCCTTTGTCTCGCTCTAACCATCCATGACTGTGCAATTTTCGACTCAGCGTTCCTGGTCAATGTTACGACTTGGATGGTATCTGTTGGCGACGCTCAAACAGAGCGTGTGCCGTCAATGGTCGAGGACGTCCTTGGGCTAGCCCAAGGTTAGGGGTCTTACTTGGCGAGGCTTCGGCAAGTAAGATTTGACACCTATGTCCAAATCGGGTAGCTTATGTCACGCGGGTGCGAGACGATAAGCTAAATCGGCCTAGGCTTACGACACCCGAAGGTTAATTGTAAGGATTGTCATTAATTAGAAGGACAGAAGTCCGACTAGTTAACAGGGGCTTTGCTTGTCGATGAAGTCGACTAGCAAAGGTCGAGACTATAGGCTTATCCGCAATGAGCAGATAAGAAGATAGAATATAGACTGCTGGCGAGGCAGAAAGGATCACTCTGGTGAGAGTAGGAGGTCAAGAACCAAGTAGATTCAAGTTAGGGAATATGTTACATGGTAGCGAGTTTATATAGAGGATAGGAAGCGTATTAGTGGGTGATAACTCGTACTACCAAGAGAAGCAATCGGTAAAGGGTGTAACCATAAAAGGAGGGCACGTTTGAGGTGAGACACGGGCGAGTCCTGAACGTGCAGATAAGAAAGATCAAAATGAGAAGTGAAACACGCAGGGGCACGATCGTGCAACTGCGGAGCTAAGTATAAATCGCATGTGCGATTGCGCGCTGAGTCAGAGATCAAGAAAGGAAACAGGGCAAAGGGGATGTGTCGTGCATCGCATCATAGGTTACCGTCCTGACGGTAAGGGCAAGGGGACTGTCCACAGGATCAGTCAGGTGGTGGAACGGAGCATGGGTATGCTTCGTCAGCAAAAGGATCCGGCCAAATGTACTGGCTCTGCTGAAGCGACAAGTAGAGAGCGAAAGGGAATGCAAGGATGACGAGGATGACAAGGGTAAGGTCGGGGTAAGGGTATGATGCGAGGGCTGATACGAGGAGGATTAGGAGGAAAATGGTAGGGGCCCAAGCGTCCAGATGTTCTTGTAACAGTCAACATTGACCAGACAAACATTGTATACCAGCCATCAAACACTTCAACCTTCGAAGTGAATGGGTCGAAGCAAGTTGCTGTTATTGGGCAGGAGGAAAAGCGTGCCTTCATGGTCATCAATGGGATTTCCACCAAAGGTCATGCCCTCCCCTTGCATCTGATCTATGAGGGAAAGTCATCATGTTCCCTTCCCTTGAAGCATACTCCACAATATAAAGAAGCAGCACAACTCAACTTCAAGATCTCTTATGCGAACACACACACTTACTGGGCGACATTTCCCCTCATGTGCGAGTACGTCACTGACATTTTGGTGCCTTATTGGGAGGAGCAGAAAGGACTTGTTGGTGCACCGGCCAATCAGGAGTGTATCTTGCATCTCGATGTCTGGAGTGTGCATTGATCCATTCAGTTTTGTACTTGGTTGGATATGACGTACCCTTGGATCAAGTACCTGCTTCATCCCCGGGGGCTGTACAGGTGTTGGTCAGCCATGTGATGTTGGTATTCAACGGCCGTTTAAACTTGCAGTCAAACACACACAGCATGCAGATATCGTCAACGAGTCTCTTGCTCAACTTTCTGAGAAGACTTCACCAGCACTCGTCCGACTTGACACAACAATTGGCACTCTTCGCAATCGGTCATTGCAGTGGGTCATCAATGGGTATCACGCCATAAACAAGCCTGAGCTTGTGAAGCAGGTCTGGCCATCATCTCTCTCTTTATCGTTGTTGTGTAGCTAACTTAGTATTGTTCTGAATAGGTGTTTTTCATGTGTAAAGCTGGGAAGGACTTCAATCTCTCATTTGAAAGTCTTGCGAGTCACGAGGCACTACAATATCTGTGGGAGGTCCAACAGAATGATAAAGCTGGGTGGATCAGAATCACAACTGCTCAGTATGAGACCAGTGTCAAAGCTGCTGATGAGCTTGAGGTCACAGGAGACATGGATGCACTTAGCACTGAACCTCCTTTTGACAGTGTCAACAAGCAAGACATTGATGCCAGTGATGTACCCATGGAGGTGCTTATTGATCACCTTGCATTGGGGGGCATGCATGCTGTGGATGGTGGTCTGTCCTCTATGAACCACTCGGAAATCTATAATGTCAGTGAAGATAGTACTGATCTAGGTATAGAGGGCAGTGTTAGGAATGCTGAACAGGGGCGTGGAAAGCGTAGACGGATCGCAAACAAGATGTACAATGACTTCTGGACCCATTAGAGTAATATGTATGTTTTTTTTCCATTTTTACCACATGTCACAATTTAGCTTCACCTTCCAAAAATTTGCATGACGGTCACACCAAATAGGTTCGATTCAACTAGAGGCTGTGATGCGTGACGAACCTAGTGTCGAAACTATACAGTATCCCCGGGATGTTTTGGGGCCTTCCATTCACCTTTGTGTTGGGAATCCTCCTCGTGGACGAGACTCACAAAGCCGTGGTGAGGAAATACCCGAAGGTGTGTTTTGAGTCAAATGATCATGTTAGAACTTGAATTCATGCTTTTTTATAGTCTTTCATTGCGTGGCTCGCATGGTGAACTCGAAGTCGTACGAAGTTAGATTATTTTTGGTTAACAGGACTGTTCAATGTAAATTAATATTAAATGCGTAAATGTTATCCACTTAGTGGCAAGTTAGATTATTTTTTGTCGACGTAAATTAATATTCAATGTTCCACTTAGTGATTAAGAGTTTCACATGATATTTTTCCTCTTATCACTGGGGATCGAGTCATTTTGAAAGTTAACCTTCTCCTCCCACAACGCAGACGAACTCGGAGTCCTCTGCGACCGCAACTAAAGCCACTCGAATCTCCTTGCTATTATATGCCCATAAACTTTACAGACACATTCCCGAAAGACAACTTGACAGCCAAATCAAATCTAACCAGCTCTTATCAAGCATTACATCATGGAATCGTTCAAAGCACCAGCCTTCTCGACATTCCCAACGAGTCTCTTACTCATATCACTTCATTCCTTCCTGCTCCCTCGCTCCTTGCGCTCTCCAGGACAAACCGACGTCTCAATGAACACATAAATGATGACAATACCTGGTATCGGGCCTTTGTCAACCAATTTCTCGGGCTTGGTCCTGAGAATGATCTCGAGAATGAGAGGAGTCTCATACTGAGGAAGTCAGAACGCACTTGGCGAAAGGAGTTTATCATGAGGCATAACTTGAGGAGGTTTGTAGATGTGTCGTATTCAGTTCTCCTCTTATCTTGTATCTCAGGCGCTGGGAATTTTCGCGGAATGGGACGATTACTCATTCTCCTCAAGACTCTACCATTGATGGCGTCCTTCTGATGTCTGAGTCTGGTCTTCTCACATATTCAATTCAGTACGGAGTAGTGGCTCGTTCGCTTCCGCTCAGCGGCAAAGTTCTCAAGGGGTACCTCGATGCTGCCGGAACAGGATTGGGTATAGGGAACCCCAATGTTGAATTTACACCCAATGTCTCTGTCTGCCGTCTCACTTCTGATGGTGGAACTGCCAGGGCTTTCTGGGGAAAACGTAACGGGGAAGTGGCAGTGACGACGGCTGCTCGAGTCATGGATCCTGGGCGTGCATCTTCAAGGCTTGTTAGATGCAAAGTCGAAGATCAGCATGACGGTGCTGTGAATGAGATTGCATTGGATCCTCTTGTCAACCGATTTGTTTCCGGGGGTGCCGACGGGCAAGTCAAGTTATGGGATATTAAGACGGTTACGTGCTTGTGGTCTAGTGACAAGGAGCTTCAGTCACTTGTGGCTGTCCCATTCCTTATGGTATCCTCCGCTCTTGCAGACGGTATCATAGCAGGTGTTTTGAGTAGCGGAGACATCCTCTTGTGGACATCGTCTGGACAAGTGAACTCGGACGACTTTTCCAGCCTGGCATCGTTTGCACAACATCGCATCGTGTCGCCCATTTTCAAGGGACAATCATCTCCCCATGATACGTTCATACCTCAACCTCAGCCAACTGTGCTATGTGTCCATCGTCACTCACAGACAAAGACAGCACTACTCATCGGGTACTCCGATCACACGTTCTTCTACCGTGTCGTAGTTGACCTTACAACGGGCAAATACGAAACTACCACATTTGGTGATATCTCATTCGGATACAACTCCATCATCGAACCTATCTTTGCAGCTCAGCCAGATGATTGCAATTTCATCGTCACTGGTGATGTGCAAGGTTTCATTGGCATTTACGACTGGGACACCACGCAAACATCTTCTTCTGTCGCACCTGCCTGCAGATTTGAGGCTCACGAAGATGATGCTGTGACTGCGCTTGCTTGGAGCTCGGTTGTTCTTGCCACAGGCTCTGCACGCGGGACAACGACCGTATGGGACGCGCTCACCCTAGAACCTCTTAGGATTTTTTCGTCCCCAGTCCCCCGTGCTGCACCGGGTCGTGAATTTGGAGGTGTCAGAAAAATTGTGATCGAACAGGAACTTTTGATCATCATTGCTGACAATAGGGTGATGTCGTGGAAGGTGGGGCAAGTACACCACCGTAATTCTCCGCACAAAAGCAAACCTCCTCGTTCGAATAAATACTCAATTCCCAAAGGACAACGTATGCATGTTCTATTTTTTGGAGATTTTCGACTGATCAAACGTTGCAGAACGATACGATTTGCACAAAGTTATCAACGAATCCAAACGTGAGCTAGAACAAGAAAATGCTTGTAAGCAACGTACGATGGGGCAAAAAAGCAAGCAACTTTCCGCTCTAAATATGCTTGGACTGTCGGAGTCAGAGGCAGTAGAATATGTCTTGATGCTCTCCCGCGAGGAAGAGGAGCATCGCCGACTTTCCCGTACCATCGATGAAGGTGTCTTCGAGGGTGACTTTGAAGACGAAACACTATTGTCAGTTGCTTCAACTTCTTCAACAGTGTATGGTTCTGCATTACCTGCATCGAACCAGTCTTTCCCGAGTTTCCGCTATGACCGTCATTCTCGTACCTATCCACGTGCCACCCGTCCCGCGACGAATGAGAAAGTACAAGTGTCTCCTGTCTTCATCCCGGAACCTATGGAAGCCGGCGTCACCATAAGCCCACTCAGGATACCTACGTCCCTGCCAGGTGCTTTGACGGGTACAAGGTCTTTGCCGGAAGTGACTCACTCCTTGTCGTCCTCTTTCGAACACTTTCCCTCGATCAGCTCTAGCATTTCCTCATCGACCAGCAGCTTAGAGCACGTTCGTTCGGCATGGAGTATACCCCTACGCTCGCCGGGTTCATCTCCACATGCTGCCACACCTATCTTCCGCACGTCTTCCGCAAGCATGGATAACCATGTTAGACGGTCTGAAGAAGAGCTCCGGGTCCTTGATTTAGATGAGGATTTGAGATTTGCGATTGAGTTGAGTCTTGCGGAAGCGCGTAGTCGAGGCGAGGTTTGAAAGTGATACATGGTGAATTCAATAGAGCGTTGGGACAATCTTTCTAATTAGAATCAGTACGAGTTTCGAGTTGTTTTGTATTCGTTGAATAAATCTCCAGTGAGGCATTTAGGCATATATCGACTCTGCCCCCTTTTGATTTTCTGTCGTTTGAAATGCCACATTACGCATGATGCTACTGCAGTTGGTACTAAATATGAATCGGAGCGCCATGAAACAGGGTGGTAAGTTTAATTCTTCCCATGCTCACCTTGACTGACCCGGGACTCCCATCGCATCTCTATTTCTATTCATTGCACCAAACATCGGTGACAGTGGTGAAATTCCGCCACACGATAAATCGCTGCTGAATCCTGATGTCGTCTTCGTTGTCCTTCCGGTTGTCACGTGGGGTGTTGAGTACAATATCTCCTCCGTTCGTACTTGCATCACGAGTCTCACATAAACACTTATCTGACTGAAGACGCGCCGCAGTATTCCACATGCAAAATCATGGGGATTGGAGTATAAGCCAACAAAAACGCGGCCCTTGCTTGACATGTCGCAAGGTGTTCCAGGAACTCCTCCATCCGATGTTCTTCTTGATGCACTATCATACTCATCGTCTTCTCGGGGATCATCAGGGTATTGTCATGTTCTTGGAGAACCTACTCTTCGTTCAGCCTTTGCAAAGGAAATGAAGACAGTATACGGACCGGATATGGATGTTACCCAAGACGACATTGCTATCACGGCTGGGTGCAATATGGCATTTGTTGCAACTATGATGTGTCTTGCTGATGCAGGAGACGAGGTTGTCCTGCCGGTTCCATGGTACGTCTGTCGTCTCTTCTTCGTGATCTTGCTCAAAAGACGTTGTATAGGTATTTCAACCACCAGTATGGTAGTTTACTCACCGAGTCTGCTCTGCTCTCATTTGCCTGATTACCTGCCCAGAATGAGCTTGAATCTTCTCGGCATCAAAACAGTACCACTATATACTCGCGTTAATGAGGGCTTCCTTCCTTCAACAAGCGATTGCGAGAATTTAATCAACCCGCGGACAAAAGCAATTGCGCTTGTGACACCAAACAACCCAGTCCGTCTCTTTCTGGTTGACGTGCGTCAATTCATAACCACCATACAGACAGGTGCAATTTATTCTCCAGACTTGATTTCAAGGTTCGCCGAACTCGCACAGAAACACAAGATTGCTCTTGTCCTTGATGAGACTTACCGGGATTTTGTGGACACCATGCCCCCGCACAACCTGTTCTCTCCATTTCACACCGAGGTGTCGAAGCCCTCTTCGCTATGGAGATCCAACGTCATTCATCTATTCTCCTTTTCCAAGTCTTACTGCTTCCCTGGACATCGACTGGGTTTGATTGCAGCATCACCCCACCTCTTGAAACATGTCACTACCACACTCGACTGCCTACAGATATGTGCGCCACGCCCTCCACAATTAGCTCTCGCTTCTCCAGGCTTGCTACCTATATTGCGTCAGTCAATCCAGGCCGGTGCACAATCGCTTAAAACACGCCACGATATCTTCCACAAACATCTCCCTCCCGGTTGGACGATTGGATCGCAAGGCGGTTATTTCGCCTTTGTAAAACACCCTTTTGTCGGAATCCCTGCAATCACATTATGCCAGCGGCTTGCGGAAGAACTCGGCGTTTTGGTCCTTCCCATGCAGTTCTTCTGCGATGACAACGTTGGGCCTGACCTCGAGTCACTTGGACAGTCGAAGAAGGACTGGGAGCGCTGGATCAGGTTCTCAGTGGCGAATGTGAGTGACGACATGGTAAAACAAGTGTGTGGGCGACTGCATGAATGCGAGCAGCATCTCGGTTGGAATGTAGAGTAGTCTTTGCTTACAGACTTATCGCCAGAAGGAAGTATCTTAAGAGGGGACATTCTCTGACAGCGGGCTCAAAATGATCCGTACCTTACCTTATGATATTTGTCGCCTGGCCCAACATTGACTCAGAGGTACCCGAATATGTACGAGATGGAGTTTGAGCGCACACGCGAGACAGAAGGGTTAATGGCCGCTGTAAGTCCCGGTTATCCCAATTGGGTTGATTTCAAACTTGAAGTCTTGGCTCAAGTTAATCACGGGGTCTCTACCAGGCTGGCCGCTGTTCCCTAGCTCCGCACTTTCAAGCCTAATCTGTCACTCAAGAAACTACAAAGGGAGCCATTCGTCAAATGACTAATTAGCGCGCGTCGTGTCTACTACTCTCCCTCTCTCTGCGCGTATGGCAACTCCAACTCCAGCCTTCCGCCTAACCACTCCGCCCCCTGGACGCACCTTTGCGAACCAGCATACCTTGCCCAAGCTCCCAGTTCCATCTCTCGATGACACTTGCAAACGCTACTTGACTGCTCTTCGAGGTCTCCAGGATGACAAGGAACATGCTGCCACTCAGCATGCTGTTCGAACTTTCTTAGATAGCGAAGGTCCCGCTCTACAGAGGAGATTGAATGAGTGGGCTCAAGAGAAAGCAAGGTGAGTTTCGTGCATCGCTAATCAAACTGCCTCATCACCACGGCTTCCGGATCTTACATCACACCCTTTTGTTGTTCGCAGCTATATCGAGGACTTCTGGTGAGCTTCTCTTATTTTGCCTCGAGATACTTCTTCTAATCATGGGTTTCTCATCCTTGTGGGTAGGTATGAAAGCTACCTCTCGCACAGCGATCCTGTAGTACTTGCTCTCAACCCTTTTTTTGTCCTCGAGTACGTTCATGTGATTTTCATTTACCTTTAAAACCCTTTAACTCACTACCCACAGGAATGATCCTAGCCCGGATCGAGGCTCTCAGCTACCTCGCGCTACGGCTCTTATCATATCTTCATTAGGCTTTGTTCACGATCTCCGCCAAGGTCTACTTGAACCCGATGCCGTACGTGATCATGCACTAGATATGGATCAATACAGTAGATTGTTCGGGACTGCTCGTATACCAACAGAGGTATGTCTCGCAGAAATATATTTGAACTCAAATCAAATCTATTCGTTTGGTTAGCGCGGCTGCAAGATGCTCGTGAATGATGCGGCTCGTCATATAGTGGTTTTGCGCAGGGGACAGTTCTGTTAGTCGGACACACATGCCCATGCATTCAGCCGCTAATATCTCACTAGATTGGTTTGATGCCCTTGATGAGGATAACCGACCACTGTTAACCGAGCGTGAGGTTCTTCGCAACCTCCAAGCCATCTGCAAGGATGCTGACAAGACTCCAATAACTGAGGTAAGGACTTACTGAACAACATTTATCTGCTTCCTCTAACTGTGGCTTATAAAGGTTGCTCGTACGGCTATTGGTGTTCTCACTACCGAGAATCGGAAGACTTGGTCTTCCCTTCGACGCGAACTCGCGCAGGACAAGACCAATGCAGCTTGCCTGCGCCTGGTTGACGATGCCTTGTTCGTAGTCTGCTTGGATGATGCAGCTCCAGGTCGCGATGGCATCAGCGCGCTCGTTCAAAATGGCGAAAAGGGAGAAGACCTTGCTGCTCTATGCAGTAATTTCCTCTGCGGAACTTATGACTTGCGGGAAGGTGTGCAGGTTGGCACGTGTACTAACAGGTGGTATGACAAAGTGAGTCAGCGTTCAAGATACTTGTCGGTATTTGATCTAATTTGTTATTCAAATTAAGCTGCAAATCATTGTGTGTGCAGATGGTGCTGCCGGCATCAACTTTGAACATACCGGCGTTGACGGCCACACAGTTTTGAGGTACCTCCCAGTCGAACTGTTTTCTTACTATATGCTCATGTTACCATCAGGTTTGCCGCAGATGTCTTTACTGAAGGCCTGATGCTGCTCGCGCGTTCAATCAATCCCTCCGCACCTACTCTATTCCACGCATCCCTTTCTCCTCACGCTAAATCCTACAGGCCTCCCAAGTCAATAGCCAACGGAAACTTGCCAATATCCTCTCAAATCTTCTCATATGATACCTCACCATCTAAACTTATCTGGACCCTAACCCCTTCAATTCGAGTTGGCATTCGGTATGCTGAGACACGCCTGAGTGACCTTATATGTCAAAATGATTGTCAGGCGCTCGAGTTCAAGGGCTATGGAAAGAATTTTATCACAAGTCATGGTTTCAGCCCCGATGCGTTTGTGCAGATGGCTTTCCAGGCGGCATACTTCGGACTTTATGGTCAGAATGTCCTGTTCGCAGATTCTGCAATCTCAATTCTGACGTTGTAATAGGCAGAACGGAGTGTACTTATGAACCTGCGATGACGAAGGCCTTCCTTCACGGGAGGACTGAAGCGATCCGGACAGTGCAACCAGAGAGCGTCGACTTCACAAAAGTAAGCGTCTGCATGATCATCCGGCTCTTCTTCCTTACTTGTTTCCATTCGTTTATCTAGACATTTTTCTCGGAGTGTTTGCCTAATGAGAAGATCTGTAAATTGCGCAAGGCATGTGAGCGACATGTACAACTTACGAAGGAGTGCAGCCAGGGCTTGGGCCAAGACCGGTGGGTTCTTTTGTTAGCTGTACCCCTATTTCAGTATTGATGGCTTCTTGTAGACACTTGTATGCCTTATACTGCTTGCATCAGCGCCAGGTGACGGGAAACCTAGATCCCTCTCCTGATGACCCGATCCCGAACGGAAATATTCAGAAGAATGTCCTCCCATCAATATTTGCTGACCCGGGCTGGAATCTATTGAGTACGTCTATCTTATCCACTTCAAACTGTGGAAATCCTGCATTGCGCCTGTTTGGATTTGGGCCCGTTGCGGCTGATGGGTATGGCATTGGGTATATCATTAAAGAGAACGGGATTAGCGTGTACGCCACAATTTTCATTATCAAATAGACGTGTCACTGACACTGACTAATGGTCCTATAGCGTCGCTTCATCAAAGCATCTACAGACGCGCCGATTTCTGGACACCCTTCGGGGATATCTGTTAGAAGTTCAGAGGATCTTAATTCAGCTCCACCGCTCCGCAAATGAACGCCCTGCGCCATTTGTTGATCACGCTGGTATCCTCCGTGACTCTAAGACTGGTCGGCCAATCAACGGCCACGGTTACGGGTCAGACGAATCGGGGAGTGACTACGAGGACACCATGCGTGAGTCATTTGGTTACGCGCAGCATTGGTGAGCTTCCTAATACTTATATTCTTAGCCGGGTATTCGTTCTTTGATAGTGGTGATATCGATCTGCTCGGACGCCGCAAGAGAAGTCCATATGCGAATATTGGTGTGTCTGAATGACCTCATGTGATATTTTCTGGTGCTGATTAATTCTGGTATGTAGGAAAAGTCCTCCCGCTGTCCGATTATTGACGGAAGGTACCTAAATGCTGTATGCACAAGTACCAAAGTATATATATTCTATGTAGCATGATTTTATTACTTTTTGTCTGTATCAGTACTGCATTTATGATGTATCAGGGTTCAACGTTGACCAGTGACCCATCTATATAAACAATGTCTTCAGTGTAGTCGTGTCGAATGATTCGACGCCTTCGAGATGTGGCTTAGCATTCATTGTAAAGCGAACGGCAAGCATCATGCAGTGGGAGACGCTGTGAGGTAATGGCATTATTTCCTACAGGTTCGCGTACAGGTCTCAGCTGGCAGGCTGGACGAATTCAACCCACAAAACCCTCTGCGATTTGCTGAAAATACCGGAAGTGGATAACATTTGCACATTTAATATTAATTTACATTGAGCAGCACCAACAAGAAAATCCTAACTTCGAGCTCACCATGCCAGCCACGCAATGAAAGACTAAAGAAATGTATGAATTCAAGTTCTATCACTGTAGTTTAACTCAAAACATACCTTCGGGTAATTCCTCGCAATGGCTTTGCGAGACTCGTCCATGAGCAAGATTCCCAACGCAAAGGTAAACGGAAGAACCCAGAACATCCCAGGAATAGGCGTCGTGCCAAACACCCGCTGGAAGCCAGGTCCATAAAGGTTCACGATGCAGATCAATACCGTGCCCGTCATGCCGACAAGTACTAGCAGGTTGCGACGCGGGCCCCAGAGAGGATTCGACTGCAGGATCGATACTCGGCGGTTGCGAACCGACAGAAGAGTCCCGTACTGTCCGATAGCCACCGTCACGTAGCTAGCGACTCTGAGAATCAGCGTTGCGAGAGGAAAAAATGATGACACACTAAATGCATTGACCAACAGCGACGAAATGGGTTAATTGATCGATGCTGTAACCTTGCCAGCCATCCTGCCATTGGCTGAAAGTCAAGATAACGTCGTGGAAACCAAGGCCCTGTTGGCGCATGTACAAGAACCACATCGCCATCGCGCAGGGCCACAGCATCAGTCCGTAGAACTGAGGTACAAATGAGTATGTTTGGGTCACCCAGGTCGTGAAACGTACCAAGTAGACATGGAAGAAAAGGCGCCAATCCGTGAGCCTATCGGTCCTGGCATTGCGTGGTTTGCGCTGCATCAAGTCTACAACAGGAAAGTGAGCACCGGAAAGATCATCAATGCAGGAGCACCCACCCGACTCCGGCTGCTCATACATCAACGAGATCGACATGATAACATCGTTGGTGATGCAATAGCAAACTTGTTGATAGGAGTTCATGGGAATCTGCATGCCTAGCAAAACGTTTGCGAGGACCGCCATGAATTCCGAATAACTTCCAGCCTGTAACACCATCAGTATAAAACCCGCTGAGATCGTGCTGCTTCCCCAGATGCGACTCACAGGCATGAGGTACAATGTGACTTTCTTCAGGTTATCAAAGACTAGTCGACCCATCTCAATCGCGACCGGGATCGAAGCAAAGTCGTTCTTCAACAAGATCAAGGCCGCTTTAGAGAGATGGCATTAGCATCATCGAAAACACTGAGGAAAGTCCATACCAGCTTCCTTGGCTACATCACTGCCACTACCCATCGCGACGCCAATATCCGCGGCTTTGAGTGCTGGTGCGTCATTGACACCATCTCCGGTAACTGCGACCGTATTGTCTCCGCGAGCTTTGATTTCCTCCACGATTCGCATTTTCTGGTCAGGGGTAGTGCGCGCAAATACGATCTCTGTGTAGGTCCCGACGACGACGTTCCAATCAAACGAGGTGAGAGATGTGACGTCTTCTCCTGTAAGTACCAAAGAGCGGATAGGGTCATCATCGGAGGGCTTGATAAGGTGAGGATCTTTAGGCGAGTCCTTCTCGGATGCAGCGGTTCGGACATCTTGGATAGTGTCAACAACATGCTGGGTAATGATACCGACCTGAGAAGGGGGTTAATAGTGACTTATAGTAGCGGAAACTAAAGACAAAATACCTGGCGCGCAATAGCTAGAGCAGTGAGCTTGAAATCACCAGTGACCATAAAGACTCGGACTCCAGCTCGTCGAATGATAGAAATCGACGGCGATACATCCGGACGAGGAGGATCGCAAATTCCAACTAGACCAACCAAGGTTAAATCGCACATCTCCGTGTACATGAGGTCTTCCACGTCATTCGGTGCGAGTCCAGTCTTGATTGGTTCTATGGGTTTCCTACATCTGACCTCGGCAACGATATCAGATGTCAGGGTGCTAAGTCAAAAGTGCATATACTCACAGCACAAGTACTCGTTGACCTCGGCTTGACCAATCCTCCTGAAGCGTGGTGAACATCTGCCTCGCCCTACTTGTTAACGTGATGACCGTCCCATCACTCTGTAGTACACTGCCGCAGGAAGGGAACAAAACATCAGGAGCCCCCTTGACGAACATCCATGTCGATTCTACGTCCTTTTCAGAAGTGTTGACATTCGAGACCACGGAAAGCATCCATTTATTGCGGGAATTGAAGGGGATCTCGAACTTCTTCTCATACTCTGTCTGAAGAGTACTCGAATCTACATCAAGCTCCGGTATTGAAAGGGCCTCGGAGAAACGCAAAAGAGCGGTGTCGGTTGGATCGCCCTTGATCGTACGTTCCTGCACCGGAAGGTGGTTGGTCGTTGCGTCGAATTTCGCGCCGTTGCAAAGCCTCGCGATCTGATGGAGCACCTTGAACGCAGAAAAAACGGCAGGGTTTGAGGCCTTCGTGACCCGATCGTTAATTTCCTCGACGCCGAATACGTCATCCAGGAAGGCGATATTCTCTACCATCTGTGGGTCCGTCAGCAAGTTGGTAATAAGAGCAGATGCATCATTCATCTTACCATCTTTCCCGCAGTCAGCGTGCCTGTCTTGTCAGAACATAGCACAGACATGCATCCTAACGTCTCGATTGTCGCCAGATTCTTGACCAGCACCTGACGTTTAGCCATGCGACGTGCGACAACAGTCAACGAAAGTGCCACGCAAATCGGGAGGCCCTGCAAGATGTCAAATAAGAAGGGAATGCAGAAATTCACTGCCGGCCACCTACTTGCGGAACGAAAGCGGTCAAGCAACCAATCGAATTCACGATGGCAGAAGACGTGGTGTCGTATCCAGGATACGTCGTCCGTAACCAAACGCCGTATAGGAAGAAGCGACAAGCAGAAGAAAAAGAGTGCGAGACATGAGATAATTTTTGTGAAAAACCACACCTCTCTTTGAATAGTGGTGAGCTTAAACTTCGTTTCTCCCGACATCTTGACGAGGCGTCCCATGACGGTCCTATCGCCAGTGGCAAACACGACACCATGGCAAGTTCCTTGTACGACAAAAGTGGAAGTCAGCGCGAGGTTACGAGTCTCCAGAGCGTTGTCGGATGTTGCAGCAAGAGCTCCTGGTACCATTTCGCTGAAAGTGGACTTCAGCCAAATTCAAGCACGTAGGACAAGACACAGACCTTTCGCCCGTCAGGAGAGAGCGATCAAAGCGAAGATCCGACGATGCCTGCACGACGCGCATGTCAGCCGGGACACGGTCGCCAGCGTTGAGCACGGCAACATCGCCGACTACCATGTCAGCAGCTGGGATTATCTGCTGGTTTCCGTCCCTAATGACCGCAGCCTCATGTGCAATCAGAGATTTTATTGACTTCATGATTCTGCTCGCGTTCCAATCGACCAAGGCATAGAACGTGGCAGAAACGATGATGACGAGAAGCTGTAGTAGATGAGGATGAGAAGAGGAGGGAAATTGAGCATCACAGTTGATGGTCACGAACCAACAGCACAGCAACACCAAGAACGAAAGCCGTAGGAGGCCCGAGGGGTTGGTAGGAGATCTAGGATGTGTATTAGAGAGTCACAATAGCAGGTGAACGACGGAACTCACGATAGTCAAGATGAACGCGATCCACATGAGAAAGTTGAAGCCACCAAAGACGTAATTGAGCAATTTCTTCCAGTAGACGGTAGGAGGAGGACTGATGATATTCTTGCCATCACGCTCCCTGCGACGAACAGCGGCAAGCTCCAAACCGACTGTAGGATGACTGGAATACCGGGTATACACTTCGTCGACACTCAGTAGATGAGCGTCTATGCTTGAAATTGCGTCAGCTGGGTCTTGCGGGGATTTAGAGGCTATCTGTTTCTCTTCAACGCGAATTGATAATGTACGGTATCTGTTCAACTGTTATGTTAGCGTTATAACGCGCGGGGGCAGGGATACGAATAACAAACGCTATTTGAATGCCATAGCCCTCCCCAGACCTGGGCTCAGCAGGGGATATCGCTGTATGTGCCATCGAAGTAACCTTTATCAAGACTCTTGCTTCTCTGGTATTTATCATAAACTACTTACCTCAAGGCAATGCATCAATTGTGCCTTGCCAGACCCGAAAGCTTCTAGATTTCACCAAGAGGTATTTTTGCCATTCACACAACGGGCTAACTCACGCGGCATTGTCAGTGATCTAACGTTAAAGATCAAGATGAAGGAAACCTGATAGTAGTTCATCCTGCACCGATCGAATCTCACAAGAGCGCCATATTTAGAACTGAAAAACCCTGTCTGTTTAGTATTAGCCTCAAACGAGTTGTAGACCGTACCGAAGAACGGATTGATTGAAGTCAGCGCTGCGCACACCTAATCGTCGGCCACTCTTGTATCATGTAGCCTCCAATCTTTTCACATCAGGCATCTGAGGCACGGATACTTGTAGCACATGTCAGTCCACACTGTCATATTGGTACATCATCGATTCATCAAGGGATCATCATCATTGATGTCATGGAAGCTCTCGGTGCTCGCCGGAAGAAGACGGTGAAGTCGCAAGGAAAAAGCTTGAGCAACAGGTGGTGGAGGAGTCGTTTCATCACAAATACGCATGGAAGCCATCCAGACGCAACTGAGCTAGAAACATCTGCATCAACGAATTAAAACCGAGGCTATTCATACCATAAGGCTCATTCTCCTGGTATCGTACACGGTGCACCAGGCAAGGACAGCTCCGCCTGTTTGCTGCGGTATACATAGAAATGTATAAATCTGAGGGCATTCCTGAATTGACCAGTCTTGGTACAAGTGACGATGCTCTGGCGGAGTTTAAAAACAACCGACACTTCACATCACGTACTCCAGAGCTCGAGGGCCTCAGGCAGGCCGCCGGCAAGATGCCAGTTCCTGAAACTGGAAGAGCCGGAACTGGTACCACAAATTTGCCTCTATCCGTTTCGTTTCCATCTAGTTCACGTTCACTCAAAACCATATTCGCTTCTCGCCCAACTTATTGATTTTTGTTTCCTTTCCAACTCTACAATCACCTTCAGTCCTCCTTAATTCCGATAGAGGGATCAAATCTGAAGGAATTCAGTGCAAGATTAAGCGAAAGATACAAAGTGTTTCGATGAATGGCGATGGACTAGGGGAAAGCAGCTTGCAGTATTCGGCGGTGTGGACAGCGGTAGAGTTGCATAAAGTAGTAGAGCAATATTAATGTTCATCCTTCCCTCGAGCGTTTGTCCAACCTGAGAGCAGGAATAGCCCACTCCAGCAGCATTTCAAGGATCGGACTTCTTAGTGACCGGACAGTCAGTCAGTCAGTCAAAAATCTCGCATCTAAGTCACTGGCAGGAACGCATTACCGCGCCACATACAGAATACTGACCGCAAAAACTAATAGTGGAAATAAATAGCAGCCAGCTTTAACATAATTACAGTCCAATGCGACACCAAATTTACCAAGCTATTTTAGCAACGATCGACTTTAATTTTTCCATCAGAATCAAGAAAACAAGAAAGAGCCTGAGCACTTGCCTTTGGATGAGTCCTCACGATCAGCTTGCGGACTTCGTCCACGCAGAGAATGCCCAAGGCAAAGGCGAACGGAGGGCCCCAGAACATCGCAGGTATAGGGGTCGTATAAAAGACTTGCTGTAAGCCTGGTCCGTACAGATTGATTATCGCGATCAAGCAGGTTGCGATCATGCCAATCGGAACTGCATAATTCTTGCGAGGTCCCCATAGAGGGTTGGATTGGAACAACGAAACCCTGCGGTTTCGGATAGCGAGGAGATTTCCATATTGCATGAAGACCATCGTCACGTAGCTTGGTGATGATGAATATAAATATAAGTTTTGGAAGTAGGTGTTATCACCACTCACTAAATGCACTGCCCGACATAAACAAATTGATTGAGTTGCTCCAGTGTGAAGCCGTGATAGCCCTCAGCCCAGTTGTTATAGGCTAAGAAAACATCGTGGAATCCGAGGCCCTGTTGATCCATGTATACGAACCACATGCTCATCGCGCACGGCCAGGACATGAGTCCGAGGAACTAGTAATAAGTGACTTGTGAACTCCAAGCGTCACTTGGTGCAGAATAACTTACCAGGTAGATCTGGAAGAACAATTTCCAGTCTGTAAGGCGGTCGGTTCTAGCATTGCGAGGCTTCCGCAACATGAGATCTGTCGCGCACTGAGAAACAAAAACAACTGTGAAAATGGAAAAATTTACCTGCTTCAGCTTTCTCGTACATCAAGGAGATCGACATGACCACGTCATTTGTGATGGAGAAACAGACTTGGAGATATGAGCTCAAAGGAATTTGCATTCCAAATACGACATTCGTGACTACGGCCATGAATTCCGTGTAACTTCCAACCTTGAGTTGGGTAAGCAAGTTATTTATTTTTGATGATACAATGGCTTACAGGCATGAGGTAAAGCGTCACTTTCTTAAGGTTATCGAACACCAGGCGCCCCATCTCGATAGCCACCGGGATAGACGCAAAGTCATTGTTCAACAATATCAGTGCAGCTGAAGAAATTGAGGGTAAGTGTCGTCATGAACAAGATATCACGATCTTACCAGCTTCCTTCGCGACATCGCTACCGCTTCCCATCGCGACACCAATGTCAGCAGCTTTGAGAGCGGGTGCATCGTTGACACCGTCACCAGTCACAGCCACAGTGTTGTCGCCGCGAGCCTTGATTTCCTCAACGATCTTCATCTTTTGTTCAGGTGTAGTGCGGGCAAACGCAATTTCAGTGTATTGTCCGACGATTATGTTCCAGTCAAAGGGGGTAAGAGTGCTGACATCCTCTCCTGTGAGTACTAATGCACGGATAGGGTCATCTTCCGAAGGTTTAATAGTATGTGGTGATACCTCGACGAGGTGCTTCTCGGACGCTGCGGCCCTGACATCATCGATTGTATCTACGATGTGCTGTGTAATGATGCCGACCTATAGTCAAGTTAGTCCAAAGTACCAGGGAGAAGTCGCTCGGTCCAACTCACCTGGCGGGCGATTGCGACAGCGGTGAGCTTGAAGTCTCCAGTCACCATGAAAACCCTGACACCAGCGCGACGGATAACGGCCACACTGGAGGGCACGTCCGGACGGGGCGGATCGCGGATACCGACCAGTCCGACCAAAGTAAGATTGCTTATTTCCGAGTACATCCATTCCTCTATGTCATTCGGAGAAAGGTTCGGTTTGAAGGTGTCCAATGGCTTGCGGCACCTGAACGAGTATCAGTAAATTATCCCCAAAAAACATACAACACATACAGGGCAAGCACTCTCTGCCCTTCACTCGACCAATTGCTTTGGAGATCGCTCATGTGCTTCCTTGACGATTCATCGAATGGGACAACGGTGCCATCGGATCTCATCACCGTGGTGCAGGATTTTACTAGCATGTCTGGAGCGCCTTTCACGAGTATCCATGTTGTTGAATTCTTCTCAGCCATATCTCCTTCGGTCATTCCAGTCTCCTGAACGACACTAAGCATCCATTTATTTTTTGAATTGAAAGGAATTTCGAAGAGCTTTCTCCAGGATGACAGCAGCGCTGACGCATCAATGTTCAAGGATGGGATGGACAGAGCCTCGGAAAAGCGAAGTAAGGCCGTATCAGTGGGATCTCCTTTGACGTTTCGCTCCTGAACAGGCCGGTCAGCAGTCGCAGAGTCGAACTTTGCACCGTTACACAGCCGTGCACTATGGTGCAAAGCGCTCAGGCCAGCGAAGACTCGAGGTTCTGGTGCTTCTGAAACCTTCTCGTAGATTTCACTGACCAACAGATGGCGATCCAAAAAGGCGATTGATTCGACCGCCTAGAAGATGTTGGTCAAGAAAACGATATTACGTGTAGATGCGTAAACGAACCATCTTGCCGGCAGTCAAAGTACCGGTTTTGTCTGAACACAAGACGGACATACATCCGAGCGTTTCAATCGTTGCGAGATTCTTGACGAGAACGTGCCGCTTCGACATGCGACGGGCAATGATTGTCAACGAAAGGGCAACGCAGACGGGTAGTCCCTTTAAGGAGATGGTATCAGAGAAGGTATTAAAAATGACAAGCTAGATTATCTTACCTGAGGCACGAATGCTGTAAGGCAACCAATCGAGTTCATAATTGCTACGCTAATGCCTGCGTCATACCCAGGATAGCTCGTCCTCAACCACACGCCGTAGAGCAGTAAGGCTATACCGAACATCGAGAAAGCGACTGAGGAAATAACTTTGGTAAAAAACCAGATCTCTTTCTGGATAGTTGTAAGCTTGAATTTTGTCTCGCCAGACATTTTAACAAGGCGTCCCATGACGGTCCTGTCACCAGTGGCGAACACGATACCATTACAGGTACCCTGTGTCACGAAGGTCGAGGTCAGTGCAAGATTGCGTGTCTCCAGAGCGTTGTCAGATGTAGCATCGAGAGACCCCGGGACCATATCACTGCCCAACTATAAGGCAAGCTTTTAAAATATTAGAATGTAATCACCTTTCTCCAGTGAGTAGCGAACGGTCAAAGCGCAAGTCAGATGAAGCTGCCACGATCCTTAAGTCTGCAGGAACTCGATCTCCGGTACTGAGAACCACGATATCTCCGGCGACAATGTCGGTTGCAAGAATGAGCTGTTGCTTGCCGTCACGGATTACAGCAGCTTCGTGCGCAATGAGAGACTTTATGGATTTCATGATTCTGCTGGCATTCCAGTCCACAAAGGCGTAGAACGTGGCTGAGATGATGATGACAAGCATCTGAGGAGCATAAATGAGCTGAAAAATGATATAAACGCAAACGAACCAGGAGAACTGCGACACCAAGGTCGATAACTTGAGGGTCACTCCCTCCTAAAGGCTTGTACGAGAGCTGAGCGAGAGCATGAAGCACTAGGCGAGATAAAAGTGATGAACGCCTACTATTGTGACGATGAAGGCGATCCACATGAGGAAATTGAAACCTCCAAAGACGTAGTTGAGGATCTTCTTCCAGTGTTGGGTTGGGGGCGGGCTGATGACATTCCTGCCATCCTTGGACCTTCGTTGAACTGCTGCCTGCTCGAGACCAACTGTAGGATGGCAAGAGTAACGGGTGTACACCTCATCTGCACTGATGAGGTGAACGTCGATGCTAGCTATGGCATCGGCCGGATCTGTGGACTGTTTGGCCTTTGAAGGGAGTTCCTTCTCTTCCACACGAATGGAGAGAGTGCGATAGCTATATGTAGCGTGAGCGAATGATTTCAACTGTTCTAGGCCACGCACCCGATCTGAATTCCATAGCCTGGTGCTCTCTCCTGCTCAGAGGACTTTCGAGGAGTGTCTTTCATCGTACGCGAGCTACCCCTACTACCGAGACGATTTTGATTGAAGCACTCGGTCTTTTATCTGGGCGCTCTTGTGTACGAGTTTATTTTCAATTTTTTTTGCTGTGCATGCAGCGCAAGGTGCGCGATTTATGCCATTCCTTATAGATATCGCTACTAATATATTATCACGTATAGCTCAAACTATTATATCAGGTTCGAACCAAGATTATTCCGTACGGGTACAGAGTTTGGCAAATTGTCGTAATAGATCCAGACCTTTCGAAGAGAAGTGGGTAGTATGCTTAATCCCACCAAGTAAGGAGAATAGGCTCATCTCCGTCATTGAAGGAGATCCTCCAGGGATGGCATAGCAATGGGGAAATTATTAAATTAAATTATTAGCCCCTGCCATGTCACCCGGGTTGCCGGTGTACGAATCCTACCTTCAGGTACTTGTCTCAGATTCCCTCTTCCAGTAGTGCACACTAGTGTCGCATAGCTTTCACCCTTCAGAGAGAGTTGAGCACAGCACCCGTACCCACTACGCAGGGGTGTACACCGACCGACCCACGATCTCCGCGGGTATGGAGTCGCGTTCACAGACGCGGGCTTATGAAACGTGAGTTCAATAGAACTACTTCTTGATTTCGTCAATGGCGAGACCAGGATGATTCAGGTAGCATTTAGATCATGGTACAACATGCTTCTCATGAATGATCTCACAGGAATCATGCGGAAGAACATGTCAAAGGGGAAGGGAAGGAGCAACGAAATTGTTGTTGACTATTCAAAGCTTCGTACACACACCAGTTTCGCAAAATATAACCACTCACTCGTGGGTGACTGCAATGATCCAACCCGGGTGACCTCTGACAACTCCAGTACCCACGGGTTGGATGAAGATATATTCCGAAGTCAATATTCACTGATTTGGAAGTGAGATGGCGGCCGGCGCCTGAATAAATGACAACTTATCATTGAAACACTGGTCAAGACTCAAAAAAGAGCGCCTTTCGTGAATATGCTGGGGCGTGTGGCACGGAAATCCCACCGATCTTGATATAGCTGACGGGATAGAGATATCCCAAGCCATGCGGAAGCCCTCAAATGATGAAGGTCAGGCACATGTACCAAATTATTTTCAGATGACCCTTGTGTCCATCGTCACCGACGTGTGGCATAAATTACGCACCAGCTGGTAAAGGACCTGTTGTACACGAAAGCAGTAGGCGTGCTCAATTCTTACGATGTCAAGTTCAAGGTGTGTCAAGTCCCACCGTGCCTTGAGCCAAACAACATAGCCGACCGGCGAGACCCCATTTGGGTTGCCGAAGCCAAGCTTACTCCGCCTTATCAACAACCATCGTGCAACACCAGTTATGCAGCGACAACGAGATTTTCGTGACCACTTAACTGCCTCATCGTCTATGTTAGGTATCTCGCAGCGCGCTCGTCTTGAACTCGAGCACTTCATTTTTCCTGACAACGACAATGGTGACCACTGTCTGCATCTTTCGCAAGAACAAGCACAGTGCTTCAAATATTCGCAAGTCATCATGTGCAGCGGCCATGTGCTGGTGGTTGTGACCAATGTATGGCATGTTGTATTGTTGTGGAACATGACCTGGAGCATTATTATAAGTCCTCTGCCGAGCACCATTATATATATGCCATGCGAAGAATTAATAGGGTTGTATACTATGTTCCGTGCTGGATAGCTCATCACTGGTCAGTGGACCACAGTGAAGTTTCTATGTTCAAACTTAGTCCATTGGTGTGACGGCGTCTTTGCTTTGGTGGTTTCGGCAACCCAAATGGGGTCTTGCCAGTCGGCTATGTTGTTTGGCTCAAGGCACGGTAGATCAGTGTATGTAGTACATAACAAATTCCTTATCGCACGTGATAACGGCATAGCAGGTTGCCAAGCAGTACATAGATTGATGATTGGTACTTTGTATTACGTAAGCAAGGTCAGTTGTCTAGTCGACTCAATTCCAATCCTGAACCTGATCCTGCATGACGTATATGCGCCGGCATTGCTACAGTTCCAGTACAACCTATATGAGCCTATGCCGAATTCTTCCACTGGAAATCATAAAAAGGGTCTGTGAAATGTTAATGCACGTCAGCATCAGTAAACCAACCAGTGAGTAGATATTGTTGTATTCGAGACTCGATAACGAGCAATGAAACTGACTTCAGCAACTGACAGAAGGCACCATAGACATATATAGGTAGTAAGAGCATTTCAGCATACAAAACATGGGGCTCAACAGTTCTCTGTTGGGCTCGCTGGCGTTCCTTGGCGACCAAATATGTACTGGAATGCTTCGCAGCGCTATATTTTTCACAGGTGGACTGAAAAATGCCAAGAAAGATTCAAAGAATCTGTCGATCAGGGTATGTTCTACCACGGTCCGGAGTCGAATCAAACGCCTCAAAGCTGGTCACTACCGCCCCAAATCTTCGTACTTCCGAGTCAAGCCCTGTCAAGCCACGTACATTTATATTGGAGATCAAATTCACCATGGCGGTATATTTCCGCCAAGTGACGTGTGATTGGAACCCATAAATTATCAACTTTCCAATAAGCGTCAAATTTCAATGCACGTGCTCCTCACACTCAAATATGATCCTGGCGGAGAATCCTTCGACAAGAGCTATTTATTTGGCAAGTCATGATTCTCTCATTTGTTAACACGAGTTTCGATTCACTCAAATGTGTCTTTCCTTAATTAGATCTTTTTCTGTACCCCGGTAGAGGTGGTTACATTGCCGCGATGTACCATTCCTATACAAAGCTTTGAAGTTTCAAAGTTCTCTCCTTGAAGAAGAGAGTTCGACAACGCATATGACCTGAACCTTATCTTCTTTCTACTTCGTCGTCATAATTCAACCAGGTGACGCTGATCAACATTCCGACTGAAGAAATAGCCGGAAGGTGGAGGATCTGAAGGATCTTGACAGTGCGTTCAATCGGACTCCTCATAGTAACGCTCCATCTTTGCTGTCAGATGGGCTCCATGATATGCACAATGAAGGCGGTTGGTTGACTTCATCCCATGTGATGGGGTTTTTATCAGAAAGGACTTCGAAGACCATGCGTAGATTGGCTTCTGTTGCGAAGCACCCAAAGAGGAACTTTTGGGCGCCAACTGGAGGGTGAAGTAGCTGAAGTTGCCTCGATAGGATTGCGATAGGATGCTTCGGAACGAGGTTTAGAACGTCGACTCACTCGGCGAGCTACATTCTTTGGTACACACGATGATCCGATCATTGATGCAAATGAACTTTCACATCTCGAGAGTTCAAGTCCAATTGTGTGTAGTGGGCTCTATGCTGATCACAATTCAGATGGAGTAAGCATTGCAATGACTGTATAAACTATTAATATAGTTTCTTCCTGCTGCGCGACACGATGATAGGCATATGATCTGGGGCCGCCGGCTGTGATATCCCACATTTTTGACTTGCACATCGGATTGTGTAATATGTGGATGGGGAATGTGGTCACGGGCACACCTGAGTGAGTAATCCTCTTCCAGCATGTTCTAAGCATGTCCTCACGACATTGACTACGAAATCCGCAGCGTGATCAGGGAAAACTTCCCCCGGGGCCCCCAATTTGTGGTAATTTCTAAGTTCTCGGCATCTCGACTATAGAATCTGTATTATGTGGAGCAAATCAGGCATTACGGGAGCCCCAAACATCTACCTCCTGCAGGGTTTCATTACTAAGCACAACATTGTCCGGACCTCGTTCACCTCATCCCTCTTGCACTTACGTACATAAGTACGCCTCTACATCCAACGTCATTCAGGTCATCAGCTTGGTCGCACCCTGTAAGCAATCTTTAGGCACCTCCCTTCAGTCGTTTCGAAACTTTGCCCCAGTCATGTTCCATGGTCATATGAGCTGATGATGAACTATCGCTCTCCGAGGATGTAATCGATGGCATCACTGTCATGTCAGTACGGGACCCTAAGCCTGCTGCGCAAATTCCACTCAATGAACTGCCAGGGCGCCATTTATCTCGACAAAAGCTACGTCACCAAACCTGGAATAAGTATACCCCGCGTCCTCCGATGATCACTGAATCTCTAAGTATATTTACCAAGGATCCAGTCATTTCGCTTGCGACCTACATGACGTCAAAGGGACAGGATAAGAGCGCTCAATATTCAAAGATGCAACCATGGCCATTGGCCACACTTCGTTCGTGAGGTACAGAATGACGCGTTAAACACTCATACGGCAATTGAGCGGTGACCGGTGGTCACGTGGCGTGCTACCGACTAAAGTGTTTTGTGCCGTGTATGTCGCCCTCTGTAAGCCTCTTCATTCATTTCCTCATAGCTGCCGAACCCTGTGCACCGAACAGATGGGGGTACGATTTCCGAATTCCCTTCCTCCGTATACTGCGCTGACGCATGGCTGTCTCTTATCAGCAACTATCTTGTTTCATTCCTAGGCTAGATACTAGATAGGTCCTCAACATTCCCCAAACTTCCACAAATTTCTATATTGACCTCGAGGATGTCGCATTCGACATTAACCCGAACTCTACCGCGATATATATGCGACTGACCCATCGCAACATGGAAGTGCCACCCAAACCTAACTCTCTATTACGCTCGACAAGCGATTAGCTCAAACAGGCGGCCACCATTCTTCTTGTGCACAATGGAGCATTCATTCCGTTATTCACTCGGCAATCGAAGCAGCAGTATCAGCCTCATGTCTCACCACGCCGCAAGTCCCGTCTGTTCTAGATTTACTGTGACAGAGCTCCAGTTCACCTTGAAACATCAGATCCGATCGGACATATCAAATTTTAGTCATTTGACTACAAAAGACACTAGCATTGCACGTTCAAACAGTTATTCGGTAGATATCCACCATACCGTCAACACGAGGCTCACTGCTTAAATACCCGGAGCGCCCAATTTCCGGAACTACATCCTCAACCTAACCACCTCACATTTCATCGTTCACTATGTTGGAAGCATTCAAGATTAAAGAGTTCAACTTGGAGCCCATTTACGAGACTTGGGAGAACCCTCCCAGATTCTGGGGCGAGTCGAAGCATGACATGCCTGTTGATGACTTTCTGCATCAGATTAAAGCTGGCTGCGCCGAACGGAAAGTGCCAGAGGAGTATTGGCACAAAGTTGCCCAACACTACATGGGCGACAAGGCGAAGGCCAGACTCCAGGAACTCAAAAGCGTTATGGCGAAAGTCAACGGGGGCAAATACCGCTGGAGCTGGAAGAAGTTCACAATTGCAATGCGTAACATGGGGTGTACGTGATATATTCATTGCCCGCGCTTGTTGACTTACGCTGTTACTTACAGGGGAGATCGAAGCCAACATCACAGAGACTGTTCAGATCCACTCTAAACCGTCAGGCATGTTGTGGCTTACCAGAAGGAAATCCTTGAAAGACAAGGATGGGTCACACAAGGAGGTGACCACTTCCGAAATCGTAGAACTTCCACCACCCCTGCCGTCTCCTAAGCAAGGACGGCCAAACCCGATAAAGATGCTTTCTGATTCAGCTATCGCTGCTTCGGCCGCAATCAGGATTCGCAAGACGCCAACCCGTGCGAACTCCATGGCTTCTGCGATGACCTCCACCACGGTTTCATCTAACCATACCGTAACATCTAACCACGCCTTAACCTCCAACCACGCATTAACCTCCAACCAAGCATTGACCTCCGACAATGCTGTGACTTCCTTATCTACTCCATCAGCTGACGGCAGTAAGTGATACAGCTAGTTCATCTAATTACACGGCTAAAACTCGTTGATTCAGCTGTCACCGCTATCTCGAATGCACCAACATGGCTCCTCAACGCATGCAACGCCCTCAATTTCTTGAGTGCAGAGCACCCACGAGCCATGACAACATTGAGTGCCGTCCTCATCACCGCAGGGACCCTCCCTGCGATCCCTGCGATCAGCGGAGGGACTGTCCTCGCTTCTGGCGTCGCTCAAGCGGTCGGCGCCATAGCTGTGGGCGTTGGAAATTTACTCAAGGCTCAGCAAGAAGGTCAAGTACAAGCAAGTGGCCCGGGTCCGCACCCACAACCCCCAGCACGATCATCTACCTTCTGATCCCGATAGGTGGCGATCCAGTAAGGTTTTTGTACCTATGAGCTCCGCAGCATTCAAGCTCGCTGGACGAGCCCGTGGACAATATAAAAATAAATTGCAATATTATCTATACCCTTGCATCACCTCGCATACAATGCATTCTACTGATTTCAAATTTCGGGAAAAGTCGATAGCTATATCTGTGCGCCTTACGTGCCGACGCATCATGTACAGGACAATATAATACATAGCTAGAGGAAAGGGAAGCAATCGATAATATTGCTTAATAGTATTGCGTTAGAACATCGATATCCGTGGCGACAGTAAGAACAAAGATTAATGATCGGTAAACCGACGATAATAATAGTAAACTTGGGCTGAACGTTGTAAGTACTTGTACTCTATATATGTCACGCAAACATCGAGTTCCGCCAACAAACAAGCCTTTTTGATATCCCTTGCGAAAGTCAAATAGACGTCTCGAAGTAGTCCAACTCTATACCAGCCCAAAACAAGAGGCTGAGTGATCCACAGTGCAACAAATGAGGTAAGATGAAAGGTAGGGTCACTATCTCGCGTAGCCCTAGTCACCGCTCTAGCACGTTAGTTTCCGATTAGGTGCATATCGTGCAACACACGCGACGCCCTATCTCGTCAGCGTTTACGAGCGCGGTACTGGAGGTTTTCGTAGCCATCTGCCTTCAAGATCTGGGACATCGTCGACATGTTGGCCATCAATGAACAGGCCGCCGTCGACATATGTGTGGTCCAACGAGATTCCTGCATCTCTACATATTGTTAGGAAGTCCTTGGGTATAGGAGCCCCGATCGTCAGTCGGAAGTGTTTGTGGGGCCCTGTCTTTCTATACCTCTGAATGTATACACATGAGAGATTTCATCAAATATTGACAGTTATCCGCGGACTTACTGAGAGCGTCAACTGCGCCGCATGCAAAAATATCCTCTTCTCGGGCAGTCGAGTGATCCTAGCAATCTTCTCGGAGATGCTACTCCTCGCATACAGGTTGTCACCAAGTATAGGCGCTATAACCCCAATAAAACACTTCAAAGATGCGGGATGAGTGATAAAACGCACCGTGCAGGGAATGTGCCAGGTGGATGCGAAGCTGATGCTTCAGCCCTGTGTGTAGGGTCAGCCTGAGCAGCGAGAGCGGTGCTATGGACTACATTGTATTTCTTTAATAAGTCAACATCGGACGACAGTCGATGACACGCACAGAAGACGCGACAAGTTCCCAATCAGTGGCAGCAAACTTGGCAGCACAGCTCTCGCCTATTGACACGCGCCCATCACTGAATTCCAGGGCGTCCCGAATCTCTCCACTACGAGTTGGGAATGACTGCTCTCCTCCACGCACAAGAGCCAGATATGTTTTCTCTACTACTCGTGACTGAAATTGTTGTGAAAACTGCCGAGCAGCTGGGGAGTTCCGCGCTAATAGTAGTGTTCCGGTTGTAGCCTAACATCTAGGTTAGCTAGTGCTCATCGAACGGCGTGAAAGGGAACATGCCTTATCAAGGCGGTGAACAGGGTACGGTAGGCTCTCCAAGGCAAAAGTATCTTTTACGTCTGTCAAGCGAGACAGATCCCTCGCGTCATGAACATCAAACATGAGAAGGGAGTACGCACCACGAAGTAGGTCATTGAATTTGTCAACATCTCTAGGTTTCTAAATGTTATACCAAAAGTTGCAGCAATTTCTTTTGCTTTCCAAGAATGGGTCCACCTACGTTTTCGGAAGAAGCTTCGGAACCTTGGCAAATAAGTCCTGCAGGTTTGTTCAAAACAATGATACTGCGATCGGTATAGACGACATTTCTTGCCCAGTATGATGCCCCCGTGCGAGCGGGTTTTAGGGCTTGCAGCATTCAATATAAATCGTGCTAGTATGACGAGCGGGAGTTTGAGCCGTCCATGGAAACTTAGCACGGCACTGACCTTGCAGTTATTTGATGTTGTTTGTGGATTTATGCCCCAACTCGATATTAATTTTCTTGCTCAATCGATATCGTCGCTCGAATGATTCAAGTTGATTGCATGAGTAGTGAGTACAGTATATCAGCGGTAAAAGCAACTAACATTTGTGACAGAAACTCCCTGAAAATTGGCGCGAACGCTCTTAACACTTCATCATCAATATTAATGTCATGCCATTGGAGTGCGTCGGCGGCGGCGCGTCGGAAAGCACCTCGTATCAAGCCCTGCTATAACTCCTTCAAACAGATTACCAGATGAAACAGTCAAGTATACTACATATTTTGGCATATAGACCGATACTCGGATCGCCAAGTTCACCTTTTCCACGTTCGAGCTCAAACTGTCCCATCGAAAAATCTTACCCGAGATCGTCATAATCCAAATGAAACTCACTCTACAAAACACCAGTATAGTCACGGTAGTGGCCGTCCTGCAGACCTAGTTTCCGATACCACACTTCCAAGCCGCTAGAGACTTCAGTTCAATCAAGCCTAACAGGGTGTCAGGATGTTGCAACGAAGGAACGAATCATTCCAAGATATGGATTCAGGGTCCTTTTAACTGATGGTCTTTCAATGTGTCAACATGTTATCGCAGCTCCACACCATGCACATCAGGTGAAGCTCTTGTCAAACTCAGGTTCAGGGACCGAGTTAAGTCGTCCGTACGTGATAACCGGACGCTCAACGTGAAAAATCCAACATTCTCCCCTGGGCCTGATTACTGTGCCATCAAGCCGGTAATCGCTGATACTTGAAATTCCGGCTCACACCTGTGACAGCGTTAGTAAACATCGTGCTACCGGGTAGGTAGCACTCATAACCGTTGACCCATAGGTCTTCTGGAAGCTCCGAAAGGATGTTCCCCCATAAGGTTCGTCATTCAGCGCTTATCATTCACATATTTGTGGCAGGTGATGTTGTGAAGTAGACAAAAATCAGGGGCAGAAGACCGGAACTTCGGTGAACCAATTCACAGGAGATCAATTTCAGGTGCCTGAAGACCCGCAGTGTATAATTGCTTAGCAAGTGACTTGATGACCTTGGCCACTATTTCTAGCCCAGGCTAGCCCTCGGGACCAGCTTGGCACAGATAAGTTGAGCAACTACGTCATACTGGCCACGAGTATACGTTGCTCAGACAACCGCCTAGAAGACACAAACGTTGCCCCGAGGAAATGGAGAAGCACCTCTGTCACTGTGGGGCAACCGTTCATTGATCGAGCGATTCTCGGACTTTCTCAGCTAGACAAAGAACCCTCACTCGTCACACCGCGGCCATCGAGAGGTTATTCTTAATTTAGTCTAACTGTAACACGATGAAAGTTAGGCTTGCACTTCGAGATAGCACGCTGTGGCGGTTATCACAGTAAGGTCCGTCCACCAATCAATTGTGTCGATCCCCGGAGTTGACACTGACAGGAGTTTTCGGAAACACTCTGAACCCTCGAATTGAGCTTCATACTATCCGTTAACTTCGCAAGAAATGATCTACTATCAATAATCAACTTCTTTGAATCACAGTGAGTTCAGAGGAAGTTACATTCATCCATCTCTCAATTCGAGTCCCATGCAACTCCTCATTGTGAGTCTACTCAGTTGCTGAATAAAATCAGTTGATCGTCCTTGAAGTATAAGTAAGGACGCGTCTACTTTTGTGCATTTTTCTGATGTATCTGACACAACAGCGGGAATCACATGTGGATTGCAACGTGCTCGTGGTGTGCGAGTGGAAACAACTACTCACCCACCTTTCCGGTCTGAGTTGACATCACTGGAGCTCGGGCGCTTACTGGTGGACTTCGTTCAGGACAGTTTATCGAAAGATCGTTCTTCTAGTTACTGTTTGAGACTCCTTTGCGACCAGATACAATGTGGTGTTGGGCTTGAGACACTGCATCTCGCGTGGTTCTCGCGTGCCGTGGCGCAACTTGAAACTTCAAGTTCTGGAGGCTGATTGTGTAGCGGAATAGCTCTGTTCCGTCTTGCTCCATATCACTTACAAGTCACAATGTGCTGCCCAGTTTTCCACTATCGATAATATAATGCACTCCAAGTTGATAGGTAAATTATATTTAAAAGTTAAGTAGGAGCAAAGTGGAACAGAATCATGTGTTCCCCTCATAAGACGACCCGCGCAACGGCAATTACATAAGACTAAGCTGGGCTCCTAGTTGCGAACCATAAAAATCATAAAAATCATAAAGAAAAGCGAATGATAATAATCATAATTGAAAGTGGACGGAAGGGACGAGTGACTAGTGTGCTGAAGGTGTGTAGGACCGAATACAATCAAAGCCTAGTCATACTAAGGCCGTGGCAGTCTTCCATTTATCGAAGGTGCAGGTTTGGTCTAACAATTGGGGAAGATCCCTTGGGTACCTAGGTAGTAAGAACAATATTTCATATGTGAGACAGTCTTCAGTTACATCGACGAGGGACTTACCAGGATAATACCAAAACGTTACAGCCAAAATCATGTACAAGCCTAGAGAGCGACTTGAGTGCGAAACGTATCTGAAAATGACACAAAAGCTTACACATGAGCACCATTCCTTCTAACCAATTTGACTTGCCGTCCTGCACGGTGTAATTGACAGTGAGGACTATTTTCCCCTTCTGGTTAGCACGTTCTCCCGTATCAATACATCGACGCACCGGCAAGGAAAAGGACGATGGATTCCAGCGGGTCGAAGAGAAGTGTCAATGGCTTGTTCATAATCCAGCCAAGTGTCACGATGAATCTGAAGCCATCTTAGTAAACACTGTGTAGAAATGGGCAAGAACGCAACGCACGGAATCACAAAGAGCGCAATTTGCTGAAAACGGCGAGTCACTATAGAAGCCATGTCTGTAGCCTAGAGGTAACTCACAATACTCGAACCCACAGCAACGCCCAAACTTAGAGTCAGTTTATCCTTCACGGATACCGTAACTGCAGTGACATGTTCCGCTGCATTGCCGACGATCGGGAGCAAAATAACACCAACGAATTCCTTATTGATCAACCCAGATGAAGTCAAGCCATCAATTGAGTCGACGAGAAACTCTGCAGTAACAGCAACCAACTAAAGCGAAAAAATTGAGAACTTAGCGTGACTATCACAGTAAGGACGTACCACAGTTACAACAACCAAAAGCCAAAGGCACACAGCGAGGTTCATCAATGGTTGCTCAGGCGCCTCAGTCTCCACTGATGCAATGGAATGGGTCCCAGGTTCTACATCAGGGTTGGCACCTGTAGGGTGGGACAACGTTGCGGCTGCCTCTCCGCCATGTGCCAAAGTCGGGGAAGACACTGTTTCGGCATCCGTGATATTCCTCCGTGTCCTGTGCAACCGAAATGGATTCTGGCCCTCGTACTCCTTGGTTGGTTGCATATCTTCATTATTATCGTCGTAGAGGGCTTTGTGCGAAAATAACTGGAAAACCAAATACGAGGCGTAGACTGCCGGTGGATGATTGGAATGGGTTTAGTCAACTGCCAAGAAAATCATATTGTTGACCTACTGAAAAGGAGAATAATCGCAACCTATACAGAATGTAAGACCAAACGTATTACGAACAATAATCCACGCACCCCATGGCTAGTTTTCAATATGTTGTAATCGGTCGACAATTCGCTATATTGTGGTTGACCCTGCAGAGCCATGTGAAAAGCCCCAGGTAATAGAACAGCAATCACGCTGATGGTCAGTAATGACGAATTGAGTTGCACAGCACCTAAGCCATAGACGTATGCATCAACAGTCCGGACCAACTTAGAACAAGGAACTGCGTACTTTGACCAAATCCTTGTTCGGAAAAGCGGAGACCACCAGCAAAGAAACACATGCCCAGTACCAGCACTATGTACACATTAATTGATTTCGCTACAGTAAACCTAAGCACATACAGAGATTGCTCAGGATAGAGCCCACCACTATAAAAAACCACGTGTCAGGGTTGAGGGAAAGTACAAAAGAGTAAAGCTATGGGACACATACAGGACGACTGAACGATTGTAAGCTGACACTTCGCAAGTGCGATGATCTGAAATGGGTCAATTGGTCGTCGTACAAGCTGCTGGAGGATAGCACGACGTACTGATACGATGAGTTCGACGCTGTGGATAAAAGGAAAAAGGTGAGAAAGTGATCTACTGAGAAAAAACTTACTGACGCATTTCCCTATAAGCCGTCAAAATTCAGCGGGGCAAAAGCCTGAAACATGAGCTACTGACTAATGTAGCGTTGAGAAGACCAGCTAGAGTTTGGCCGACTCGTAGTGACAGTTCGTCAGTCGCGAAGGCGAGGAGCTGCGAAAACATCAAACAGGCTGAACAATATGAAAAAGTGAATCTAGGTTACCTTGGCCAGCGGTATGATAGCCAGAAATGTAACTAGAGCAATGTATAAGGTGGGTTACAGTAGAGATTAGATCGCATACTTACAAACGAATATAAGAGTGTACTGATCGGGGAGAGCAAAATTTATAGCCCACTTCAGATACCATACGTTAGATGGTCGAAGCAAAGACAGAAAGAAACATACAGATATCGGGATAAAGACCAACAAAAGATTGAGCCCTAGAAGACAATATCAACGAAGTCCCTTGGTTACAAGCAAGTCATTTCACACGAAGCACAAACAATCGCTTGAATGCTTCTCCACACGGTGGGGGCCCTGGCTATTGGTTTTTTCGGTCGCGCCATTAGAGTTGCAGCTCTTCTGAACTTAGCCAGCCAATTGAGGGACTTCTTCTGAGGTTGGCTACCTGAAATACTTATGCGTGGTCGATTGGCGGATGCGGATGGTCTTTGGGTAAGCGGGAACGTTTCCTCTACAGCATTGAGCACACGAACGCTACTTGCGGTGGAATGAGCCATTTCCGAAGGTCCGTCACGTAGGGAACCTGTGCGTGATGGCAAGGATGATGAGCCAAAGTTACGGCTGTGATGGCTTTCAGAGAAAATAAACGTACTCATGGTAGGGCGGAAGGGCAGTCGTTGAAATGTTGCTGTGCTGGAAACACTAGCCTTTAACTGTGTTGCCCTGGTGCCACTGCCGTTGTGCCAAGAACTTAGTGTTCCAAACAACGTTTCTGGAAGTTACGTCCTATATATGATCGATGACGGAGATCTAATTGAAGTTTCTGCAAACACAAGGCCAAGCTTGAAACACTTTCGATCATGGTATACGCTCAGCAACCGAGACAATTCGCAACGGTGATTGTCTTGCGAGTTGCAATTTATTTGTGCACACAATTGAAACGTGTTCAGTTCGACAGTCACAAGCGTGTCATCGTGAATGGCTATGCCTGGTATTTCATTAGCCTTCGGCACAACTATCCACTTCTGGCAAAATACTCATGGAATATCGGGTAGAACTTGAACTTTTCACCCACGGTTGCCAGTGGAATCGGGTATGGAAAAGTACGTGGAAGACTTTGTTAATCATCCCGCATCCTCGCAATGGTCAAAACAGTGACACTGAGCCTCGTAGACGCCCCCTGCAACAGATCACAGTTCATAGTTTTTGAGCAGCTCGGATATGGAAGACTGCCAGCATGCAGCAGTTAGTACATTGCCTTGCGGTGCGCCCATTAATTTGTGTCCACTCGAATGACAAGTACTAGAGACGCACAGCGTTATCATTCGCTTGAACTTGGTGACGACGCCAAGCGGCCTTGTGGTGGGTAGGGGAGGATCTGATTCGGGTCTAACAAAGAGCGTAGGATGAAATGATGAGGTTTGTTCGGACCGTCACGGTGTACTCAACGCCGTGATTCCTTGCGATTGCTGTATGGTGGATCGCCGAGGTCATGTCCAGCCAGTTACCTTGAGCCATTACCAATCGACCGCTCTCCCAGCAAAAGTCATCCAAACTTCCAACAGGTACACTGTAGGGCACGATATGATCTTGCTCAAATGAACGAAACCTGATTGGCCCATGTTGTGAAGCTATATTTACCTCTACTCCATTTGTGGGGAGAAGTACGAAATGTTGGGATTTTGTGCCGTCATGATCTCTGCAGCAGCCTCTCAGAAACTCGAATTTTGCGACTAAAAAATTGGCCCTTGCACTGAGACCAGCATAAATACGTTTTTACAACACACCCAGAATTTTCCGCTACGAAAACGATGCAAAAAACACCCATCTCTGTGGTTCAAACTTCATGATGTCCCTGGGTCTTCGACAGTCACGTGACATAAGATAGTTTGTAGGAGCCGAAATAGTTGCCGCTGATATAACAGGACTCGAAATTACTTGACTCCAAGTCGACTCCATTCCTTATCTCATCTGTTCTTGCCAAAAAGTCACCTCGATACCAAGCTTATCTCTTGGAATGGCTTCAGGAATCAACTCAAGTGGCACAGTTGCTGTTTCCTTGCCAAGCAGAGAAGGAAACATGAATACCAAGCCACCAGTATGGCCTTTGGACGCTAGTGGAGCACTTACACCACCACTGCCGGCGAGATGTGACAGGAACGATCGTCTCGACGGTATCTGCTGCAAAGACTTGAAACCCGAGGATGACCGCACGCTTATTGATCCTGATATCATTCGTGATATGTAAGTAATTGTCTCGGTTTCGTCATATCGAACAGAATATTGAGATAATTCGCAGTGTCATCGGACTTTCAGATGGCCTGACAGTACCCTTTGCTCTAGCAGCGGGACTTTCATCTTTGGGCACCTCAAAATTAGTTGTCGCTGGCGGAATAGCCGAACTCATTGCTGGTGCTATCTCTATGGGCATTGGCGGCTTCTTAGCATCTTCAGCAGAGCGGGATCATTACCATTACATGCGACGCCACACGTCGTTACGGGTGCAACGGAGCTGCGTTGGAGAAATGGAAAGGGAAGTATGCGCTGTACTTGGCCCTGTAGGTGTCGACGAGCAGACATGTCATGCGGTTACCAAGTGCCTCAGGGATGTTGAATCTGAACCAGAAGTCAGTGCAAACGGTTCATCGTCAGACGAAGAAGCGCAGTTGTTGAGATGGAAAGATAAAGTCGGTCTCACACCATTTTTACTTAAATTTGGAGAGGGAATGGGTGTGTTTTGTTTTACTCACAAATACCGCTCATATTCACTGTTTTCTTTTTTTAGAGGAAATCCCGCTGCGTCGAGTATACGTTTCAGCGCTGACAATTGGTATCGGGTACTTGATTGGCGGAATCATTCCCCTTATTCCATACTTCTTTGTTCCGCAAGCGCATGTAGCGCTCGTATACTCTTCTATTGTCACAGGCATCGTTTTGTTGGTATTCGGAGCTGTGAAAGCTCGTGTTACGGGTGCTGGACAGGGTGCTGGAGGCTACATATGGGGAGCAGTCAGCACTCTATTAGTTGGCGGTACCGCTGCAGCAGCAGCTTACGCTCTTGTTGCTTGGCTGGAAGAATAGTAGCCCTTTACATCGAACTTGTACAAGTCGTTATTCCATAATATTTTGTGTTATTGATAAATACCTTTATCTTTCTTTTTACAAGCACCGCCGCCGCATCAGAGGATTGAGATCGCCGGATCGGGAATTGTTTTCTAAAATCACGTGCGAGTCCTACATCTAGTAAAATCTTGATCTTGATCATCACTAGCCGCCAAGTTAAACGCTAAAGCTATGGAGGCGTATGAAACTTATCAGACTCCTCTTTCTAGGTATTTCGCTCTTCATTGAGTCAATCTTCGTCCCGATTGACCTCTACAACAGCCGATATGCCAGCAAAGAAATGGCTCATCTCTTCTCCCCGGCAGTATGTGATCGCATCGTCTGTTACAACTCATGGCTGTTTAACTTTATAACAAGCATCGATTCAAAACATGGAGAGAGTTATGGCTCAATCTTGCGATTGCTGAAAAGCAGCTCGGACTTCCTATCCCCGATGAGGCACTCGAACAGATGAAGAGCAATTTGGTGGGTGAACAGACTGGTATTGCACCATTACGTACCTCATTTCAATACGACCAGGACCTTACTCCAGAGCAATTCGATATTGCTGCGAAGGAGGAAAAGAAACGTCGCCACGATGTCATGGCACATGTTCATACGTTCGGCCAAGTTGCACCTGCTGCCGCAGGTATCATCCAGCACGTCATGTCACTGTCATTTTCGGTCCTTTACTGAACGTACGCTCATTTCAGCCTCGGTGCAACATCGTGCTATGTGACAGAGTAAGCCTCGGGATTTCATATCCGCTGTGACTTTGACTGATATTCGATGTTAGTAATGCGGACTTGATTTTTATTCGCACAGGCTTGACTTTCCTCCTTAAATCGCTTGCTGTTGTAATCTCACGACTCTCGGCTTTTGCTGCGCAATATAGAGCACTGCCTACGCTTGGATTCACGCATTTCCAACCAGCACAGCTTACAACTGTGGGCAAACGTGCTACTTTATGGATCCAGGTACAAGGTCTAAAATATTAAACCCCTGGATGCAACTCAACACGTCTCACACACGCAGGAGCTTCTATGGGATTTGAGAAACATCAAACGGGCACGCAACGACATCGGATTCCGTGGAGTCAAAGGCACCACGGGGACACAAGCGAGCTTCTTGACCTTGTTTGACGGCGACCACGACAAGGTCGAAGAGCTGGATGAACTTGTGACAAAACTCAGCGGGTTCGACTACGCATATCCTGTTACCTCGCAGACATATTCGAGGAAAATAGATATTGACGTCCTTGCCCCTCTCGCATCCCTCGGCGCCACAGCGCACAAGATCGCGACGGATCTGCGGTTGCTAGCAAACCTCAAGGTTGTCTTATATCTTACTGATTTGATTTAACAATAATTGACGCTTATCTGTTAGGAAGTGGAAGAGCCATTCGAGTCGACGCAGATAGGGTCCTCCGCAATGGCGTATAAGCGCAACCCGATGCGCTCGGAGCGCGTGTGCAGTCTCTCGCGACATTTGATGGTCCTCCATCAAAATGCACTTATGACCTCTAGTGTACAGTGGTTCGAGCGGACGCTCGATGACAGGTAGTCCCCGATCATCAGAGGCTTGTGGGTGCATGCTGACATATGATGCCAGTGCAAACCGAAGGATAACTCTTCCTGAGGCATTCTTGACAGCTGATATAGTTCTCTCGACGCTACAAAACGTTTGTGAGGGCCTCGTGGTGTACCCAATGGTTATCGCGCGTCGGATTGCCCAGGAACTTCCGTTCATGGCAACTGAAAATATTATCATGGCTATCGTCAAGAAGGGGGGCGATAGACAAGAAGCTCATGAAAAGATCAGAGTAAATGACCTCTATAAATCATATTATTGTTGTGGCAACCATATTGATATTTTCATGATACTAGGTCCTCTCCCACGAAGCAGCACACCAAGTGAAGAACCTCGGTCTCGAGAATGATCTCATCGCACGTGTGCAAAACGACCCATACTTTAGTCCTATCCATGAGGAACTAGAGCAATTGCTAGAACCGCAAACCTTTATCGGGCGGGCACCAGAGCAGGTCGACAAATTCCTGAAGGAGTGGGTTCAACCAGCATTAGATGAGGAGGAGCTGAAAGTGGCAGTTGCGGACGGTGTTAAAGTGGAATTGAGTGTTTGACAAAGCTCTTGAGAAGTTTCATACGGGGAGCGGTGGCCACAAGAAGTCAAACAAAGCGATATTCATACATGCCTAGATCTCACTAAATTTAAGGATGAGTTTTACTCTTATGACAAGATGCCGAGATCCCGGTGCGGTGTTGGAAAAGTTGAACAACCGCTAACCGCAAGTCTGTTCACAGTAGTAAGCTGTAGCGGCGTTCTGTGTTCTTTGCCAGTTGTCCGTCTTTCTGTTGTTTTCATACAGCGCAAAGTTGTAGCAGAATACCCCAGATCCTAGCGGACGGTGAGCAATTCGTTTGAATCAGTTTTTTTCTTAGGATGGTGAATTGACGATCAACGGAATGCCAGGTGTGCCATCATCTCCCACGCCGTCGCGTGTGGTCTTCTCATTTCAAGCCTTCGAATATCAACATTCTTTGCATCTATCACCCATCCTTCGTAACTGCTGGCTAAAACTAAGGACCTGAGCCGCCGTACATACTATCAGAAGCGAGTATAGGAAGAAGCTGTGAGTCCTCCTCGTCTCTTTTAGTTATGTTCGGGCAGTCCAGCAGACCCCACGCGGCTGTGTTGTTTTTATATGTATCTGTAAACAATAACCAGCTTTCGGGTCGAACTATATACAAAGTCTGACTGCGAGCTTTACTAGTTTCTCTTCGCTCGTATGGACAGTCTTCAAATCCCAGACAGTTCTTACGCAGGTCCTTCTCGACACCATGGCGCTTCGCGTACTGTGTCTGTGTCTGTGCAGCCATCACCTGTAACCACGTCACAGTCTGCGTCACGGAGACAAAGAGCATCACACCAAGTAGTCTCTTCGCAGCAGCAACTCCAACAGCAAGCCGAAGATCAGCCCGCTTATCGCGATGTTTACTCGCACCCAGCCGCTGTGGCATACACTGCAGCACACCCAAGGCGCACGATTCCCAAGTTTGGGCCCTATATTTTACTTCAAACTGTTGGGGAAGGAGAGTTTGGGAAAGTGAAATTGGGGCTACACAGTCAATGGGGAGAAGAAGTCGCTGTCAAGCTTATACGGCGAGGCAACATTGACACCTCTGTGCGGATGTCCAAGGTCGAACGTGAAATTGAGGTTCTTCGGGTAAGAACTCCTTTCGTTCCAGAATCATGTTTATGATGCCGATAACTGTCGATCCATAGACTCTCAAGCACCCCAATATCGTTCGTTTGTACGACGTAATCGAAACGGACAAATATATCGGCATAATTCTCGAGTACGCCTCCGGCGGCGAGCTCTTTGATCATATCCTGGCTCATCGGTATCTAAAAGAGAAAGATGCTGCCAAGCTCTTCTCTCAGCTAATTTCGGGCGTGTGGTACATCCACCAAAAGAAGATCGTTCACCGTGACCTCAAGCTTGAAAATTTACTTCTCGATCGTCACCGTAATGTCATCATCACCGACTTTGGATTTGCCAATCGCTTCGAGCATCGTGCAGATGACCTCATGCAGACGAGTTGCGGTTCACCTTGTTATGCCGCTCCAGAGCTGGTGATCTCAGAAGGGCTCTATGTTGGTTCTGCCGTCGATATCTGGTCCTGTGGCGTAATATTGTATGCCATGCTCGCAGGATATCTTCCTTTCGACGATGACCCTGCTAACCCTGACGGCGATAACATTAATTTGTTATATAAATACATTGTCAACACACCCCTCTCTTTTCCCGACTACGTCTCCGCGGAAGCCAGAGATCTTCTCTCTATGATGCTGGTCCCCGATCCTACACGGCGTGCTGATCTGCGGTCCATCATGGTACATCCATGGCTATCAACGTATTCCTATCTCTTCGAGAAGACTGTGGATGACCTTGAGCACGTTGCAATGGAACAGCACCAGCAGAGGAGACTAGCGTATCAAAGGCAGATGAGGCAGGCGGCGGCAGCCGCTGCAGCCAAAGATCCTTCCAAGGTGTCGCGGACGCAGAGCGCACGGGTTGAAGGCATCCTAAACAACGCCGTCACGTCCGCATCACCGCCAAGGAGCCACTCATACAGAGACCAACCTTCCGGCCAGCCAGAGCTGATTTATGACAGTTCGGTAGACCAGTCCATTTACTCCTCGTCTTCTCCCCCAAATGCCGTTCCCGCTTCCCGGAAAGGCGCGGTTTCTGCCATCGTTATGCCGAAGACAGTACAATCGTCCAATGATGATGATCCCTTCGCACCGTCTTCGCACGCTGTTCATATTCCTGTTACCATCTCCAAGCCTGATGACACACCGTCGGTTGGAAGGAGCAGTAGAGAAGGAAGCTCTCAAGGAGCCCTATCTTCGCGTAACGGTGTTCCGTCATCCATCCAGCCAGATCCTGCAAAGAAGAAAGGGACAATTGATAGACATACGATCCAGGTCGAGTATGCCGACCACAGTACTCCGATGCCAGAGCCTGCTCCACACTTCAATCAATCTATCTCCAAGAAGGACAGCTCACAGACAGGTACCTCAGATCGCGTCATTTCCACTACAAGCATCAGCACTCCCGCAACGCAAAAGTCCAGTCGCGACTCTTCTTTCAACACGAACCCAAGACCACTTCCTGCCCCTCCCGCGACCACTACTCCTCCCTCACGAAATCAACCAGCTCAGCTGTCTTCCTCGACCTTACGCGCTGCGCAAAATCGGACACCCACTGTCTCTGTTTCTCCAGCAAGTCCCCCTATGTCTACGGAGGACAAGTCGTGTCGGTCTGTCAATACAGGCAATGGTACCAGTTCAACGGGCTCTGCCTCTAGCCGCCACCGGAAAGGTCTCTCCATCGACAAGTTCGGTTTGGGCAAGATATTCGGTACAAATGGCGAGCAAGCTGCAGTCAATGGATCCACATCCCGTGTGCCGTCGGAGAGCTCTGGTGCTGGGGCATCTTCTATCGTAGAGGAGAGGAGAGGTTCAGCGCAGAACAGCATCAGCGATGTTCCAGATTCTCGGTCCAAGTCTTC